CTTACTTTTTAGGGATTAGGAAATGGGAAACAGGAGATGAGACCTTGTTGGTGGCAGCTCGAAGGCAGAAGTGGGGAGCTATAGCCCCTTTATGACTTGTGGACTTCAACTCCCAGTTCAGCTCTTGTACCTTTAGACCAAGGGTCTCCAAACTTGGCAACTTTAAGACTTGTGGACTTCAAGTCCTAGCAAAGCTGGCTGTGGAATTCTGGGAGTTAAAGTCCACAAGTCTTAAAGTTGCCAAGTTTGGAGACCCCTGCTTTAGACCAAGGCTATCCATCCACCCATGGCCACTTTAAGGCTTGCCCAACCATTTAAGATTTATGGACTTCAACTCCCAGAATTCTCCAGTCAGCATGGTTGGCTGGAGAATTCTAGGAGTTGAAGTCCACAGGTCTTAAAATTGCCATGGTTGGGCAAACAACCCTAGATGATCTCCAAACTGCCTTCCAACCCCTGCACGCTATGATTATTTGAAGACTATAATAAATATTTTGAGCTAATAATGGAGGAGGTTACATTCCCCATGTTGGCTGGGGAATTCTGGGAGTTTGAAGTCCACAAATCTTAAACGTCGCCAAGGTTGGATACCTCTAATTTGACGCAGAGCACCAAGAGCACGGGTGCGTCTTTTACAGAGGCAGAAAACTTGCAGGATACTAAATAAATAAATAAATAAATCTGAAAGGCAATCTTGGCCCAAGATCAGTCGCTCAACTGCTACGTGCAACGGCTGTGTTCTTCTAACTCAGGGCTCCGTCCGTAGCAGCAGTTGGGCTGAGGTTTTGAAAAGATGCTTCAGAGTTCTTCAGCATTTGGAGGAGAGAGAGGAAAAACTCTCAGAACCAAAGCTTCTCCGTATGGCTATCAGGAAAGGTCCCTGAAACCTGCACGCAGACACCAGGACTTCCAAGCAAAGGAGAAAATGCAAGCTTTAACGTTGCCGCTTTAATCCTATTAGCAAAGAAGCTGATGACAGCTGGCTTAAATCCAGGAGTTGGCAAAGTGGATTTTAGGTATCAGGGCAAGTTTCCCTTTCAGAAGGACGAAGTCTGGCTTTGCTTTCATAATTTTCAATTCTCTCTCTCTCTCTTTTCCTGCTCCCACTTCCTAAAAAACCACTCACGTCCCAGTCGCTAATGCCCAAATGTTTTGGCCAACAGCGCCATCTAGCGGCTTCTACACAAAATTGCGGCCAGAGCAGAATTCTGAATTTGCAGCAGCTCGTGATGCATTTCACCGCACTAATGCGGTGAAATCGTTTGCATGAATGCAGTCCGTTGCATTCCTGAGCAAGCCAAAAGCAACCGAATTGCAGTGGTTGCTTGCAATCTGAGTGCTGGGAGAAGCAAGTATAAGTTCTCCCCACCCCCTTTGGCCTAAATATTGTTTCATACGAATGCAAAACAAAGATCTCCTTAAAATAACAAAGTTGGAAGGGACCTTGGAGGTCTTCTAGTCCAACCCCCTGCTTAAGCAGGAAACCCTACAACCACTTCAGTCAAATGGTTATCCAACATCTTCTTAAAAACTTCCAGTGTTGGAGCATTCACAACTTCTGGAGGCAGGTTGTTCCACTGATTAATTATTCTGTCAGGAAATTTCTCCTTAGTTCTAGGTTGCTTCTCTCCTTTATTAGTTTCCACCCATTGCTTCTTGTCCTGCCCTCAGGTGCTTTGGAGAATAGCTTGACTCCCTCTTCTTTGGGGCAGCCCCTGAGATATCAGAAGACTGCTATCGTGTCTCCCCTAGTCCTTCTTTTCATTAAAGTAGACATACCCAGTTCCTGCAACTGTTCTTCATATGTTTTAGCCTCCAGTCCCCTAATCCTCTTTGTTGCTCTTCTCTGCACTCTTTCTAGAGTCTCCACATCTTTTTTTGTAGATGTTTTGTAGAGGAAAGATTTCTGCAGCCTAAACTATGAAGCCTACTGAGGCAACAGTAAAATTAAAGCAATCACAACAGTACATTTGATTTCAATTAGACACGGCCTCCAAGGAAGAATTACTCAGAGGAGGATCAATTAAGCCAAGAAGCCTTTTAATGTTTTGAAAAGCTAGCAAGCTTCCTTTCTCTCTCTCTCTCTTTCTCTCTCTCTCTCTCTCCTATTCATTTGTTTTCACCGGGGATAAATGATTCCTGGCAGTCTTCTTCTGGATTTATAAAGTCTCAGAGTCCGTAGTAAATTAAGGACATTTCACCAGGGGTGAAATCCAACAGGTTCTAACAGGTTCAGGAGAACCGATAGTGGAAATTTTGAGTAGTTTGGAGAACCGGCAAATACCACCTCTGGCTGTGCCCCAAAGTAGGGTGGGAATGGGGATTTTGCAATATCCTTCCCCCAGGAATTGGGAGGGAATGGGGATTTTGCAGTATCCTTCCCCTGGAGTGGGCAGGGAAGGGGGATTTTGCAATATCCTTCCCATGGGGTGGGGAGGGAATGGAGATTTTGCAATATCCTTTCCCCGGGAGTGGGGAGGGAATGGGGATTTTGCAGTATCCTTCCCCTGGGAATGGGGATTTTGCAAAATCCTTCCCCTAGGAGTGGGGAGGGAATGGGGAAAAAGCTACCTTTGGAGTGTAAGATGCACCCAAATTTTTAGCCTTTTTTAGGGGGGAAACAGTGCGTCTTATACTCCAAAAAATACAGTAGTTCTCTGGCAGCATTCCAAGGGAGATAAGGTGGGTGTTTGTAAACACTCCCCTGAAAGCCTGTTTGAGAAGACTTTCCGACTGTGCATCACAATAATTCACAGCAGTATGAATGAAAGAGGTTTGCCGGGACTAAGATTGGGCTGTTTACTTTCTAATGGAGCCCAGGTCAGAACATTCCCCCTCCTCCTCCTCCTCCTCCTCCTCCTCTTTTACCACTTCAGGTGTTGAGGGAGATCAACATTTCCGGTTCTTGCTCTTCGGGTAGCCTCAACCATTTCTGTCTTGATAGCATTATGATTTTTTTAAAAAAACCAAACTTCCCTTTGCCTTTACTTAATCCTCACCCCCATCCGGGGTCGCCTTTCTCTCAAAAGCGGTTATTTTATGCATAGGGCTGTGCCCAGAAAATCCTTATGGTAAGTGCCTGTGTCCTCTCAAGGACGCTATCAAAATGCACGCTTGCCTTCGCACACTGTCAGCCACAATTCTAGGCACACGACTGCTCCTTTCTGCACCCACGACACCTCTCTCGCCTGCTCCGTTCAATGTCAAAGCAGGACAAGACAACGTTGGAATTAGCTGGGATGAGAAGAAATGGAGGAGACTGACAGCACCGCTAGAAGGAGGTTGTAACCTGGAATTCTTCAGCGCCCACCAAAGAACAGATCGGCCCCTTTTCTGCTCCGATTGTGCATCGATGCACCCAGCGTTTGGAGAGATTTTCATTTGGAGTTTTGCCTTCAGTAATAAGTGGCTTCAGCCTGGCAGAAACCGATTCTTTTCCAACAGTACCCTTAACCGCCTCTCTTAAGGGTCAAACCAGGGGTGCTATTCAGCAGGTTCTGACAGGTTCTGCAGAACCGGTAGCGGAAATTTTGAGTAGTTCGGAGAACCGGCAAATGCCACCTCTGGCTGGCCCCAGAGTGGGGAGGGAATGGGGATTTTGCAATATCCTTCCCCTAGGAGTGGAGAGGGAATGGGAATTCTGCAGTATCCTTCCCCTGCCACGCCCACCAAGCCACGCCCACCAAGCCACATCACGCCTACCAAGCCACGCCCACAGAACCGATAGTAAAAAAAATTGAATTCTACCACTGGTCAAACCCAGCTGTGTCTTTCACCCCCAGCCCTTTATTTTATTTATTTATTTATTTTATTTCTATACCGCCCTTCTCCCGAAGGACTCAGGGCAGTGTACAGCCTGATTAAAAACACAAAGACAGACAAAATTTAAAAATAATTAAAATTATTAAATAATTGGCTCAATTATAAAACCCCCAATTTAAAATCCCATATTTAAAACCAATTAAAATCTTTATATTGATAGCCCGGCCTGGTGGAACAACAAGGTTTTGAGGGCACAGCGGAATACACGGAGAGCTACTAAACCAGAGTCCTTGGCCTGATCTGCACCCACATCCTGAAGTTGAACCTTGAAGATTTCCCCTTGACCCCCACAACATCAGTGTGGCTGTGACACACAGTGACACTGACACACACCCCCGACTCTAACCATTGACCCAAAGGAGCTGCTTTTCACCTGGGCTTTAGGCCTTTGTCACAGGGGACCTGACAGTTCATTTATTTACTTATTTATGAAATGTATTTGCCACCCATCTTGTACCCAATGAGACATTTGACCTGGAGTCTTGGCCTCGGTCCGAGTCTTGGACCAGGTGTCTTGACCCAGGATCATGACCTTTGTACCTGTGCCCTTGACCCTTTGACCCCCCAAGTCAGACCTCTTGCTTGTATTCTGACTTCAGCCGAGCCACGAACATAGCTGGGGATATATACGCTTGCTTTATCGAGAAGAAGAAGGTTCAAGGTAACAGGATTAGGCCTAAGTCTGCCTTGTATAACTCTGGAATTTTCCATAACGAAGAATTAGTGAAGCTCTGAGACCTGGGTCAAATTGTTGGGCTCTTCTGGCCCAACAAGCACCGGAACATTTGAGTATGTCATGACACAACGGATGCAACTTTTTAACCACCTTGTGTCAGGCATCACATGCCCAATACTTTCTGCGTGAAGATGTCATGGCACGCATCTCAGAGTTTTGACAGATTGTCCAAGACACCAGACTTGTTATCATTTGGGTTTCTTCCCCCCCTCCCAATTCCCAATAGAAGCAATGATGTTACTGTCAAATTCTACAGCGGAGGAAACGAAATTGGCACGTTTTCGCCGCATTCACCCACAGCTAGAATTCACTCTCACCCACTCTGAAAGGGGAAAAAAAAAAAAAAGAAGAAGCAAGAAGCACTCTTTAAACTGGCGTGTTTTTTTTTTTTTCCTTTTACAAGTTGGAAGGCTGGGATTGTTTTAAAATTTTATCTGCTTACCTTTCCAAGTGTTTCTACGATGACACTGTGATTCTGTTAGAAGTGATCACTCTGAGGCACCCTGCAGATTGAAAATGAGATTGAAATTATACAAAAGCCTTTCTTTCTTTTCTTTCTTTCTTTCTTTTCTTCCTCTTTCTCTCTTCTTCTCCTTCCTTCCTTCCTTCTTTCTTTGTTTCTCGTTCCTCCCCTCTCCCTCTTCCTTCCTTCCTTCTCTTTCTTTCTTCCTTTCCTTTCTCTCTTTCTCCTTCCTTCTCTCCCTTTTTTCCTTCCCTTCCTCCCTCCCTCCCTCCCTGATTTCCTTTCCTTCCTTCCTTCTCTCTCCCTCTTCTTTCCTTCCTTCCCTCTCCCTCTTCCTTCTTTCTTGTTTTTCTTTCTCTCTCTCTCTTTCTTCTTCCTTCCTTCCCTCTCTTCCTTCCTTTCCTTTCTCTTTCTCCTTCCTTCCTTCTTTCTCTCTCTACCTCTTCCTTCCTTCCCTCCCTCCCTCCTTTCCTTTCCTTTCCCTTCCTTCCTTCCTTCGCAAACATCACTTCCTCTTCTAATATATGTAACACTGCCCATTGCTAAAACAGACACCTCTTTTCTTCTTCCTTAAAAGCTGAGCTTCTTATGCAAATTGAATCACAGTCTGAGATGCATCTCAGCCTTGGGCAGAGAGAGGGAAACTACATCTCCCAGGACCAAACGGATGGATGCTGGGAGCTGTAGTTCAGCAATGCATTGGCCCTCAATGCCTCAGCTTCCCTGTTGCTCAGGCATACATACGGTATGCATGGTGAATGCTTGCAAGCCAGTCTTTCCCAACTGGGATGACTTCTGCTGATGTGGATTTCAGCTCCCAGAATTCCTCACTCAAAGATGGCCACGGCTGAGAATTCTGGGAGTCCATCCAGCTGGCTCTTTCACAGGTTGGGGAAGTCTTAACGTGGAGTACAGGTATTCCTCAACTTACAACCAGTTGAACTTTCTGTTGCTAAACGAGATTTGTTAAGCGAGTTTTGCCCCATTTTACAACCTTTCTTGCCACTGTTGTTAAGCGAATCGCTGCGGCTGTTAAGTCAGTAACACGGCTGTTAAGTGAATCCGGCTTCCCCATCGACTTTGCTTGTCCGAAGGTCACAAAAGGAGGAATCTTGCGTGACCCTGGGACACTGCAACCGTCGTAAATACGAGCCAGTTGGCAGGCGCCTGCATTTTCATCCCCTGACCACGAGGATGTTGCGACGGCCATAAGTGTGAACAATGATCACGTAAGTCACTTTTTCCAGTGCTGCTGTCACTTTGCTAAATGAATTATTCTAAGTTATGATTAACTGTAATTATGAGCCGAGGTGGCGCAGTGGTTAGGGTGCAGTACTGCAGCTACTTCAGCTGACTGCTAGTTCAGCAGATCAGCGGATCAAATCTCACCGGCTCAGGGTTGACTCAGCCTTCCATCCTTCCAAGGTGGGTAAAATGAGGACCCGGATTGTTAGGGGGCAATATGCTATTTAGTATACTGTCTTTGGTGTAAGCTGCCCAGAGTCCTCGGAGAGTGGGCGGCATAGAAATATGACTAATAAATGAATAAATAAATAAGTTGGACTAACTGTTGGAGGTGCTTTTTTTGTGTCCTACAAGACACCAAGGATTTTTATCCTTGAGCCTGGCAGGGAATGCACGTCAAAGAAGAGAAACAGACCTTATCCAAGATAGTGAATCATAGCAGTGTGACCTTGGTGATTTCTGAGCGTGGTTTGTTTTCTTGCAGGCATTTCGTTACCCAGCTAAGCAACATAGTCAGTGCTAGAGGGAGGGGACGCGGTGGCTCAGTGGCTAAAACACTGAGCTCGTCGATCAGAAGGTCAGCAGTTCAGCAGTTCGAATCCCTAGGGGTGAAGCATTAAGCCATCAATCTAGGTGGGGAAGTTTACGATTCAGCGAGGCAACCTGTCCACCCTTTTATGACAGGAAGCACACCAGGGGTTCGCTGCTGGGGATTCGGGAGAACCTCTAGCTAAAATTCTGTGCAGTTCGGAGAATCTCTAAATCCCACTCCTGGCTGGCCTCACCACCACGCCGCCCCCTCCCTCCCAGGAGTCTCCACATGGCCCATTTTGGATGCAGATAAGTGCAGGGCGTGCGCAGAGGCTCGGGAAGGCCAGAAATAGGCCTCCAGAGGGCCTCTGGAGCCTGGGGAGGCCGTTTTTGCCCTCCCGGAGACTTGAGGAAAGCCTCCGGAGACCTGGGAAAGTAAAAACGCCCCACCCCCCTGTCGTGGTACAGGGGGCTGACTAGGCCACCATGTCCACGCCCACCCAGCAACCGGGCAGAGAACCCCTTGCTAAAATTTTTGAAGCCCACCCCTGAAGCACACCATCCCTGCAGGGTCCACCAGGGAGATTATTCCGGGTTCTGCTCTTTCCCCCCCACCCCAGAAAAAAAAAAGGGAGAGAAAAAAAAAATTCTTGCACAAGAGAGAGGTCAGGAAAAGGTGTCCTTGTTTACATCTCCTTCGCCAAGGCTGAGACCACCAATTTTCAGCTCACCAGGGATGACGGGTCAAGCTTGAGCTATTTAATCCTGACCCACTTCTTGCCATCGTCCTGAAGGCCATCAGTCTGTCGGGAAAGACACCACACACACACACTCACACACCCCGGTCAGTTTAATATACATACGTCTTAGGCTGTGTTTGCGCAAGACCCGTAATCTGGTTATTGGATTAACCTATTTACTGGATTGGACACACATACACAAACAAACAAATGTGAACCTTCAGCCAAATCCAGCTGTCTGGATTTGGGTGCAGATTAAAGAGATCCTCTCCCCGTACCCACCCACCCACCCCGAGAAAAATAAAATAAAATAAAAGATGGCACTGAAGAGTTTAGAATTCGGGGCAGAGGCACAGTGGAAGCGAAGCAATCCATGGGGACTTCGCACTCGGATCCAGGCGACACTCTTAAACAACAACAATTAAAAATTGTTTAATTCGGTTTTATTCGGTTTTATTCTGTTTTTAAATTTTGTATTTATGTGTTTTTATCTTGTGGCTGTTCACCGTCCTGAGTCCTTCGGGAGTAGGGCGGTATACAAATCAAATAAACTAAACTAAACTAAACTCTTCCCACCACCACCTCCCAAATCACCGCTCTCGCAAAAGAGAGGTTGGCTGCAAAACCACAGGGAAGTGAAAGTGTTCCGGGCGCCTGAGAATAATGCCAGGTTGCATTCCCACGTGCATTTGCCTTTATTGGTTGCATTTGCAAGTTAGGCTTCCCTGCACCTGAAGGCAGGAAAAAGAAGGAACAGATGGGAAATAATCAAGGAGAGAAGCAACCTAGGACGAAGGAGGAATTTCCTGACAATTAACCAGTGGAACAGCTTGCCTCCAGAGGTTGTGTATGCTCCAACATTGGAATTTTTTTAAAAGAAGAGATTGGACAGCCATTTGACTGGAATGGTATAGGGCAGGGGTCTCCAATCTTGGCAACTTTAAGACTTCTGGACTTCAACTCCCAGAATTCCTCAGCCAGCTTTGCTCTGGAATTTTTTTTAAAAGAAGAGATTGGACAACCCTTTGTCTGAAATAGTATTTCAGGTGTAGGAAGTTAGCATCCACCCTTCTCCTAGGAAAATGAAATATTCTAAAAAAATATTAAAAAGGCTCCCCTCCCCACTCTGGGGCCAGCCACAGATGGTATTTGCCGGTTCTCCGAACTGCTCAAAATTTCCGCTGCCGGTTCTCCAGAACCTGTCAGAACCTGCTGGATTTCAACCCTGAACTGAACCCAGATGGACATTTCTTCCAACACAGGGTTTCCTGCCTGAGCAAGGGGGGGGGTTGGACTAGAAGACCTCCAAGGTCCCTTCCAACTCTATTATGCAATCTCGGGACTTGCAAAAAAGAAAGAAAGAAAGAAAGAAAGAAAGAAAGAAAGAAAGAAAGAAAGAAAGAAAGAAAGAAAGAAAGAAAGAGCCTTGGTAGTACAGTGGTCTAAGGCACCCTGTTATTAAGCAACCAGCTGCCTGCAATTACTGCAGGTTCGAATCTTGTCAAGGCTCAAGGTTGACTCAGCCTTCCATCCTTTCTAAGGTAGGTTAAATGAGGACCCAGTTTGTGGGGGCAATAAGCTGACTTTGTATAAATATACAAAAGAATGAAGGCTATTGCTTAACACATTGTAAGCCGCCCTGAGTCTCCGGAGAAGGGCGGCATATAAATCAAATTTTAAAAAAAAGAAAGAAAGAAAGAAAGAAAGAAAGAAAGAAAGAAAGAAAGAAAGAAAGAAAGAGCCTTGGTAGTACAGGGGTTTAAGGCACCCTGTTATTAAGCTGGTTATTAAGACCAGCTGCCTGCAATTCTGCAGGGTTCGAATCTTGTCAAGGCTCAAGGTTGACTCAGCCTTCCATCCTTTCTAAGGTAGGTGAAATGAGGACCCAGTTGTGGGGGCAATAAGCTGACTTTGTATAAATATACAAAAGAATGAAGGCTATTGCTTAACACATTGTAAGCCGCCCTGAGTCTCCGGAGAAGGGCGGCATATAAATCAAATTAAAAAAAGAAAGAAAGAAAAAGAAAAAGAAAGAAAGAAAGAAAGAAAGAAAGAAAGAAAGAAAGAAAGAAAAGAAAAGAAAAGAAAAGAAAAGAAAAGAAAAAGAAAAGAAAAGAAAAGAAAAGAAAAAAAAGAAAAGAAAAGAAAAGAAAACGTGCGGAACTTGATAGAGGGTTAATCTGGGTTAATTGTCCCAGAGGCTGAATTTGGAATAATGGCATTGCTTGGGTCACCCGGATTGTGGGGGGGGAAGAGGGTTTCCCTGTGAATTGAAGCCCTCGAGATGCGGAGAGTCCGGCGGCAGAGCCTTTTCCTCGCCAGCCGGGGGCGCTGCGGACCGCGGAGCCGTCGAGGGGGCGGGGAGGGGGCGTGGGCGTGGGAGGGGCTTCCCGGACAGCCCACCCCCCACCCCCCACCCCCCATCTGGGAGGGGAGGGAGCAGAGCCGAGAGACGAGCTGGGGCCGGCCGGGATAGTTGGCGACGGCTCGGAGGCTGCAGCAGCGCGGTCGGTTGCGCGGCCCGGGGGGGGGGGGCGCCGCTGGTTCCGCTCTATGAGCCCGGCCGGGGCTGCGGAGCCGAGGGCGGGTCGTCTAGTGCCGCCGCCGCCGCCGCTAGCATCGCCCAGGGGCCGGCTGCTGTGACTTGCGCGGGGCTCTGCGGAACCGCCAGCCGGCGAGGAGAGACGGAGGGGAAGCCCGGGTGAGCGGTGGCGGGGAAAGGGAGGCTGTATTGCCCGCGATCGCAACTCCGGAGTCCCCCGCGCAGCAGCGACGGCGGCGGCTCCGGGAAGGCGAAGTCGGGCGCGCGTGGCCCGAATGCCACCCGGGAAGGCGGCTGGAGGGGGGGGGGGAGGAAACCCGCTCGGTGGGTGGGTGGAGGTGGGGGCAGGGAATCTGTTTCTCTCCCCCCCACCCCCCACCCCACCCCGAGGATGGGTTTCCAGCTCTGTAATGCCCCGTCGGTTCGGCCGCGGAGGATGGGGATGATGGAGTCTTAAGAAGCGGGCTTTAAAGTGGGGGATGATGGGTCTTGGAGCCTGGCACTAGCGCCGGGAAGGGAAGCTGGCTTTAAAGTGGGGGGGGGGTGGAGGATGATGGGTCTTGGAGCCTGGCACTAGCGCCGGGAAGGGAAGCTGGCTTTAAAGTGGGGGGGGGGGGGGTGATGGGTCTTGGAGCCTGGCACTATTAACGGGAAGGGAAGCTGGCTTTAAAGGGGGGGGGGGGGATGATGGGTCTTGGAGCCTGGGACTAGCGCCGGGAAGGGAAACTGGCTTTAAAGTGGGGGGGGGTGGAGGATGATGGGTCTTGGAGCCTGGCACTAGCGCCGGAAGGGAAGCTGGCTTTAAAGTGGGGGGGGGGGTGGAGGATGATGGGTCTTGGAGCCTGGCACTATTAACGGGAAGGGAAGCTGGCTTTAAAGGGGGGGGGGATGATGGGTCTTGGAGCCTGGGACTAGCGCCGGGAAGGGAAACTGGCTTTAAAGTGGGGGGGGGGTGGAGGATGATGGGTCTTGGAGCCTGGCACTAGCGCCGGGAAGGGAAGCTGGCTTTAAAGTGGGGGGGGGATGATGGGTCTTGGAGCCTGGCACTATCAACGGGAAGGGAAGCTGGCTTTAAAGTGGGGGGGGATGATGGGTCTTGGAGCCTGGCACTATCAACGGGAAGGGAAGCTGGCTTTAAAGTGGGGGGGGGAGGATGATGGGTCTTGGAGCCTGGCACTAGCGCCGGGAAGGGAAGCTGGCTTTAAAGGGGGGGTGGGGATGATGGGTCTTGGAGCCTGGCACTATGAACGGGAAGGGAAGCTGGTTTTAAAGTGGGGGTGGGGATGATGGGTCTTGGAGCCTGGCACTAGCGCCGGGAAGGGAAGCTGGCTTTAAAGGGGGGGGTGATGGGGGTGATGGGTCTTGGAGCCTGGCACTTTCAACGGGAAGGTCTAACTGTTTTATCTTTTTCCCTTTTTCTCTTCTGTTTTGTTTGAAAAAGCCTTCGGGCTATTCAATAAACTATACAGTTATACAGTCAACGGGAAGGGAAGCGGGCTTTAAAGTGGGGGGGGGAGATGATGGGTCTTGGAGCCTGGCACTATCAACGGGAAGGGAAGCTGGCTTTAAAGTGGAGATGATGGGTCTTGGAGCCTTGGCACTGTCGCTAGGAAGGAGGGAAGCGGGGATGATGGGTCTTGGAGCCTGGCAAGTGGGGGCGAGGGGGGGGGAAAGGAAGCTGGCTCTTTTAAAGTGGGGGCTGATGGGTCTTGGCGTTGCCGCCCAAAGGGACCGGAGTGTCGCGGCCAGGCTCGGGGACTGCAGAAAGCCGTGCAAGACGCAGCCCCAGGCGCTGGAGAAGCCACGGAGGAGGAGGAGGAGGAGGGGAAGAAGCGCCAGCCGCCCCCCCTCCCTTCCAACCTGGCTCTCGGCTGGCCTTGAAGGCGATGGGTCCCTGCCCCGCTTGCCCCGCTAAGAGGACGCGGAGCTGGAGGGGGCGCGCTTTGCATTGGGGTGGGGGGGCGCGCAGCGGGCGATTTCGCCTTAGTCCCGCGGGTTTCTTGGGGCTAAAAGGAGCGCCTGGCCGCGGCTGGCAAGCTGGAAGGTCATCTGGAGCGGGAGGGGATCGAGCTATCAAGACCGAGAGAGAGCCCGTAAAAATAACTTTAAATGATGGCCGCAAGTGTTCCCGAGGAAGGGAGGGGGGGTGAGGGGTGGGCGAGGATCTCGAGGGCTGAGCGCTTTTTCGGCTCCTTGCGCCCTCCCAAAGAGGGTTAGGACTACACCTCCCATCAGCCCCGGCCAAGACGGAGAAAAGCGGCTGGCACCCAGCCCCCCCGACGAGAATCCAAGGGGTGCTTTTTGCGCTGGGGACAAGGAAGGAGGCGATGGTTCCAGTTTAGGGGGTGCAGAGAGAGCTGGGGGGGAGAGAAAAAGATTTCCAAGGATCTGTAGGGTTTTTTTGGGGGGGGGGGTGAAGGCGGTGGTCGTCAATCAGAGGGGACAGCTCTCCTTAAGGAGCCACAGGGGCTGCTGGGACTTGTGGACTTCAACTCCCAGAATTCCCCCAGCCAGCTGAGTTGAAGTCCACAGGTCTTAAAAGTTGCCAAGTTTGGAGACCCCTGGTCTAAAGGTACAAGCTAGCTGGGGAATTCTGGGAGTTGAAGTCCACAAGTCTTAAAAAGTTGCCAGGAGTGGATACCCCTGATGTAAAAAAAACACGGTTGAGTTAAAATTTTAAATTGATTTTAAATTGGGTTGTTTTAATTTACGGCCAAAATATTTAATTATTTTAAGCTGTTTTTAAATTTTGTATGTTCTGTTTTTTACTTTGGCTGTTCACCGCCCTGAGTCCTATTTGGAGAAGGGCGGTATAGAAATGGAATAAATAAATAAAAAAATAAATAAAATAAATAAATAAATAAATAAATAAATAAATAAATAAATAAATAAATGTTGGAGGTGAACAGGATTCCTTAGTGCTCCTTTTCGAGTTAGGGCCATTTTGGAAAAAAAATTAGAGAGTGCATGGAAGCTCAGCCTATGGTAGAAAACAGCTCCCCCTCCCTTAGACAGCCCAGACAGAACTCAAATGGGGGGGTGGGGAAATAGACACAAAGCATCCCATCCCCAGCTTCCCCCCGCCCCCCCCCCCCGAGAGAATTTGCTTGGTAACAAGAGAGATGGTTAAATCCACAGACTGGAGGTGGGTGGGGGCAGAAGGAGGGATTTAGTCAGATGTAGGACAGAACCTAGAGAGGGGGAGGTAGATATCAAGATACGTTGTTGTGGAGAGAAACAGAAGGTTGTGGGGGGGCAGAGGGGGGGTTTTTTAGAGATCTGCCTGGGATATTTATTAATTTAGCAGATGGCACAGACCCCCCCATGGGTTACGTTAATAAAATTATATAGAAGGAGCCCATGATACTATGATGGAAATATGTCGTGGTAAGGTTTGAGGAATGCAAATATATATGTATATATAAGTTACAGGTTAAAAGGGACGCAGTGGTTCAGTAGTTAAGATGCTGAGCTTGTTGATTGAAAGGTCGGCAGTTCAGCGGTTCGAATCCCTAATGCTGCGTGACGGGGTGAGCTCCCATTACTTGTCACAACTTTGGCCAACCTAGCAGTTCGAAAGCAGATTAAAAAAATGCAAGTAGAAAAATAGGGACCACCTTTGGTGGGAAGGGAACAGCGTTCCGTGCGCCTTTGGCATTGAGTCATGCCAGCCACATGACCACGGAGACGTCTTCGGACAGCGCTGGCTCTTCGGCTTTGAAACCGAGATGAGCACCGCTCCCTAGAGTCGGGAACGACTAGCACATATGTACGAGGGGAACCTTTACCTTTAGGTTTGAGGAATGCAAATATATATGTATATATATATTACAGGTTACATTTTGAAATAACGTGGATTCGTAAGAATAGAATGAAGGTTCTATATAGGTTCATTATTATCTAGGCCATTTATCCAAGGAAGCGTGGCTTTCCTTAGCTGGAGAAAGTCTGTTTATCCTTCCTAAAATAGAGAGAATGAGAAGCTGAATTGCAGATAAAGCAGTGTTTCTCAACCTTGGAAGCTTGAAGATGGGTGGACTTCAACTCCCAGAATCCCCCAGCCAGCGCTGCTGGCTGGGGGATTCTGGGAGTTGAAGTCCACCCATCTTCAAGCTTCCAAGGTTGAGAAACACTGAGATAAAGGAATGATCCCAAAGAGGCTGTGGGGTCTGTCCAACTGGGTGGGAGGTGGTGTTTGACACAGCCTGGAGGAGACGATTATGGATTTGTTCTTAACGCTCCTCCGATCTGATAAAAGAGAGGAGACCCATCTGGGAATGAAAACCTCCTTCGGAGTAGAGGAGTAAAACATGCGAAAAGCCAAACACACCGAAAACAGGCATTGTTTATCAGAAATGCAGATTTCACCCGCTTGTGCATGAAGTTGAAGGAGGAACTTCTTGGATTGGAACTGTTCGGGGAGAACACATATTAAGTAAGCTCCACTCCTTTGGGTCAGGTGGTGGAGTGAGTTATGTGTTGGCTGCATTGCACTGGTGGGGTGGGGTGTGTGGGAGAGGAGGGGAGAGGAGAGAGAAAACAAGGTTTTGGCAGGCAGAGCAGACACAGCTGGAGATGGGGAGGGCTGAGTTAACAGGGGTTGCTTCTTCTTTGTATCAGGTTCCTAAAAACAACATTAATAGGGGAACCTTGGGTGAAAAAGCTGCTTTATTTTAACCTCCTAGGGGTGTCCTGAACTTCACAAGATTGGGCCAAAGCCATTGGCTATCTTGGCCAGCCGTTAGCTCAAGAGAAATCCAGTAATGCTGGATGCTCTTTGGGTCTTACTCTGAATGTTAATTTCATGCTTCTTATAATGATGATGATGATGATGATGATGATGATGATGATGATGATGATGATAGTAATAATTGAAGAGAAACAAAAAAATAAAATATACTGATTTGCAAATTGAAGTTGAGCGACTCTGCAGGAAGAAATAGGAGCCCTTGGAGCAATATCCAAAGGGCTGCCTAGATACATGGAAATTTTGAATTTATTAGACTTGAATATCCTGACTTTGCAAAAAAAAACCCAACCTGCCTATATACTATATAGGAACTGCCTATATACTCAGACGCTACCATAACAGCTCTTAAGTCCTTGGTTAGGACTTTATTTATTTATTTATTAGTTCAATTTATATGCCGCCCTCTTCCGAAGACTCAGGGCGGCTTACAATGCACTTATAGCAATAGCCTTCATTCTTTTGTATATACCTGCTTATTAGGGCTTTTGGCCCCCCCATAAGCAGTGTTTCTACAAAGTCAGCTTATTGCCCCCACAATCTGGGTCCTCAATTTACCTACCTCGGAAGGATGGAAGGCTGAGTCAACCTTGAGCCTGGTGAGATTTGAACTAGCGCTAATTGCAGGCAGCTGGCATCTAAGTGCTACATAACAGCACTTAGTCCGCTGCACCACCAAGGCTCTTAACTTGAACTGTTAAGTTTTTACCAGTCCCAGATTGTGAATCAAATTGAAGATTAAATCTGAAATAATAATAACAACAACAGGGAGAATGAAGGATAGAGATTCAGGGTGTTGGTACAATTGTGAAGGTGCCAAAGCAATTTTACAGTTAGGTGGCTTCGAGAATAAGTCCCAGGTTTCCATGTTAGGACGGCTATTCGGTTACCCAGAAGGCCAGTGATGGCTTCTGATGCTGTCCTGTTTATGTCATCCTTGGACCCTGAGGACAGAGAGGCACTGCAGCCCAGAATGATGGGTCTTGCTTTGTGTCTTGAAAGTCCTGAATTCAACTCTGGTTTCTCCACGCAAAAGAATCAGTGACCGGTGAACCCCACTGGTCTTGTTGGGCTAAGTCTGATACAAGTCTGTAGACTGGAGAACATTAGTCCAGGAGTCTCCAAACTTGCTAATTTTAAGATTTGTGGACTTCAGCTCCCAGAATTCTCCAGCCAGCATGGTGGGATGAGGAATTCTGGGAGTGGAAGTCCGCAAGTCTCAAAGCTGCCAAGGTTGGAGACCCCAGATCTAGTCCTTCAGCTGCTGAACTTCTGTTTTCCCCTGTCCTTGGACGGTAGCCATTGCAGTACACAAATAGCTTCCCCACCTAGTGCAAACTTCCATGTTTCCTCTATTAAAGTGTGATCTGGTGGGATCTAAGAGATGCACCTCCTCTGTTGTAGCCCCTGGGATAGGCTATTTCCTTGGATTCAAAGGGCCTCGGAGTTTCAGAAGGTCACGAAGCCATGGCTCTCCTCCTAGATGGTGGAGCAGGGCAATAGATGAGTATACATTTGGTTACGAGGTTAGATATGGTGTCTTGGTTATTTGTGTTATGATTATTTTAATTCTGCTTTGGGTTTGTTGATGGAGGTTTTTATTATCACATTGTTTTTGTGGATTGTTGTTAGCTGTGAGATAGGTGGCCATATGCATTTTCTAAGCGAGTAAGTGGTGCCTTCCCTCTCTGATAAGAGGCCAACCCTGAAATCCATGGATTTCCAACCATTGTCAAACAACCATAAGTAGGATGCCTTCCATCTCTGATGGAGACCAACTTTATAGTAGCCATGGTTTCCCCAACCAGTGTCCACCATCCATAAGTGCAGTAGCTTCCCTCTCTGACGGAGACCAACCCTGAGCAAGCAATTTACAGTACTCCAAATTCTGAGTCTCTCTATATGCCTTCAAATCTGGTTTTATTCCAGAGCAGGCAGGAAATTGAACTGCTACTGTTTGGCAACCCACGAAATGCAGGTGGCCTCTTGATTCTTACACAATCTTTTGGAATGTTCCAGTTTGATTCGCAAGAGGGTTGTGTGTGTGTGTGTGCTGGGATAGTTTTGTTATTCTCGGGAGCGCCAAAGGAAGCTCTTGAACATGTGACAAGTGAGGCCTGCTATATTTGGGGAGGGGATTGATGGCCGAACTCCACATCCCACTTGGATTCCAGTTGGGCTTAGGTCTTCTAAAAATACCCTCCCAATGGCATTTTTCATCCCTACTGCTGTTCCTCTGCATTGGGCCATCCAGCAGCAAAGGTGCAGAGCTGACAGTCTGCAGCATTACGATGCAGAAGGAGAGGAAACAATCAAGGCGTTATTTTATTTTTTTGTTACTATTATTTTTTGCACGCCAAGCACAATGTCCTCATCAATTACAAGTTTCAGGAGTCGCATCTCTTTTCCGGCAGGCTGATCTTCACTCGGCTCTCTCTCTCTTGTTGTGCGCCGCGATCTCCCCCTGAAGCTGATTCTTTTCAAAGTAGCTGGGAAGAAACTGGGCAGAATTCCCACTCGTTGCGATATTCATCCGGGGAAGGTTGGGGGAATGTCAGAACTGCAGCAAAGGTTTCGGTTCTGAAGTCAGAGTAGCATTCTTTTTTCTTTTCTTTTTTTTAAACAAATATTTTGCAGTAGTACTGCAGTGTTCATCCAAAGCCTTCCCAACTCCTTGAGTAGCTGAAGCGTAGATGATGAAAACTCTTTCTCGTGGCTGTTGTTGTTATGGTCCAGAAAGTCAACCCAAAGACTTGGTCACCCCCAGCAACAAGTCCCTGCAGTTTTACTTGGCAATCTGAAGGGTTGACTCATGGCAATTGGACTTATGGTTGTTAGTTTGAGACATTTCACTGCTCTGAAACAAACAAACAAACAAAACAAGTAAATTATTTACAATTATTTATAATTTTTAACTGGACTCACAAATAAGTCCAGTTGCTACAACTCAACCTTCAGAGAAGCTTTACCTGGATGATTGAGAAGCTTCAGTGACCTATTTTTCTTGGCCAAGTTTTTCAGAAGTGGATTGCTAGTATCTTCTCCCTAGGTTTGAGAATGAGTGATTAGCCCACCTGGTTTTTGCACCTAAGGCAGGACTAGAATTCCCAGTCTCCTGATATCTAATGTAGCACTTTTAATCCGCAGGCCACATTGGCTCTCCCTGGAAAATCTAGGAATGTAGAATTTGCCGCACAAATCGCTGATGGTTTGGAGGGAGGACCTCAGTTTGTTGATAGGCAGTGAGCAGGTAACCCAGATGTTATGGAGGACAAAGAATCTCCACATGGGACCTTCTACATCAGGAGTGTCCAACTTGGGCAACTTTAAAGACCTGTGGACTTCAACTCCCAGAATCCACCCCCCATGGCTGGCTGGGAAATTTGGGGAGTTGAAGTCCACGAGTCTTAAAGGAGCCAAGGTTGGACACTTGTTCTACATATACTACATTTAATCTCCAGATTTCAGCCAAGGCAGCCATACTGGCTTGGCCTTCTGGCAGTTCTAGCACCATCTAGAATGGTGTGTGGGGGGGGGCAGTTCTGGCACCATCCGGGGAGAGGGGAATTGCCTAGAAGTAGGAAGTAGCAGGCAAATTATCATCTTCTTTTCTTTTCTTTTTTGTTTCCAGGTAGAAAAATGTCCACTTTCCTTATGGTTGGCCTTCTCCTGCTCTTTGTGGTTGAGTATGGTTCCTCTGAGAACTCCAGTACTCCACGAGGATGTGGACTAGATCTCCTTCCTCAATATGCTGCCCTGTGTGACCTGGATGCTATCTGGGGAATTGTGATTGAGGCTGTGGCCGGTGCGGGAGTCCTGACCACGCTGCTCCTCAAGTTGATCTTGCTGGTCAGGCTGCCCTTCATCAAAGGCAAGGAGAAAAGGAGCCCATTGGGCCTCCATTTCCTCTTCTTTTTAGGGACCTTGGCTCTGTTTGGCTTGGCCTTTGCGTACATCATTGAAGAGGACGAGACCATCTGCTCCATCCGCAGGTTCTCCTGGGGAGTCCTCTTCGCCGTCTGCTTCTCCTGTTTGCTCGCTCAAGCCTGGCGGCTCCGGAGGCTGGTCCGCCACGGCAAAAGCCCATCTGGATGGCAGCTGGCCGGGATCGCCGTCTGCGTTGCGTTGGTCCAGGTCATCATTGCCACGGAGTGGCTGATACTGACGATTGTGAGGGAAGGGAAGCCGGCCTGCCGTTACGAGCCCATGGATTTTGCAATGGCTTCCATTTACGTGATGTTCTTGATGGTGGTCACCATGTGTTTCTCCTTCTTCACGTTGTGTGGGAAATTTAAGAAGTGGAAGAAGAACGGGGTGTGCCTCGTCATCACCAGTTTCTTCTCCATCCTCATTTGGGTGGCGTGGCTGACTATGTACCTGTACGGTAACAAGGAACTGGGCAGAAGAGACCAGTGGCAGGATCCCACCCTTGCAGTGGCTCTGGTAGCCAACGGGTGGGTCTTCCTAATCTTCTATGCCATCCCAGAGGTTCACTGTGCCATCCTCCCGTCTCAGCAAGAGAACACGCCCAACTACTTCGACACTCCGCAACCGCGGATGCGTGAAACCGCTTTTGAGGATGACCTCCAGCTTCCTCGGAGTTACATGGAGAATAAAGCTTTTTCAATGGATGAGCATAATGCAGGTGAGCGTTTATTTGTTTAGGATAGGGCTGAAGATGGCTTGTCGTAAGTCATAATAATGTGGAAAGGTTGACCAAATAAAGATTTGAGGAATGGAATACTTTAAAGTAGCAATGAGTCAAACAGGAACTGCTTATAGGAGAAAGAAAGAGGAAAAGAGGACCTGATCTAGGGCACTAACTTTGCAGCACTGATCAAAAGGGCCCAGCAGAGATTATACTACCTGAGACTTCTCAGGAAACAACTGAATGAAAAACTGCTGGTGACCTTCTACCGCTGCACCATAGAGAGTATTTTAACTTACTGCACCTGTGTATGGTTTGCCAATTGCCCAGTGGCAGATAGGACAGTGCTCCAGACGGTTAGTGTCATTGCCCAGAGGATCACTGGTTGCCCCCTCCCCTCCTTAGAAGAGCTTTATAGCTCCCGCTGCCTTAAGAAAGTTCAAAACATTCTTAAAGATCCATCTCATTCTGGGCATCCTTTTTTTTTGAACTATTACCCTCTGGCAGACGGTACAGGACAATAAAAACAAGGACAAACAGGCTGAAAAACAGCTTCTATCCCAGGGCAATAACCAAATTTATATATATTTTAATTGTTTTTTAATATTTGTATTTTATGTTTTTTAATTCTGGCTGTACACCGCCCTGAGTCCTCAGGGAGAAGGGCGGTATATAAATTATAATAATAAATAATAATAATAATAATAATAATAATAATAATAATAATAATAATAATAATAATAATAATATTGAATTCTACGGTATAGTGCAATATCGGGTTTTCAATTTCAATTATATAGAATGTAAAGGATGTATGTTTGTGTTTTTATTTTTATAGTTATAATGTACACTGAAGACGGCATTTAATTTCGCTGTACCGTGTGCAATGACGATAAACTAAACTAAAGAAAGGCATAGCCTGGGGGGGGTGGAGTCAAGAGAGGAATCAGCCTAGAATCATTATGCTCTCACAAACAGTCTAAGGCCAAACCCTATTGAAGTTGGCCAACTCTTATTTAGCGCCAAGTTAGTGCTTACTATTAATTGACTGGAGAAGCACGTTGGCTCGATGGTTAAAGATGCTGAGCTGGTCGTCCAGAAAGTTGACAGCCTGGGTTCGAGATCCGAGTGCCGCACAAGAGAGTGAGCTCCTTTTCTTGCCCCAGCTCCCGCCCACCTAGCAGTTGATAGTGTGTCATAACTATGCTTTCTCTACTGGAATCTAGAATATAGTTTCACTAAGTATCTCCTGATCCGCATAGCTACGAGATTGAAGCTGCTGCAGTTTTGTTCCTGGGCTTCTTGGTGATGAATTGCAATTTCCTGTCCAGTTTTCACCTTGAGTTAAATCCCATGCGTCATTCCTGTTTGGCACCCGAGTGCCTGAAATTCTGCTGGAATCCTTAATAGCAAATGTTGAGAACAAGGCACCCTCCCTACGCAGCTGAACTACATTTCCCAGCATCCCTCAATTCTGGCCCCATTAGTGGAATTATAGGAATTAGAGTTATACAGCAACATCTGGATGGGAACGGATCCAGTGGATTTTCTTTCAGACTAATCTCTCTTCACTGCCACTGAGAAGATTTAACAGCCATTTGACTGCTTCTGAAGAGAGGTCTCTTTTCCCCTTTTTTCTTCCTTTATTGAGGAAGGTGGCAGAAATGATCAAGCTGTGAGACTGAGTCTAAAAGATTTATTGCTGAAAAACCCTGAATGCGCATTTCCTTTTTTGCCAGCTGAATCAATATCTTTGCACGCTCAAGTGTGCATCTCGCAGCAAGTTGGTTTGATCTTAGTTCAATAAAGCAATATGCCATTGATTTACAATATCCTGACATTTTCCCCAGGAGAAACAAGGTAGAACAAATCTGTCATTTGGTGTTCCTTTGGCATTTTTAAAATCATGCGCCTTCATCTACTGATGAAATAAAATGACAGGCCTGTATTTTGATAGATTCCTTTTCTTTTTAAATCTTACTTGCCGCATTGAGCACACAATGTCCAGCCAAAGCAAGCAATCTGGAATAGTCGTAATTCATAAATGAATCTAGGAATAAGCTCAGTTCAACATTGTGGACTTGACTCTAAAGACAGCACAAAGGACAATGCTTCAGTGAGATGTCCCAATCTAATGATGCTTAACTCATACCATAGGAATGGTTAAGTTGCGTAGGAGAAGGATAGGCAGAGCCTGGAGGTGGAGTCAAGAGAGTAATCAGCCTAGAGTCATTACGTTCCCACAACCTCTTTTGAATTCTGTTAAACTCTTATGTAGCATCAATTTAGGGCTGACTGTTACTGGCAACATTCAACAATAAATCAGTAGGTAAGTCACTTTTTTCAACACTGTTATAATTTGAAACAGTCACTAAGTAGAATAGAATAGAATAACAGAGTTGGAAGGGGCCTTGGAGGTCTTCTAGTCCAACCTCCTGCTTAGGCAGAAAACCCTACACCACTTCAGACAAATGGTTATCCAACCTCTTCTTAAAAACTTCCAGTGTTGGAGCATTCACAACTTCTGGAGGCAAGTTGTTCCACTGATGAATTGTTCTCACTGTCAGGAAATTTCTCCTTAGTTCTAGGTTGCTTCTCTCCTTGATTAGTTTCCACCCATTGCTTCTTGTCCTGCCCTCAAGTGCTTTGGAGAATAGCTTGACTCCCTCTTCTTTGTGGCAGCCCCTGAGATATTGGAAGACTGCTACCATGTCTCCCCTGGTCCTTCTCTTCATTAAACTGGACATACCCAGTTCCTGCAACCGTTCTTCATGTGTTTTAGCCTCCAGTCCCCTAATCCTCTTGGTTGCTCTTCTCTGCACTCTTTCTAGAATCTCCACATCTTTAGATAAGTGAATGGTTGTAAATCAAGAACTACCAGTAATCACCTCCACTAATCTGCCTAATCAACTTTTATAGTTTCCTAGATTAGTGGCCATCACTTAGGAAGTGCATTTCCCAGGTTAACCAGGGACAGTGGAAATAATTTCCCAAGATTTCTTCTTTCTTTGGCTTCGAGTATTTTGAGAAAAAAAAAATCTCAAAAATCTTTGCTCTTCCTATGCCATCCATAATTCTCTATATCATTGTCAAGCGGAGCCATCTTTTGGACTTCTTTACGATTTGAGTTTCTAATGTTAGGTACATTTTCCAGCTGTCTTCCCATTGTTGGTTGAACAGAAGTATTAAATATGTAATGATGACCTGAAACAAATTCTCTTACACCTCCAAAAAAAAAGATATTGATACGATTTGCAAAACCCCACATTCCTTTAGTTTAAAAACTAAACTTAATTTGTTTAAAAAAAAAAAATAAGTAGGTTGTTTATATTTATTGTGGAGGGAGTATTTCCTGTCAAAGAAATATTTCAGCTTGTGTTAAGGCTTCACTTTGAGGTGAGGTGGTGCCAGGTGTGACAGATCAAGTCCACCTGTGAAGGCCAGTTAATCTGATTTATCTCATGCCTATGTACAGGAATATTCTCAACAGTCAAGGCACCTGCTTGGAATTAGATAAGAGTCAACAGGATTAAAGGAGAATTGGATTTACTGTAGCTCACTTGTGGCTACATAAGAATTCTAGGCTAATCCCTTGTTTAACTCCCCATGCTCTGCCATTCCTTCTCTTACAGGTGGAAAACAACAGGTAGGTTTTAATTCCAGGCAGGACCAAGGACAGCTCCAGTAAACTGGAGCTGTCCCAGGTCCTGCCTGGAGTTAAAAATCCTACCTGTAGCTCTCCACCTGACCTTAAAGCCGTCTAGGGAGAACTTCCATCTGCCTTTTTTTTGTTTGTTTGTTTCCCCCTCCCCGAAATCACTTATCCCTCTTTTCTGTCTTCTTCTTTCCCTTCCTCTTTCCTGATTTCGCGCAGCGTTACGGACGGCAGGATTTCGCAACGGCAGCTTGGGAAGCCGTGCAAGCGCTCCCTTCCGAAGCAACGTCTACCAGCCCACCGAGATGGCGGTTGTCTTGAATGGTGGGACTGTAAGTATCAAAAGGGGATGCGTAGAAGAAGCTACCCCTTAGTGGGGGATAAAGGCTCAACCCATTGCTTTCAACTCAGAACTTCCTTCGGTTGGACGCTTGCTGATATTGGGGAGCAGGGGAGAATGACGGGTGGGTGGGGGTGGGTGGGGTGAGAATGAGATGCGGGGAGCTTCAACACCCAAGGATGCATGCAGGGCCGAATTCCAAATTCCGTGTTGTTGAGCCAGTCGAGTTTTTCTTTGCTCGGATTGTTCTCTGGGCACTGACACAACCACCCCATCTCTTCTGTTTTGGGGGGGGGGGGAAAGGGAAAAACACGATTTGATTCTGTCCATTTCCTCCTGGGAGAGTCAGTGACAAAAATATTGGAACGGTCACTTAATATTCTTCTGGTCTGAGAAACCAGAGATGACGTCTCTAGGAAAGCTCACCCACTTCTTTGTCCATTAGCATCGACCATTGCTCCTTTTCCCAACCAATCGCCGCCTCGTTTTTTTTTTCCTTGTTTTTTTTTTTAGCTGAACTACCATCCATTGGTGGTGTCCTTCCTTTAAATTTGTGCGGCTTTGCAAAACGGGCCCTTCTCTAAAGACTTCCTACCCACAGCAGCCCAAATCAAGCGGGTTGCTTCGAAAGATTTCCTTCAACGGAGGAATCCTTATTTATCTCCTTGGCGTTGCCTAGGGTCAATGTTGACCAAGGAGCTGCCCAAAACCGCTTTGATCCTTTTCGCGCTGTACTTCCCCTCCACCTTCTGTTGGCCCCACCCATGATGCTTCCCTCTCCCCCAGCTGCTTAATTTGTCACGACCATGGCTCTGCTTACTGCTGCCCTGTGGCCTGCTTCAAAATGCCACTCATTTGGCTTCCTTCTGCTCCGTAGAACCTTAGATTTGCATTCCTTTAAGTCAGCCACGGACTGACTCCCATCAGGCAATTTTGCATTTATTTTTCTCTCTTTTGAGTCTTGTTTTGGGTGGGGAGGATGGGGAGAGGTGGATGTTGCAAAACATACAGTTGATCTTCCTCCAGAGCCATATCAGGAAGGATATTCAGTTCAGCCAGCAGTAGAGGAGAGTGTTTTGAAGGGTAATAAATCCCGAACGATCCTCATCTCCCGGCTGATTTTATCTGATTTTTATCGGCAGCAGCTGGCTTTCTGAAACTCAGAAGCCCATTCTGAAACTCAGAAGCCCATTTGCAACTTTTTAGCCTGTCGTTCATATTGAAAAAACACAGAAGGGGTTTAGTCTTTCACAAGAAGATAAAATTGAACAAGTTTTGCATCATTGCAACATGAAAGATGCTAACACAACAAAGACACCCATGCAAACAGATTTTCATAACTTGACAGAAAGTCCTGAATTCGAGGATCAAACACTTTATCGTTCAGTCATTGGGTCACTATTGTACATTAGTAGTTGGACCAGACCCGACATTGCACTTAGTGTTAATCTCTTATCTCGACACGTAGGTAAGGCAAAACAGTTTCATTGGACATGTATTAAGAAATTACTGAGATACCTAAAATACACCAAACATTTGAAGTTATTGTTAGAACCAACACATACTGATTATGCAGAATTATGTTGTTATGCAAACCCCAATGGGGGATTTTTGGGTCTTTTTTTGGCCGATGGGAAGGTGAAAATAGAGTAATGTGGGCTGTTATGTGTTGCGCGCTCATGGAATAGAGTCTCATCCTTAGTAAGATTCAGGAGTTGAAAGCCTCTGATCAATCCAAGGCAGTTAGAACCAAGCAATGAAAATAGAAATCCGAGGAGTTTGTTTCATTACTAATGGAGGAGGAAGAGGAAGAAGAAGAAAGAAGTACAGGTAGTCCTTGACTTACAGTAGTTTGTTTAGTGACTGTTTGAAGTGATTTATGACTGTTTTTTTTTTTTTCGTGACCATCGCAATAATCTCCGTGATCAAAATTCGGAGGTTTGGCAACTGACTCGTATTTATGACGGTTGCAGTGTCCCGGGGTTATGTGATCCCCTTTCTGACAATGGAGAAGCCACTTAACAACTGTTACTAAATTAACAGCCGCAAGTGATTCACTTAACGACTGTGGCAAGAAAGAAAGGTCGTTAAAATAGGTGGCAAAATTCACTTCCCAACATATTCGCTTAGACAACGGATATGTTGGGCTCCATTGTGGTCGTAGGCCAAGGACTACCTGTACAAGGTAAAATGCAACACAGAGCTTGTGTGATGTAACTGACTTAATAGCAGGGACTTTCTCAACGTTCGAAAATGCTTAATCGTGGATGTATTATCCTTATTTCCAGATTCCAACTGCTCCACCAAGTTACACTGGAAGACACCTATGGTGAAAAGCTTAGAGGTCATAGAGGAAGAGAGAGAGACAGAGACAGAATCCATTAACAAAAATTGATTGCCACACACCCCCTCTCCCCAAAAAAGTGTGTGTTTTTCAGAGGGAGGAAATCCATTTTGGGGGTGGGGCGTGGAAGTTCCTAAAAACTGGTAGCTTGGAGTTCTTTTTTCCTTTTTTTTTTTTTAATAAAACAAATAAACAAAACAAAAAAACGAAACAAAAACAAACCATGAGTTCTGTCAAATCGATAAGCTAACTACCAGGAGCCTCCGCGCTGCAATAGAAGCTGACCCGAATTTAAACAGTAGGCCTAGGCACATTGCTTCTTATTTTAAAAATAGAAAAAAAGTGGGGAGAGGGAGGAGAAAGGGGATCAAGTAGCAAAATCACAAGAGAAAGGGTTTGGTTTGAGAAAAGTGGGAAGGCTTTGGAAGGGGCAAAGGTCTTTCGTTCACGTAACCGTGATTTGTGCGCGATTGTTCACACAAGGGGGTCTTTTGACTTCTTTGCTACTCTTGGAACAGCATTCGTGGGGGTGGAGGTAGGTGGGGAGAAAGCCTATTTAGATCAGGGGGTGTTTCTCCAAATTCAGCAACTTTAAAGACGGGTGCACTTCAGTTCCCAGAATGCTGGCTAAGGAATTTGGGGAACTGAAACCACCCATCTTAAAAGTTGCAAAAACTTTGGAGACCCCTGATTTGGAGCAGGGTTCTGCAAGCTTAGCACTTTTTAAGATGAGTGGACTTGATGTTGGCTGACGAATTCTGGGAGTTGGAAGTCCACCCGTCTTAAAGTGGCCCAACTTTGAGAAACGCCGATTTAGAGTAAGTTGTGGATCTACACCAGAGGTCTTCAAACTTGGCAGCTTTAAGACTTGTAGACTTCAAGTTGAAGTCCACAAGTCTTAAAACTGCCAAGTTTGAAGACTTCTGGTCTACAGTATGGCACCCTCCAGTGACAAGACAGGGTATTTTCTCTTTGCATCCAAAGTGTGTGCTTGTGGGATTCCAGATCAGGTGGCAACAGTGACCCCAGAGTCAGTGGTGTCCTCGCCAGGCATCCTTCTGAAGTGCCCAACCTCTTCTTCAAACCACGAGAGCTTTCACCCAGGCTTCTCTTCTCCCAGAAGCAGCACAGACAAGTTGACCATCAGGGTGTGCTTGGTAGGATCAAGGAAGCCACCTGCCCTGCTTTCCCGGTTGACCAAGGTCACAGCTGGGGCAAAGTCTCACAAATTGAGTGTCTCCAGAGGGGGGAAAAAAACAACTGGTGCCAGGGAGTTAGCTAAGATAGCTCAGGAGAAAGACAACGTATGGGAACGATCCCTCCAAGCTTCCTAAGAGTTTCCCCCTCCCCGCCAAAAAAAGAAAACGTATCTCAGTGGATCACCAAATGTATTGTCCTCACCATAAATTCAAACCTGAGGTCCTTCTCTCAGGCCAGGAAATCCTCTCTCCACTGGGGGAGGGGGGGGGCGACCTTAAAATCCCCCACTCTTCACTCCCAAACCTAGTTGAACACTGAAGCCTCATGGACTGCAATGTTGCGTTGCACATCGATTGCCTTTTCTCATGTGTATCTGGAACGTTGGGTTATTATTGTTATTGTTATTATTATTAGATCGTTTTCACGTGGCTGTTGGGAATTTCTTCCCCTCCCCTCCCCCCCAAACCGGCTCCTTTGCCACACGACCTCCTAATTCTTTCTGCCTTTTTCACATTGCTATGATTTCAGTGACGTTTGGTGAAGCATTCCTTTCGTAGGGTGAGCATTTTCAAGCATGTAGATTTGCCATTTTTACATTCGGCTGGCTAGCTAGCACCTGCTTTCTGCTTTCCTAGAGACTGAAAAAAGCAAGTCTGATTTTGCTTGATTGTGTGTGTGTTGGAGAGGGGTGTGTGTGTGTGTGTGTGAGAGAGAGAGAGAGAGATATGAGAGAGAGATAAAAAAACCAAGACGGTATAAAATATCTCAAAGGATAGAATTTTTTTTTTTTGCACTTGTTCTAAAGAGATTCGCTTTGCAAAATGGGCAATTGACAATGATAACAGAAATAACGATTGCTGAATCCTTCAGTTTTGCAAAGCCGGTTCTTAGAAGGGGGGGGTGGGGAATGTAATCAATTAGTGTTTGAGGATTCTTTTTTTTTTTTTTCCTTTTCATGTCCCCGGTTTTTAATTTAACTAATTTTATCGGTTTCATCCTATTCGTTAACATACCCAACCTCGCTGTCTGGGTAATATGTAAGGAATTAAAGAGGTAAACTGTCTAAATGCTATTTTATATTATATGCAAGTTTCTTGCACTCAGAACGGTCCATATTTGAAATTGAATAAAATAAATAAATAAATAAATAAATAAAATATTTAAAAGATGCATTCTGTCTTCTCAGGAAAGATTCTGAATGGATCTCTTTCTGGAGTGCTAATTTTCTACATATAAATATTAGCATTAGGATTAGTAATAATAATAATAATAATAATAGTATGTGAGGGCATGCCGTTAAGTAACAACCTGAACCGAGAATTATTCTGAAAATCTTAGATAAGATTTTACTAATTAGATAATTAGTAAAGGATCCATTTTACCTATAAGCGATCCTAAAGTCAATCTTATTCGGACAGAGTCGTAGGAGAATAGGGAAATAAACTCCTTGTCCCGTCAAATTTGGTGCACTTTAACGTTTTGCTAAGATTGTTTTTTCCTTTTCTTTTCTTCCTGTTAAGAACTGCTTTCTTTGTTTATGATTTATTTGAGTCTTGTTGCTATTCGGCGGAAAGGAAGGGCTAATAAAACTCTGTTATTAATTTATGTATCCGCTCTTGTCAGCTTTGAATATCCATTTTAGTGTGGGGGAAAAAAAGCAGAGTGTGAAAAACCTTGAAATAAATGTGACGGTAGATGATGCCACATCGGTGCGTTTGTATAAGGCACAGAGTTGGCATCACCTCTATTAAGAACCTGGCTTTTTTAGGAAAGGGTAACTGGTGTAAAACCAGCCAGTGTGTGAAACACAACACTTTACTTTGTTCTATGAATTCTGAGTTGCTCTTGTCGCCATGATCATTTTAGCAAATGGAATCTTTTTTTAAAAAAAATTGCCAAGTAGGTAACAGCAATAATTTTTGTGGCCCACAAAGGTTTACGTATTGTACAAGGGGGGGGGGGGGGAATTGCATTGTTGAGTTCCAGGGATTTGCAAAAATTTAATTTGATGTAAATCTTATTTGATTGTGTAAAATTATGGGAAAACTGGATGGTTTGCTATTTTCCTAACCTCTGTTTAAAATACAAAGCAATATTTTTAATAAGAGGGACATTCATAAATATATAATTTAACTGCTTCACATACACAGAGTTGGAACACTGCTGTGGGTCTATGCAGGACAGAGATTTGATATGGGTGGAAATGGGGTTTTGAAACTATTTTTATTACCAAAATGCATATGATGAACCTGGGGTAAACGGTTGGAATTAATTACTTTTCCCAGTTGAATGTGGACAAGAGGAGAGAGACGAAATTGGGTTGTGTTTTAACTGGAGGAAAAGACCATTTTTAGAAGGTTCTGAGGCTGTCCAATTTGTGTTTATTTTTCTTTCTTTTTAGACAAGGAAGGATTTAGCCGTCCTCCTTCCCGTTAAATCAATGGCGGTTTGGGAGCTTAAAAGACAGGGTTGGACACCTTCTAACCTCTCCTGTGAACCGGGGCCGTGCCTCCTAGTGGTGGGAGGCGTACCAATAAAACTATAAGGGATTATTATTTTCTCAAACTATCATTATTATTATTATTATTATTAGCCTGTGGTTTCTGATGTTCGCTGCTGCTGCTGCAACTCTTCCCCAAAACGCCTCTTGTTAGAAACTTTTTTAAAAGACACCCTTGTGTTGAGTTGTGTCTCTTTGTGTTAAAAGTTACAAAAAGTTGTATGATGTTTTGCTTTTTGGTCAAAAGTTGTGATGAATGTAAGAGCATCTGGGGAGGCTCATGGGAAGTGAAACCACCTGGGTTTCGCAGCAGCTTGCTTTGGGAAGCATCGATGTTAATTCTGTGCTTTGTGATTGTCGATTAATTGTTAACTAGAAAAATACAGCAAAATTCCCCCAACATAGAAAAAGCAGGCTAGGAGGCCATTTATATAGCAATTGGGGAAATGAGCTAGATCAAAATTTCCCCCTGGCAAATTGGAAAGGAACAATTTGAACGACAGATGCAGTCTGAGCAAGGTTGCTAAGTTCCATGCTGTATTGTTATTGGCACCAGAGTTTTCCTTGGGACTTCCAGAATTGGGCTGAAAACCTCCCAATCGACCTCCAGATGGCAGCAGAGAGATAGAGCTTTCTGACTCTTTGCAGCCATCTAGAGGATGTCTTGATCCTTGCAGCTCAGATTCCGGAGCTCCAGCATCAAGTAGCAAATGCCACCCAGCCAAGGGTTGAAGGAAAGAGTTGGGTAATGTTCTGTAAGCTTGCCTGCTGCCTTAGGTGGAGAATGAAAGGCCATTCTCCCCATGGAGAAAGCATGATCTACCACGCTTTTCTGCACGAGGTGGGGATTCCACCTCGTTCCTTCCTCCTTCCCTTCCGATTCTCGGGCTGATTCTGCCTGCTTGCAAACTGCACCTCCTCAAAGCCGACAGCAAACTTTCCAGTGACTTTTCACAGTGCTGGAGGCCTACTAAAACATTAAGCATGCTTCCGTTCTACTAATCTTGGTGCATGCCCAGTGGGTCTTAACTTCCTGTCAGCTGCACCCCTTTTCCACAGCTGGATAGCTTGGAGGGCCATGCATGAAATCTATAGAAAGCAGGCAGGGCTGGCCAATCAGAACCCAAGGAGGTTTCTGGCTTGACGTCATTGGTCCTGAGATGTATCTCCATTTACATTCACCGACTGTCAATTTCCATTAAGCTTTAGTTCTGTGGGGATCAGCTGAACAATGAGTTCTTCCTTCATGCTCAACTTTATCAAGTTTGGTGCAAACTCTTGGACTCCCAGAATTCTCAGAAACATTGACCACCCTGTGGGGAATTCTGGGAGTTAAGAGTCCATGCATCTGAAGGGCGTCCAAGCTTAGGGAAGAGAGTGCCACTATCGTGGCCAATGTTTGAGAAGGCCTGGACTTCCATGTCTGTGATTTTAGAAGGACAGTAGGTGCCCAGAAGTCATGACCACCTCCAGGCTGAATCCTAAATGAAGCAAGATGTCTTTCAATACTAGCTGAAATCTGCTTTTTGGGAACATCGTTGCTTTGGCTAATTTACTGCTCGAAGCTTCCATTCTAATCCAAAGCAGCAGAAATCAGAAGCAATTGTAGCTTTGATAGGAGATTTGAGAAAAAAAAATATATAAATATTATAATTTGACTACTCTACTATCCTTACCAGATAACCCAACCGGTGCTTTTTATTAAAATGACAAGTGCTCTCTTCTTCTTTTGATAATATATATGTAAATATTTATTAAATGTATTAATGTGCTTTTTTTATAATATTCTCCCCCCCCCCCTTCCCTTATCTTGTTGACCGTTTGCGTACCATTTCATATTCTACATCTCTGGAAGGTTTTTTGAGACAATCAATTGTGTACCATATGGACTTCTTGTACATAAGAGATATGAAATTTAAACAAAAAAAAAAAAAGAGAGTTGTAAAGCCTGGGCAAAAGGAAGATACATTTTATTTTCAAAATGCTGTTCTTAATGAAGAAAATAAAAATTTTAAAAAAATAAAAATAAAGAATTACTATTTACTTACAATAGCCTGGTCGTTATTTGTTATTTGTTTTGTTGTTTTGCTTAAAAGCTTTTGTGTGTCAATGTTTGTGCGGTGGGAACAGTTCAATGAGCACAGCTGCCGTCGGCCGAATTGGGTCCCAAGAGATCCTCCTCTTTTTATTTTTTTTGATCTTTTCAGCTGCTAATGCTTCTAGAATTAAGGGGGAGGGAGGAAAAGCTGGGCCTAAAGCTCTTAGGGTGTTTTTCATAATGCGTTTGTCCGTTAATTTAAAGGAACATATTCTTGGCCAGCACATCAGATGGTTGCAAACCAAATGCACAGACTGGCTTTGCGACACAATTTTTTGGGGGGATGATGTTGAAATGGTTAGCAAGGAGAAACACGTTTCCTTAGGTAGCTTCCCAGAGAGCAGGGATTCTCAAAACATTTTGATCTCAGGACGCCACTGCATTCTTTACAAATGCATCGCTTCGGTTTATGTAGGTTATATCTATTGATATTTACTGCATTAAAAGGAGAAGCAATTTGGTCTAGTGGTGAAGGCACCAGGTTAAGAGCCAGAAGATGGTGAGTTCTAATCCTACTTTAGGCATGAAACCTGGCTGGGTGACTTTGGACCAATCACCAGGAGATGGTGAGTTCTAGTCCCGCCTTAGGCATGAAAATTGGCTGGCTGACTTTGGACCAATCACCAGGAGATGGTGAGTTCTAGTCCCGCCTTAGGCATGAAAATTGGCTGGCTGACTTTGGACCAATCACCAGGAGATGGTGAGTTCTAGTCCCGCCTTAGGCATAAAAACTGACTGGGTGACTTTAGACCAATCACCAGGAGATGGTGAGTTCTAGTCCCTCCTTAGGCATGAAAACTGACTGGGTGACTTTGAGGCAATCACCAGGAGACGGTGAGTTCTAGTCCTGCCTTAGGCATGAAAGCCAACTAGACAACTTGAGGCCAGTCACTCACACTCATCCCAACCCACTTCACAGGGTGGCTGTTGTAGAAAAAATAGGAGGAAGGTGTCTTGGATCCGTTCACCACCTTGGGGTATTTATAAAAATAAATAAATAAATAAATAAAAATAAAAATAAATAAAGGTGGGATACAAATAAAAAAACCAATTCTTGCATATTTAGGTCAATGTTACTTTCCTTATGCCCTACACCAGCCAGCAGATGATTTGGGACCCTGAACCCATAATTCTGAAGAATACAACTTTATAATTAAGAGAGGCTGATGTATCTTACCTGGCATGAATTCTCTGCAAGCTTGGAGCTGCTTAGCTGGTCGTTGCTAATCTTTCCTTTGACCTCAGGTGTCTTCGACTTATCCGCCATTGCAGTTTTTGAGAGACTTGGACTGGGCTCCTCAGAGTCTTCCAGTTTGGTTCCCACTGAAAAAAAAATAACACACATTTTTGGTTCATATTATTAAAAACATTTTCAGCAGTCAAAAAATGGAAAATATTCATAGGTAGATGTTTAAATCAGGTCAGGAATCCGTAAAATATCATGGAGGTGGGCTCAATTCTTGGTGACTCCTTAAATCAGGGGTGTCCAACCTTGGCAACATTTTAAGACTTGTGGACTTCAACTCCCAGAATTCCCCCAGCAAGGCTGGTTGGGCATTTCTGGGAGATGAAGTCCACAAGTCATAAAGTTGGCAAGGTTAAACACCCCTGTTTTATAGCGAGTGGTATCACATTGCAAGGGACACGGTGGTTCAGTGGCTAAGATGCTGAGCTTGTCGATCGAAAGGTCGGCAGTTCAGCAGTTCGAATCCCTAGTGCCGCGTGATGGGGTGAGCTCCCGTTACTTATCCCAGCTTCTGCCAACCTGGCAGTTCGAAAGCACGTAAAAAATGCAAGTAGAAAAAAATAGGGACCACCTTTGGTGGGAAGGTAACAGCGTTCCATGCGCCTTTGGCGTTGAGTCATGCCGGCCACATGACCACGGAGATGTCTTCGGACAGCGCTGGCTCTTCGGCTTTGAATCGGAGATGAGCACTGCCCCCTAGAGTCGGGAACGACTAGCACGCATGTGCAGGGGGAACCTCTACCTTTTATCACATTGCTATAAAATTTGAAAAGACCCATGCTAAGTCGCTAAGCCGTAATGTATGTTTGCAAGCAATTATTTTGCTCCAACTAAATAAAACTTATTACGGCTTTGTGTGATGCCTCAATCTGGATAAAGGTGGCTTTTTTAAAAAAAAATCCCAAGTAAGATCTTGCAGGTCAGACTTACTACGATCTTCCTGGCTTTGGCTGCCTCTCAAAGGACAATTTCAAAGACACCTACGCACGGAAAAACACGTATACACACACAGAGAGAACTTAGAGCTCTGCAGCGGTATTGACCTCTCTATGGGGCTGCTGTGGGTTTTGGAGGGCTGCATTCTCAGCTGTTACAGACCAGATCAAATGTCCGTGCCCTCTCTGGCACCTGAGTGGCACTGGATGCAAACACATTCTTTTAACATTCAGGCTCACGCAAGCGCGGATCGTGTGGCTTGATTCCGAAAGGATGGTTCATGATTTTGTATGCACGCGGACGATGGGCGGAGACCGATCAGGAAAAAAAAAAAAGGCAAATTAAATAAAAGGGTATCATTTGGTATAAACCAGGGGTGTATCCAGCCTTGGCAACTTTACGATTTGTGGACTTCTCTCCGGTGGTGAAATCCAATTTTTTTTTACTACCGGTTCTGTGGGCGTGGCTTGGTGGGCGTGGTGTGGCTTGGTGGGCGTGGCAGGGGAAGGATACTGTAAAATCTCCATTCCCACCCCACTCTGGGGCCAGCCAGAGGTGGTATTTGCTGGTGATCCGAAGTACTCAAAATTTCCACTACCGGTTCTCCAGAACCTGTTAGAACCTGCTGAATAGCACCCCTGCTTCTCTCCCATTAAAGCAAGAAGAAAACTCAGCACTTGTCTCACTTAGCAACAGAAAGGCTCAATTGCGGTGGTTCCGTTGAAGGGCTACCTATGTTTCTGAGCTTCTCGGATGGCAGAGGATAGACAATGATCAGGCAGACGTCAGCCTCCACAATTCTCATGCAGGGGATATGTCCTTTAGGAAGACATTAGTATTCCTAAACTTAGGAGAAGAATCTCAGGCATTCGAGAAGGAGAAAGCTGCGTAGCTGTGCCAACGCACGACACATGCCCATTGATACGTTTTCCACCCTTGAACGACGAAGTTTCAGGAAAGAGAATGGTCGCTTTTGTGCACATTTTGAATGAAGGCTGCTGTTTGCAAAGGACAGATGTGCCATTGTCTGGGTGGTGTGGGGAGGAGAGGGGGAAAAAAAAACCCGAATAAACAATTTTGTTATCATGTGATGGGCCCCAAAGGGGGAAAGGCTTATGAAATCCCCACGAAGTTCAGTCTTGGGTCTGCCAACTCATGGTGAGTAGAAAATGCCTTTTAAAAAAAAATAAAAATAAGGACGGTTCTTTTAAACAAACACACTGCAAGCAAAAGGGGAAATGTTTTTCTTTTCATCTGATCATGTGAGAGGGGATTTTTTTGTTTTTGCAAGCTGAGGAGAGATGGGGAAACCTTTCGGTCATTGCCATAACTTTAAGGGCGAAGTGTTCCAATCGAGCGAGTGAGGATATTTGGGGTTGAGACTCAAGGATCAGTTGTCTTGGCAAAACAATGCTAGCACACAAGTGATGGGCATCGAGGGCCATCAGGATGTCCTTCCTATGCAAAGGATGAAAAACATGTTCGGCTATGTCCCAAACAAGAAAAGAAAAGAAAAGAGCAAAATATCTTCTAACCCTTTTGTCCTTCGACCTGTAATGGCTTCTTTCAAGACTGGCACTTTTATTTATTTATTTATTTTATTTTATTTTATTTTATTTCTATACCGCCCTTCTCCTGCGGGACTCAGGGCAGTGTACAGCCGAGATAAAACATTGCATATAAAATTTAAAAGCAGTTTAAAAAACAATTCAATAATTTAAATAATTTCTTAAATTGCAAGAACACTTTACCGATTCTTTGGAAGAGAAGATATGGAGAGATAGAATAGAAATAGAAATAGAAATAATAGGAATAATAGGAATAGGAATAGAATAGAATAAACAGAGTTGGAAGGGGCCTTGGAGGTCTTCTAGTCCAACCGTCTGCTTAGGCAGGAAACCCAACACCACTTCAGACAAATGGTTGTCCAACCTCTTCTTAAAAACTTCCAGTGTTGGAACATCCACAACTTCTGGAGGCAAGTTGCTCCACTGATTAATTGTTCTCACTGTCAGGAAATTTCTCCTTAGTTCTAGGTTGCTTCTCTCCTTGATGAGTTTCCACCCATTGCTTCTTGTCCTGCCCTCAGGTGCTTTGGAGAATAGTTTGACTCCCTCTTCTTTGGGGCAGCCCCTGAGATATCGGAACACTGCTATCATGTCTTCCTTAGTCCTTCTTTTCATTGAACTAGACATACCCAGTTCCTGCAACCATTCTTCATATATGTTTTAGCCTCCAGTCCCCTAATCATCTTGGTTGCTCTTCTTCAAAGGTATTTTTTCAAAAGATTGAGGGGGGAGGGGGTCTATTTCTGAGCAATATTTTTTTCTAGTTACATCGTTTCTTTTAGATGGCGGTTATTTTATTTTATTTTTTTCACCTTGATTGCAAATCGTTCACTTATATGCAAGAGTTGAATTTCCTAGCGGGGACTGTAATCCGATGCAGTTCTCACACAGGGGTCCTCAACCTTAGTAACTTTAAGCCTGGTGGACTTCAACTCCCAGAATTCTGTGAGTTGAAGTCCGTCAGGCTTAAAGTTGCCAAGGTTGGAGTTCCCTGGACATATACAGTTGAGAAAAGCTCATCTGAACTTATCAATTAGCCTCACATTTTTTTCAGTTGTGACACCGACCTACTGAGAATAAACTGAGAAGGGCCTGGTGGCTCAGCAGACTGATAGCATTGTGATTAACACCAGCTGTCTGCAATTACTGTAAGTTCGAATCTCGCCAAGGCTCAAGGTCGACTCAGCCTTCCATCCTTTCTAAGGTAGGTAAATTGAGGACCCAGATTGTGGGGGCAATAAGCTGACTTTGTGTAAATATACAAAAGTATGAAGGCTATTGCTTAACGCATTGTAAGCCGCCCTGAGTCTCTGGAGAAGGACGGCATATAAATCAAATTAAAAAAAACAAAACTATTTCAGATTAATTACCTTTCTTCTCCTGATTGGCCCAGAATTCTCGTACGCGTTTGTTAATGTTCTTTGTCTCCCTCAAATGTTTTTGCCACTGGCGTAATTCTTGAACTTCAGGATCACAACGGACCTAGAAATGGGAAACATACGTGCCTGGGTAAGAAACGCTGGACGTTATCTTTGGAATCAATTTCAAAAGTGCTCCTTCAAAAGGCAAATGTTTTTTTTCCCCCTTTGAAGAAGACGTTTCTCTTCTCATCCAAGAAGCTTCATCATTTTTGGCTGGATGGTGGCCGGAGGGGATGGAAGGATTAGCAGAAGTAATCCATCTCCCCCACCATTCAGCCTGAACTGATGACTGGTTCTTAGATGGGAAGTGAAACTTCTTCAAGGAAAAAACAGTTCAGTTGCCTTTTGAAAAAAGCACCTTTGAGACATCCATGACCTGAATGGCTGAGAATCTCCACAGACATGTTGAGTCAATATTAAATAGTCTTCTTGACAGGGGTGGGCTTCAAAAATATTAGCAAGGGGTTCTCTGCCTAGTTGCTGGGTGTGCATGGCCATAGCCTAGTCGGCCTCCTGCACCACGGCGGGGGGAGGGCGTTTTTGCCCTTCCCGGGCTCCGGAGGCTTTCCTCAAGCCTCCGGGAGGGCGAAAACGGCCTCTCCAGGCTCCGGAGGCCCTCTGGAGGCCCATTTCCGGCTTTCCCGAACTTCCAGCAGGCCCGTTTTTCACCCTCCTCGAGCCTCCATGCGCTCCCCACCCTGGGAGAGGAGGGGTGAGCGGGGCCAGCCAGGAATGGGATTTGGGGGTTCTCCGAACTGCACAGAATCTTAGCTAGAGGTTCTCCTGAACCCCTACGAACCCCCAGCAGTCCACCCCTGCTTCTTGACAACATGATGTCATCTCCCCAAACTCAGTTCTCTGTTGGTGACGTTAAGTACTGTATTTAGATTTAGGAAGATTTAGAGATGCCTGGCCCATGCAATCACCAAGAAGCAGACACGGCTGAATGGATAACATCATCATCATGTATTTGAGAGTGTTTTTTTAAAAAAGCAACTAGACTTTGTTTTTCCCTTGAAGACGTATTGCTTCTCTTCCAAGAAGCTTCCTCGGTTCTCTGAAGAGCTGAATAGAACTGAATAAGCTTCTTAGATGAGAAGTGAAACGTCTATGAGGAAACAAACAAAGTCCAGTTGCCTTTTAAATAAGCCACTTTGGGGACAACCATAACCTGGATGACTTAGAACCTCCACAGATACTTAGGAGTGATACTTTCTAACCGATTGGTACAAAGAAACCAGAGAGACAATAACACATCCGTTTAACTTCTGGCTATGGAATGGTCTTTTGGGATCTTTCTTTATCCATCCATCCATCCATCCATCTATAATTTCTCTTTCTCCTCCCTCTCTCTCTTTCTCTCCTCTCCCTCCCTCCCTCCCTCCCCCCCCCCCCCCTCTCTCTCTCTCTATATATATATATATTCTATCATCCATCCATCCATCTATAATCTATCATATCTATCTATCTATCTATCTATCTATCTATCTATCTATCTATCTATCTCTATCTATCTATCTATCTATCTATCTCTATCTATCATCCATCTATCCATCTATCATCTATCTGTCTGTCGGTCTATCTATCTATCTATCTATCTATCTATCTATCTATCTATCTATCATATCTATCTATCTATCTCTATCTATCATCTATCTATCTCTACCTATCATCCATCTATCCATCTATCATCTATCTGTCTGTCTGTCGGTCTATCTATCTATCTATCTATCTATCTATCTATCTATCTATCATCCATCCATCCATCCATCTATAATCTATCATATCTACCTACCTATCTACCTACCCATCCATCCATCCATCCATCCATCCCTCTCTCTCGCTTTCTGATTGAGCAGGAACTCATCAGGACAGAATAAGCTACCAATAGGATTACTTCTTATAATGGAAACTATCAGATGTCTGCTGTGTCTGGCTTAAAATAGCAAGAGGAGTATAAGTAGCAAATCTCCAGCCATATCCTTTCGGTTGACCTTTAAATCCAGAATGAGAGGATGTTTGTGTCTCTGACAACCCTCTCCCTCTACTCTCCAACCTCATGTGCTTTCCCGTGACGGGGGGGAAAAAAAAAAGCAGGACAACCAAGAGCACGTTGGGTCACAGCAATCAACCCACCCACCAACGAGTCAACCAACCAATCAATCAATCACCCGTACAATTTCTGTAGTAGAGGATTAGAGCAAAGGCCCTTTAGTCCGTGATCATGTTTCCAGTAGAAGCTGGGCAGAAAAGCCACAAATGGAACATGCCAGCCAGAGGTCCTCTTCTTATAGCCCTTATAGGCCTCTTATAGTTGGGCTAAGTTTATCTCACATGTTATATGGACTTACTCTGGACAGCTGCTCTCAGTTGAGGCTATTTCCTTTCCCAATTTCCTTTCCTAATTTACCCAAGCTGCTTTAAGCCTCCAAACTGGAGGTCAACCCCAAGGAGATAGTTATGGCCACCGTGTTGCTACAGCGGCCATTTTGTGAGACTGCCTTCAACCATGCTTTTGAGTCTCCCAACTTTTTCCAACAGGTCGACTTGATTTCCAACAGATCGACTTGACCCAAAACCAGGGGTGAAATTCAGCAGGTTCTGACAGGTTCTGAGAACTGACAGAGGAAATTTTGAGTAGTTCGGAGAACCAGCAAATACCACCTCTGGCTGGCCCCTGGAGTGGGGTGGGAATGGAGATTTTGCAGTATCCTTCCCCTGCCACTCCCACCAAGCCATATCACGCCCACCAAGCCACGCCCACAGAACCGGTAGTAAAAAAAATTGAATTCCACCACTGCCCAAAACGTAAGCCAGCACACAGATTTAGCATTCATGGGTAAGACCTCTGAAATTTTGCAAAGTTTAGCCAGCAAAAGTCAGGGGATTGGGCATGATTTAAATCTTAAAGGACTTTGGGGAGGATTTCAGGAGGAGCAGTTGGGATGGGCAACTGCCATCTCAAGGACAAGAGTTAGAAATATAAGAAGGTTGGTGTCCTCTCAGAAAACATCTTGGGGTGTTCTTAGCTCTTCATTTCCTCTCGTTATGACTCGTTTTCAAATCACCCCTCATTCTTCTCTCCTACAATCCCTTTTTCTCCTTCCTTTCCAAATACCAAGTATCCTGTTCTTTGCTTATTCTTCTCCCCCAATTTGCTGAGTCCTTCCACCCTAAGGGACATGTGTGGTTTTATTTAAATGTATCATCTGGACCAATGTTTCTCAACCTTGTAAAGATACGTGGACTTCAATTCCCAAAATTCCCCAGCCAAAGTTGGAAGTTGAAGTCCCCAAGTCTTAAAAGTTGGTCAAGGTTGAAAAAAACACTGCTGTGGACTAAACAAGACAAGGGAGAACGTGACTTGAAGACGTTCCTGGCCCCTGATCGCATCTGCTTTTGAACATCTAGCACGGTGGGAAACCAAAACTGAGTTTTGCACCCTTGTCAGCATCTTTTGTCTAGCATCTTCAAGGTATTGGTTACCACCTTTAAAGCGCTCCATGGCATCGGACCTGGGTATTTGCGGGATCGCCTTCTGCCACCAATAGCCTCCCACCGGCCAGTACGCTCCCACAGAGAGGGATTCCTCAGGGTGCCGTCAGCTAGGCAGTGTCGGCTGGCGACCCCCAGGGGGAGGGCCTTCTCTGTGGCAGCACCTGCCCTCTGGAACGATTTGTCCCCGGAGATACGGAGGATATCAGATCTCCGGGCTTTTCACCGCGCCCTAAAAACTTTTCTCTTCCATCAGGCAGGGCTGGCGTGAACACCCCCCGCCCCCCCATTTTTGAGATATTAGATTTTTAATTGTTTAATGGGTTTTAGTCGTAAGGTTCTTAATTTTTCGGCCAAAGGATATAATTCTTTTAAATTTTTAACTTTTGTATTGGATGTTTTTTACTTGGCTGTGCACTGCCCTGAGTCCACCAGGAGAAGGGCGGTATACAAATTTAAATAAAATAAATAAATAAATAAATAAATCTTTTCTCCCACAATCCTGTCGCAGCTGAGCAATGGCTGCTATACAAGTCCTCAGTCCACCTGCATCTTTGTAGACATTTACAGCACTTGGGGCTGACACCCTAAGCAGAGGGTTCCCCTTGAGCTAAAGTCTGTTGCACGGAGGGAATATCCGGCAAAATTATTATAGAAGGGTCTTACCCGATAACCTTTCCAGAAGGTTTGGATGATGTGGCCGGCCGCTTTCTCGGTGAGCAGCAGAGACAGAGGAATGGGAGGCCTAGGACTAGAGAAAATATTCCCATTTCAAAATCACATATATATTCTTTATTATTATTATTTATATCCTGCCCTTTATTATTTTTACAAATTAACTCAAGGCCATCCAACGTATCCAACCCACCTTCCTCCTCCTATTTTCCATACAACAACAACCTTGTGAGGTGGGCTGGGCTGAGAGAGAGGGACTGTGGCCCAAAGTGACCCAGCTGGTTTTCATGGCTAAGGCGGGACTAGAACTCCCAATTTCCTGGTGATTGGACCAATGTCACCTAGTTGGTTTTCAAGGCTATGGGGGACTAGAACTCCCAATTTCCTGGTGATTGGACCAATGTCACCTAGCTGGTTTTCATGTCTAAGGCGGGACTAGAACTCCCAATCTCCTGGTGATTGGACCAATGTCACCTAGCTGGCTTTCATGTCTAAGGCAGGACTAGAACTCCCAATCACCTGGTGACTGGACCAATGTCACCCAGCCGACTTTCATGCTAAAGGCGGGACTTGAACTCCCAATCTCCTGGTGATTGGACCAATGTCGCCTAGCTGGCTTTCATGTCTAAGGAGGACTAGAACTCACCATCTCCTGGTGAATGGCATAAAGACATCCAGCTGCCTTTCATGCATAAGGTGAGACTAGAACTCACCATCTCTTGGTGACTGGCCCAAAGTCACCCAGCTGGCTTTCATGCCTAAGGCGGGACTAGAACTCACAGTCTCCTGGTGACTGGCCCAAAGTCAATTCTCAGCGATGTTTACATCCCAGCATTTTTTTCCAGAGAAATACAAGCTTGCCCTTCCTAACATTGCAATACGAATTCCGTCCATGCCTGCACCGGGCTTCGTTTTTCCAATCACGAGGATCTGTCGGGGAACCGATCCAAGTCTAAAGTAGGAATGGGAACGTAAATAACTCAAATCCGACAGGGAAGGGCTTCGTGTCCAAAAAGCCAATCGCGGAAAACCTCACCCGTTCCAGTCCGAAGGAGTCAAAGTCACCCCAGGTTCATTTTAATCCGCTGGAATATTAGTAATTGACTTTAGGTCAAATGAAAATAGAAGATGCCCAGGAGTGAACTGGGCAAGCGGGAATAAATTATTTGTGGCAGGAGACAGCTGGTACACCCCCGAGATGAATCGGCTGACAAAGCAACATGTGGGGAATGTGTGAGGTGTGTTGATTGCAAATATATATATATATATTATAAATGCTCCCTGTGGAGCATTGGTCAATAAAAGCAAAAGTGCTTGGCTCAGTGTGCAATTGGATTTCCCAGAACGATCTGGCATTGCCTGGATGCCCTCACGCGCCAAGTTTTCAGCCACAGGAGGAGCGGATAAATTTAACGTCAGGAAGAAAAAAACGGGGGAGCAGCTAGATTGATGATGATCGACATCAACAGCATCTTGTTCTTAGTGGCGTCCACCGAGGCAACTCGGTCAAAATGCTCAGAGGCTTGAGAGATCTGTTTGGAAAAGGTTGCCAGAAATATTCCTTGACGTGGTTCTGTTGCACCTACTTGGAGATGCTGAATTCCATCCTGCATTTCACCCTTCCTCCCCCTCCATTTTCCAGAAAGACTTCCGTGCTAGGAATCCTTTGTCTAGGAGGTATACCCCATCTTCTCCGCATTTAGATTATCAATGTAAAGATTTTAATTGGTTTTAAATATGGGATTTTAAATTTGGGGTTTTATAATAGGGCCTATCATTTAATAATTTTAATTATTTTTAAATTTTGTCTGTCTTTGTGCTTTTAATCAGGCTGTACACCGCCCTGAGTCCTTCGGGAGAAGGGCGGTATAGAAAAAAAAGAAAAGAAAAAAAAAGAAAGAAAGATTAGGTCGGGGAACCGCTATTTCGCACAGAGTGTTATTAAAAGAGGCGTAAAGGTAGTCCAGCTTTCAAGCAAAGAAGCAGCTGACAAATCCGAGATGCCGCGAAGGGGCAGTTTTGATTGGTCCAGTTTGGAAAGAAGCTACATATATAAGCAGGTTTTTTAAAAAAAAAAAAAATGACAAGAGATAGTCCTCTACTTACAACTATTTGTTTAGTGACTGCCCAAAGTTACAATGGCACTGAAAAAAGCAACTTACAACCGTTTTTCACCCACGACCATTCCCCGCATCCCCATGGCCAAGTGATCAAAATTTGGATGCTTGGCAACTGACTCGTATTTATGACCGTTGCAGTGTCCTGGGGTCAGGGCAAGCAAAGTCAACGGGGAAGCCGGATTTGCTTAACGACCGTGTGGCTAACTTAACAACTGCAGTGATTCACTTAACAACGGTGGCAAGAAAGGCTGTACAATGGGGCCAAAAACTCACTCCACAACTATCTGGCCGTTATGGAAAATAATGGGAAGAGGGGCCGTAACACACAGCGCCTTGAACTCCCGAATGAAGGGCCAGAGAGAATAGGCATCTCTAAACTTTGCTGGAGGAAAGGATTTCAAGGGACAGCTGGGCCTGCTATAGATGGCAGCTAAGTTCGTTTACAGTGTTTCATACACACTTCTTTGTAAAGGGCCAAAATAGAAGCATGTCAGAAGCGATCGTCAAGGCTGTTTGGCTCTCTCAATCCTGGGTAAAATGAGGGCCCAGACTGTTGGGGGCAAGAGGCTGACTCTATAATCTTCTTAGAGAGGGCTGTGAAGCGGTATATAAGTCTAAAGCGCTATCGCTGTTGTTCTTCCCTTTCTCTCTCCTTCCTTCCTTCCTTCCTTCCTTCCTTCCTTCCTTCCTTCCTTCCTTCCTTCCTTCCTTCCTTCCTCCTTCCTTTCCTTCCATGGTGCACATTGGTTAGAATGCAGTATTGCAGGCTAATACTGCCAACTGCCAGCAGTTCGATCCTGACCGGCTCAAGGTTGACTCAGCCTTCCATCCTTCTGAATTTGGTAAAATGAGGACCCAGATTACTGTAAAAGCACGTGAAGCAGTATGTAAGTCTAAGTGCTATAGCTGTTTTTCTTCCCTTCCTTCCTTCCTTCCTTCCTTCCTTCCTTCCTTCCTTCCTTCCTTCCTTCCTTCTTCCCTTCCCTTCCCTTCCCTTCCTTCCATGGTGCACATTGATTAGAATGCAGTATTGCAAGCTAATACTGCCAACTGCCAGCAGTTCGATCCTGACTGGCTCAAGGTTGACTCAGGCTTCCATCCTTCTGAGTTTGGTAAAATGAGGACCCAGATTGCTGGGGGCAATAGGCTGACTCTGTAAACCGCTTAGAGAGGGCTGTAAAAGCTCTATGAAGCGGTAAATAAGTCTAAGCGTTTATCGCTATTGGATTTAAAACATTTACACAGCCGTCCATCTGATAACCAACTCTGGGCTGTTCCCAATCAAAAGCCAAAGCAACATAAAACCCAATAATCAAACTGTAAAACGGGACACATTTTTTATAAAAAAAACAATTTGCAGGCAATTTGCAAAGCACAAAGTTTGGCAAAATGGGCCAATTAGGGCTACCGTCTGGGATTTCTTGACCTTGCCTCCCTCGGCGGAGGACTCTCTATCGGCTGTAAAATTGCCCCCAAGATCTCCCGGTACAGATCTCTTGATCTGCCATCACCCCGCCATCCTAGCGTGGATAACTTGGCTTGTTGATGCAAATCGAAGATGCCAGGCGCAGCGTGACGTTGATTGGGGTTGACAGGCCGAAAGCTCCTGCCCTGCGGGGTTTCTTGTGCCCATGTTTCGAGGCAGAGCACCCTCTCTGCACGTTCCCTTCCCTGATTCGGGAGGGAGGCACACACGGGGAGGGCGGGTTGACGTGGAGACACTGGGACACGATTGGGGTTTATTTATTTATTTTTTGGTCTGGGATCTCTTTCTGGGGTTGCTTCCGAGCACTTAGCCGAAAAGGGTCTGCTCGGCATTTTATGGACAAGCTGTTTAACAGCCTTGTGACGGGTGTCTTGAATTAAAGAAAGGGAAAACAAGAGACAAAGCAGCAGCAGCAGAAGAAGAAAACCTGGAAAATAGCGTGCAAACTCAACCGGCCCCAGATGGTGAGAGAGCTGCGGCTTTTCGGTTCTGTCGGAAAAGGGGAAACAGCAGAGGCTTTGGCTCCCCCCCCAAAAAAATTTAAATAAAAGGAACAGAAAGCCTCTTTTTTTTTTCCAAAAAATAATAATGAGAAAGAACTAGAAAAGGGTAACAAAATACAAAGACCTCTAAATAGAGATTCAGTGATTGTGGCAAAAGAAAGCAAAGGTTGAACCAAGAGGAATAGGCGCCTCGGATGAAATCCCCAAAACATCTGGAGCACCATTTGAACATCATCGGCATTGGCACAAAATCCACATCAGTCAATTGCAAAAAGACAGCTTTACTTGGAACAGCTTACATCCTGCGATGATACCTCTAATACCACCAAACATCAGTATTTGCCTATCCCAGGTCCAATCTTTGCCGATCTATCCCAAGTCCATACATCTTAAAACCTGCTGGGAAACGCTGGAATAAGCCCAATAAACTTTGTGTACTTGTAAATACTTGAGATCCAGTGTAAAAAGGTAAAGGTTCCCCTTGCACATATGTGCTAGTCGTTCCCGACTCTAGGGGGCGGTGCTCATCTCCGTTTCAAAGCTGAAGAGCCAGCGCTGTCCGAAGACGTCTCCGTGGTCATGTGGCCGGCATGACTCAACGCCAAAGGCGCATGGAACGCTGTTACCTTCCCACCAAAGGTGGTCCCTATTTTTCTACTTGCATTTTTTAACGTGCTTTTGAACTGCTAGGTTGGCAGAAGCTGGGACAAGTCACGGGAGCTCGCCCCATTACACGGCGCTAGGGATTCGAACCACTGAACTGCCAATCTTCTGATCAGGGAACTCAGCATCTTAGTCACTGAGCCTCTGCTTCCCTTTTTGCGATCCAGTGTAGACATGGCTTAAACCCCAAGCATGCATTCTCTTCTCTCCCTTTTTCACTTTTTCAATCCCATTGCCTCTAATCCATTGTTTGAATACAATAACAGGTCCTTCCAAGTTCACTCTATCGGCTTCTTGCTGTTAAATTGTTCCTCTTTATTCCATAGTTAATTTCAAGCTCCATTTTAATTTTATTTCTTGAGGTCTGCTTGTTTTAAACCTTGTTAACTCCCTGGAGAGTTTCCTTGGAGAAGAATGAGAGAGTACCATTCAACCGTGCAACCGTGAGCCACCAGGAGCTCTGGTGGCTCAGTAGACTAATTAACATCCACTTACATCTGCTGCCTGCAATTACTGCAAGTTCAAATCTCACCAGGCTCAAGGTTGACTCATCCTTTCTAAGGTAGGTAAATTGAGGACCCAGATTATGGGGGCAATAAGATGACTTTGTATAAATATACAAAAGGATGAAGGCTATTGCTTAACGCATTGTAAGCCGCCCTGAGTCTCCGGAGAAGGGCGGCATATAAATCAAATTTTTAAAAAAATAAATACAATTTTAGGAACAATGTTATGCACACCTTGGCTTTCTGTTTGATTTACAGATCAAGACCTCTTAAATAAATAAATAAAGAGAGAGGTATCGGAAACCATCCTTGGCATTATGACCTAGAAGCCGGCCCAAAATCAGGGACTTGAAAAGGAATTATTAGGGTACCAGCTGGTGGAAGAACAGAGATACAGATATTCAGAAGCAGAATAACAGAGTTGGAAGGGACTTCAGAGGTCTTCTAGTCTAACCCCCTGCTCTAGCAGAAGACCCTAGACCACTCCAGTTTCTTCTTAAAAACCTCCAGTGATGGGAGCACCCACAATTTCTGGTGGCAAGTTGTTCCACTGGTTAATTGTTCTCACCCTTAGGAAATTTCTCCTTAGTTCTAGGCTGCTTCTCTCCTTGATTAGTTTCCATCCATTGTTTCCTGTTCTGCCTTCAGGTGCTTTGGAGAATAGGTTGACCTCCTCTTCTTTGTGGCAGCCCTTCAAATATTGAAACTCTGAACAGAATACCAGAGTTTGAAGGGACCTTGGAGGTCTTCTAGCCCACCTCCCTGCTCTAGCAGTAAACCTTATAGCGTTTCTGACAAATGGCTGTCCAGTCTCTTTTTGAAAGCCTTCAGTGATGGGAGGCTTTCACAACTTCTGGAGGCAAGTCGTTCCATTGGTTATGTATGAGACCACCTTCTGCCACCGATAGCCTCCCACCGGCCAATACGCTCCCACAGAGAGGGACTCTTCAGGGTGCCGTCGGTCAAACAATGTCGACTGGCGACACCCAGGAGGAGAACCTTCTCTGTGGGGGCACCTGCCCTCTGGAACGAACTGCCTCTGGAGATCCGCAGGATCCCCGACCTACGTACCTTTCGCCGTGCCCTTAAGACTCTTTTGTTTCAACAGGCCAGGCTGGCTTAGAAATTGAATTTTAATTGGGTGTTTGTAGTTTTGAATAGAAGGGCCAAATTTTATATATTTTAAATTGTTTCTAAATTTTATGGTATATGTTTGTTTTAATATGGCTGCACATCGCCCTGAGTCCTTCGGGAGAAGGGCGGTATAAAAATTTAATAAATAATAATAATAATAATAATAATAATAATAATAATAATAATAATAAAAGAAGAAGAAGAAGAAGAAGAAGAAGAAGAAGAAGAAGAAGAAGAAGAAGAAGAAGAGAAGAAGAAGAGAAGAAGAAGAAGAAGAAGAAGAAGAAGAAGAAGAAGAAGAAGAAGAAGGACCACCTAATCAGTGGCTGCAGCAAAATTTCACAAACTGACTACCTACAACGCCATGACCGCGTTGCTAAGATCATTCACTGGAAATTGTGCCAGAAGTTTGGATTTGAGTATAGCAAAAACCACTGGGAACATCAGGTTGAGAAAGTTTTAGAGAATGAGAAACTCAAGATCTTGTGCAACTTTAGGATTCAGACTGACAGGCACTTGGTCCACAAAGACTGACATAACAATAGTTGAAAAGAAAAAAGTATGGTTCATTGACATTGCAATACCTGGTGATGCACGGATTGAAGATAAACAGCAAGAAAAAATCACAAAGTACCGGGACTTGCAAATTGAAGTTGAGCGACTGTGGAAAAAGAAATCGTGTGTTGTCCCGATTGTAATTGGAGCCCTTGGAGCAATACCCAAAGGGCTACCCCGCTATTTAGAAATTCTAAATTTACCGGACTTGAACATTTTGACTCTACAAAAAACCACCTTACTCGGAACAGCTTACATCCTCTGACGATACCTTAACAGTTCCTAGGTCCTTGGTTAGGACTCGAGCTGCTGAGCTATTAACCAGCCTCAAAGGCTGTGAATCTCACTAAAGATTAAATAATAATAATAATAATAATAATAATAATAATAATAATAATAATAATAACTGTTCCCACACTCAGGAAATTCCTCCTTAGTTCTAAGTTACCACTCCTTGATAAGTTTCCATCTGTTACTTCTTGTCTTGCCCTCAGGTGGTTTAAGGAATAGGCTGTCACCCCTCTTCTTCGGGGCAGCCCCTCCAATACTGGAAGACTGCTATTGTCTCGTATCATTCATTCAGACCAAGTGAATGGCAGGAGAAAGGGAAGGCAAAGCCACTCACCCATGCAAAATTAGCCCTGGGGGTCAACTGAAAACTAGCAGTGATGGGAGCTGTAAAGGCCATTGAGACTAGCAGACTTGTGGGGGCATTAGAATATGAAAAAGAGAAGGGGTGGGGTGGGGTGGGGTGGGAACACAGAGCCTGGATGAACACTTGACATACCACCCACCCCCCTTCCTGAAATTTGTTAGTGAAACAAAGTAAATAGCAGCCGCCGCGTTGACGGATCTGGAGACGGTGTGGGTGGTGGAAGCCGGAGAGAAATTCTTTGGAGAATACAGAGAATGAGAGGAGGACATGAAAAGCTCCCTGCATTGATGGGGTTCTCAACATCTTGACAATACCAGCTTACTGAAGGGCCATTGTCACCTGAGTCAGATGCCCCTGGGAACCGGCTGGCTGTGGGCAGAGGACACAGGAAGCCACACCAACGTAGAAATGTCGGCAATTTCCTTTTCATTGCCTGGCAATAGGGCCGGCCGGCCGAATTTGAATGCAAGGGCAGGCCAGCTGAATATGGCACAATGTTCTTATTATAGCCTACCTCCTGCCCTCTTTCTCGGCAGCATCCTGGACGTCTCATACCATCCATGAAGTGCAAAGAGGCCAAGGCACTTTCTAGCTGCATTCCAACCATGGTCCCATTCAGGATGGAGTCAGGATAGGAATAGAATAGAATAGAATAGAATAGAATAGAATAGAATAGAATAGAATAGAATAGAATAGAATAGAATAGAATAGAATAGAAGAATGGAATGGAATAAGTAAAGAATGGAATGGAATGGAATGGAATGGAATGGAATGGAATAGAATAGAATAGAATAGAATAGAATAGAATAGAATAGAATAGAATAGAATAGAATAGAATAGAAGAATGAATGGAATAGAAGTAAAGAATGGAATGGAATAGAATGGAATGGAATGGAATAGAATAGAATAGAATAGAATAGAATAGAATAGAATAGAATAGAATAGAATAGAATAGAATAGAAGAATGGAATGGAATAGAAGTAAAGAATGGAATGGAATGGAATGGAATGGAATGGAATGGAATGGAATGGAATAGAATGGAATAGAATAGAATAGAATAGAATAGAATAGAATAGAATAGAACAGAATAGCAGAGTTGGAAGGGACCTTGGAGGTCTTCTAGTCCAACCCCCTGCTAAAGCAGGAAACCCTGAAATGCCATTTCAGACAAATGGTTGTCCAACCTCTTCTTAAAAACTTCCAGTGTTGGAGCATTCACAACTTCTGCAGGCAAGTTGTTCCACTGATGAATTGTTCTCACTGTCAGGAAATTTCTCCTTAGTTCTAGGTTGCTTCTCTCCTCGATTAGTTTCCACCCGTTGCTTCTTGTCCTGCCCTCAGGGGCTTTGGAGAATAGCTTGACTCCCTCTTCTTTGTGGCAGCCCCTGAGATATTGGAAGACTGCTATCATGTCTCCCCTGGTCCTTCTTTTCATTAAACTTAAGACATACCCAGTTCCTGCAACCGTTCTTCGTATCTTTTAGCCTCCAGTCCCCTAATCATCTTTGTTGCTGTTCTCTGCACTCTTTTTAAAGTCTCCACATCCTAGTGATTGGCCCAAAGTCATCCAGTTGGCTTTCATGCTTAAGGCGGGACTAGAACTCACCAGCTCCTAGTTTGTGGGCCTGGAGAAACTTTTATCCTCTGGATTGAATGGCAGAGATTCCATTTTCCTATAAAATTTGTTCTCCGGGAAGAAACTTCTTAAAATTGTAAGCCGCCCAAAATCACTTAGTTGAGTTAAATTCATTAATTAAATTAATTAACTGGTTAAACCAACAAACAGCAGTATGTGAGTTAGTTCACCGTCTATCCTTACCCGAGGCATGAAAACCCCAGGCCAGCCCCTCTCACTCAGCCCTAGGAAGGAGGAGGAATGGCAAACCACTTCTGAAAAACTTCTGTGAAAATTCAGTTATTTGCAGTCTCCCTTCCCCTATGCAAATAAACCTAGGAAAATACATCTTTGCAAGGAAGCGGTGGTCGTATTAACCTGTGTGTCCGAGGGTTGCGATTGTGTTGATGAAAGAAAGAAATGAAAAGTGAAAAGAGACACGTGGATTATATTCCAGGATTTCGTTTCGTTCGTTTTTTTCACGGAAAAGCAAACGCAGCAAAAGATGGAAATGGTTTAAACCACGAGTTAATACTTACTGATCCTTCAGCCAATCCTTCACGAACGGGATCTCGAAAAATTCCACGAAGGGTTCCTCTTGCCTCTTTGCGTTGTGGCTGGGAGGATCAGCGTCGTGGGGAAAAGCAGACACGTATAAAAACGGAGAGTGAAAACTAGGCATACAGGCAGTCCTCGAATTACGACCACAATGAAGCCCAAAATTTCCGCTGCTAAGTGAGACATTGAAGTCAGTTTTGCCCCCCATTTTACGACCTTTCTGGCCACAGTTTGTTAAGTGAATCCCTGCAGTTCTTAAGTTAGTAACGAGGTTGTTAAGTGAATCTGGCTTCCCCATTGACTTGGTCGCAAAAGGGGATCACTGCAACCGTCATAAAGATGAACCAGTTGCCAAATGTCTGAATTTTGATCGCAGGGGGATGCTGCAATAGTTAAGTGTGAAAAAAAAAATGGTCATCAAGTCACTTCTCCGGTGTCGTTTCGTCACTTTGGACTCGGTCACTAAGCGAGCTGCTGTGAGTGAGGACGGTCAGAATTGGTCTCTGTCAGAACGGGGGGAGAAAATAACAGAACGGTCTTCAAACACTTAACCCCGAGCAAGAAACTTACTTGTATAACCACTCCGTCAGGAAATCAAGGGCGATAAATCGTGTCTGCTTCCTCTGAAAGAACAGAAGAGACATCAAGTTCAGGAGAACAATGCTGAGAAATGATAGGGAGGTTTTATTTTTATTCTGCTTTTTTGCTCTCCGAAGGGCAAGCTGACATTGAATCGGCCACGTTCCACGGATTAAAAAATGGTGGGAATCCACGGAGGGGTGGCAAGGGCAGGGCACGACCACACCAGAGCTCCATCCCCCCCCCTCTCTCGGCCCACCTCACCTCACAGGGTTGCTGCTGGGGGGCAAAATAGGAGCAGGAAGGGAGTATTGTGTATAGTCTTTGTCACCTTGAGTGGTTATAAATATTCATGCAAATGATGGTATTTATGGGTGGTGATTGCATCCGTTGGAGGTATATAATTATGGCAATTGTACGAATGTGTCCTTGCGTCCCAGGGAGAATGAATACATGGAGTCCCTGACTTGAGCGTTACAAGGGCCCTGAAAAAAGTGACTTATGACTGGTCCTCACACTTACGACCTTCACAGCATCCCCACCATCGAAGGATCGAAATTTGGGCCCTTGGCAACAAGCATCTATTTACGAAGGAATGCGGCATCCCGGGCTCCACCTGGTCGCCACTTGCAACCTTCCCAGCCAGCTTCCTACAAGCAAAGTGAATGGGGGAAGCTGGATCCCGCTTCGTGACATGATCCACTTAACAACTGCAGCGATTCGCTTAAGAATCGTGGCGAAAAAGCTCAGAAAATTGGAGGAGGCTCACTTGAGAAACGCTTTGCTTAGCAATGGAAATTCTGATTCCAGTTGGGGTTATAGATTGAGGACTACTATTCACCTTCCCTAAGTCCCTGTTTGTGTACAGTTTATACGGGAAGGCAAATCCTCGGGGGAGGGAGGGAGAAGGGGGGAGAGAGAGACAAAAGGAGAGGGGGAGAGAGGAAGAATGAAGGAGGGAGAGAGAGGAAAAGAGAGACAGATAGAAGGGGGAGAGGAAGAGGGAGGGAGGGAGACAAAAGGAAAGGGGGAGGGGGGAGAGAGAGGAAGAAGGAAGGAGGGAGAAAGAGGAGAGAGAGAGAGGAGAGGGAGAGAAAGGAAAGAGGGAGAGAAGGAGAGAGAGGGGGGAGGGAGGGAGAAGGGGAGAGAGAGAGACAAAAGGAGAGGGGGAGAGAGGAAGAATGAAGGAGGGAGAGAGAGGAAAAGAGAGACAGATAGAAGGGGGAGAGGAAGAGGGAGGGAGGGAGACAAAAGGAAAGGGGGAGGGGGGAGAGAGAAGAAGAAGGAAGGAGGGAGAGAGAGGAGAGAGAGAAAGAAGGAGAGGGAGAGAAAGGGAAGAGGGAGAGAAGGAGAGAGAGGGGGGAGGGAGGGAGAAGGGGGGAGAGAGAGAGACAAAAAGAGAGGGGGAGAGAGAGGAAGAGGGAAAGAGGGAGAGAGAGAGAGAAGAGAGGAAAAGGGAGGAAGAGAAAGACAGAAAGAAGGGGGAGAGAGGGGAGAGGAAGAAGGAGAAGGGAGGGAGAGACAAGAGGAAAGGGGTAGAGAGAGGAAGAGGGAAGGAGGGAGAGAAAAAAAGAAAGAGGAGAGATAGAAAGAAAGAAGGAGAGGGAGAGAAAGGAAAGAGGGAGAGAAGGAGAGAAGAGAGAGAGAGAGTAGGAAGGAGGGAGGACCCTCATCTGGGCAGACATTTATGGCTCCAGACTCCCCGGGGGAGATTAACCCACCATCTTTCCAATATAAATTCAATACTCGATCAAACCAGACGGCTCTCCTGGAACGAGGAGCTCCCTGCGAAGCCACCAAAAGTGTTAAGAGCCTCACGGTATTTATATTTTCAGGCTCGGCTCGGCTGTCTTTAAAGAAAGCAAGAAGGCCAGTTCCGCGCACAGCTGGGCTGGGTTACGCGCGCCCGGATATGCACAGGAAACCTCCATAACAATGTGCATTGTTCCCGGGCAGATGGGCTGCACGCTATTTTCCACAAGGAGAATAATTCCCCCATTCTTGACGGGTGTTTGTGTTACGCTCGGGAACACAATGCAGGGCATCGTGATAATTGTCACCGCCACCCCGCTTGCTTTATTTTATAGATACGCCCAACCGCCACAGATCCTCTTTTGCACAGTTCAGGACTTCTAAGAAGACACGTAACCTCACTCGCACAAACAAACGCACCCGCCAGCAGTGGGTTTCACGTTTTGTTACTATCGGTTTGCTGCGCCCGCACAGGCACTGCACCGAGCCTCAAATAGGACAGCATAGAGCCAGGGCAAGCCCACTTGCAATCGCCCGAACCGGCTGGATACAACCTCTGACACCCACGCTCATTTGCTTTTGTTACTCTGCAAACCGTACTTTTAGCCCCGAGATGTCTTTGAAACTGGCAGACTTGCTGTTCTCTGACACTCGAGAGCTGAGTAGGACTTCAAATCCCATCATCCGCTGCCAGCCTTCTGCCGGCTAAGGGTGATGGGAGTTTGCAAGTTAAGACCCTCCTCAGAAGGGAACGGAGAAAGCTGTCACACGCCCTCCCAACTTAATCTTGCAGATTCTGATTGGCCTATTCATTGGCCAAGTGTAAATAATTTATTTTGTGTTGAATTATATATATATATATATATATGCATATTCTTTCTAGCCAGGTTTTACCTACGTAAGCTAAGATGTTATACAGCCCTAGTTGTATATTTCTGTGAAATCTCATTCACACGTTTCTGGGCTTTTTGTTTCTTGCTGACAGACAGCAGACTCTGTGCTGCCCTTTGGGAGACTCAGATAGCTATTTCTGCCTTATAAGGCTTCGTCAGTGAGCCACACCCTCTTCTCAGGTATCCTCCCTGTAAAGGTACAATGTTTCTTTTTCTTTCTTTTCGTAGGCTTTTATGTGCATATTCTTTCTATATATATATATATATCCTCGAGCAGCAAATTTCTGTGGCTAAATGAGGCAGTCGTTAAGTGGGTTTTGCCCCACTTTAACCATCTTTCTGACTACAAGTCGTTAAGTGAATCACTGCAGCGGTCACACGGTTGTTAAGTGAATCTGGCTTCACCATGGACGTTGCTTGTCGGAAGGTCTCAAAAGGGGATGACGTGATCCCAGGACACTGCAACCGTCGTAACTATGAGTCAGTTGCCAAGCATCTGAATTTTGATCTCAATGACCATGGAGACGCTGCGACAGTTGTTAAGCGTGAAAAACGCTCATAAGTCCCTTTTTTTGGTGCCGTTGTAACTTCGGTCACTAAACAAACTGTTGTAAGTCGAGGACTACCTGTAAAAATCTAATTTTGTAAAAATACCCAGTGCCATTGGCTCAACCCTTCTTAAATATGCAGAGGTGTTGTGTTTTTTTTGAAATGCAGCTCACAGACTAAGTGCAAATCAAGCTTTCCGCTTATACTGGTTTTAAAATAAAAAAAAATGTCGTTTCTTTTTTTAAAAAGGGGGTTTTGACGATGTAACTACAGTTAATTGCTGCCTCCTAACTATGAAAAGTCGGTTCAGAAAAACAACAAAGGAGTAAAAAAAAAAAAAAAAAAGGAAATGAAGGCTTAATAAGTTTAGTTTCCCTAAAAGCCATCATTAAACCTGCAGGGAAGCAGCGTTTCAAACCACTAATGGGATGCTGGGAAGAACAGCTGTTTATGTCGGTTTGAAAAAGACTGAAGGGCTAAAGGTTTCCACATAACGAAGTAGAGGTAGTCCTTGGTTTATGACCGTCATAGACCTGGCTCAAGTGGTGAAATCCAATTTTTGACCTCCAGTGATTTTGACCCACAACTTCAGGAGGCAAACTGTTCCATGGATTAATTGTTCTGTTAGGAAGTTTCTCCTTACTTCCAAGTTGGATCTCTCTTTAATTGAGGAAGTTTTGTCCAAAACTTGTTTCAATAACATATACTAACAAACCAAGTACCAAGAGCCTTGGTAGTACAGTGGTCTAAGGCACCCTGTTATTAAGCTGGTTATTATCATCCAGCTGCCTGCAATTACTGCAGGTTCGAATCTCGCCAAGGCTCAAGGTTGACTCAGCCTTCCATCCTTTCTAAGGTAGGTAAATTGAGGACCCAGTTTGTGGGGGCAATAAGCTGACTTTGTATAAATATACAAAAAGGATGAAGGCTATTGCTGAGCACATTGTAAGCCGCCCTGAGTCTCCGGAGAAGGGCGGCATATAAATCAAATTTAAAAAAAAAAAAGTACAACTGTTTCCTACCTGCAAAACTGTCAGGTGCAAAGAAACCAGGAACCAGAATTGTTCAAACGAATACAGGTTTATGGCAGGCTAGCTTTGCTCTCTACGAGAATCTGAGCTACTAAGGGTCAAGGCAAATTTGGCAGTAGATAAAGAGTCAACGGAATTCAAAGTGTGCTGGACTTAGATCTCTTGTGGGTGTGAAAGGACTCCGAACTGATGATGCATTTGACCCCTCCCTCGGGCTCAGCCTGGTCATAACAGAATAACAGAATGTGGGAAGGGACCTTGGAGGTCTCTTCTGGTCCATCTCCTAGAAAAAACACCATCAAGGTGGCTTTGCGATCCGGCATTCTGGAAGGTCACACATCCTTCTGAGAACGATTTTGGACTCACCTCAAAACATCTTTGCTTCTTGGCTTCGTGTAAGAGTTCTACCATGCCGGGAAGAAGCACTGGAAAAATGTAGCATTCCAAAAATTCCCTGGGAGCACCTGGACAGATCAACGTTTGTTTTTACAACCGTGTAAATATTAAGTCTGTTCCATTTACACATCATGTAATGAATCAGCTCTGTGGTTCATAGCCCCATTGCCTCCATCCCTAGTTACTCAGTTGGTACTTGATTCTTTTAACTTTTAACGTAAGTCACTTTTTAAATGCCATTGTAACTTCGAACCATCACTAAACAAACCGCTGTAAGTTGAGGACTACATCTGAATGTGCTTTTGTCCATTTTTCTTTCTGTACCTGTTTTAAAACTTGCAGTAAAAATGGCTGAAACTGGGCAAACTCCAGTTCCAACTATGAAACGGGCAGAAATTGTGGTTAAGATCGGGGTGGTCCCTTCATTTCTCTCCCTTCCTTTTCAGAAAGGGTCCCTGATAAAGGAAGATAAGCATCCATGATGTCTTACATGTTTTTAGATCGGGGAGCTCAGGAGCTATCAGTGCAGAAAGGAGAGACAGGGTCTTCTGGGGAGGCTCTTCCTCAGCGATCACAGGCTTGCTCTCACCCCCACTCAGCTCTGGCAGCGGCTCGGCGTCGGGGAGAACCTGCTGAGTAGCAAAAACAAGGAGATAAACGCCCTGCTTCAATTTAAGTAAATAAACGCTGTAAATAAGCAAACGAAGAACAAAACGAAGGAAAGGTTGGATTCTGAACCTGCTCTCAGTGCAACTGAGGGTAATTCTTTCATAGAAGTATTTGTAGCTCAGGGTTGACCTGTGAGAGCGCTCTCTGAGCTTGGTGGTTTTCTTGCAGACATTTTGTGACCCAAGTAGATAACAGCCTCAGGGCTAGGGGGGAGGAGGAGGAGGAGAAGGAGAAGGAGAAGGAGAAGGAGAAGGAGGAGGAGGAGAATTTAGAGGGATTCACAGTTCTTCTGATTAAGACCAGAATCTGAAATATGTAAGGACACATAGAAAACCAGAGCCGAGTGTAGCTCAAGAGGACTCATTTGTAAGGACGAAGCTGGCTGCGGTGAACTGAGCCTGTCAGTTCACATTAAGACATATAACGTGCACGCTGCAAAATGAGATCTGCTACATAGGGAAGGGCTGGCCCTTCGTGGCAGACACGCATGCAAAAATATCTAAATTCAGCTTCTGGCATCTCCAGAAAAAGCTGGAGAAAAATGACGGGGAGGGGTTTGACAAGACTGAGCGGAATAGCTCAGAAGGCTCAGGACAAACCCCAGCAGGCAATTTGGATTTGGAAAAGGCACTACATGCCAGGATTCCCAATTTGGATTACACGCTACCATGCGCCCTGACCTCTTTAACAGACATTTCAAGGCAGGGGGTGTCCATTCTTGTCTATTTTAAGACTTGTGGAGTTCAACTCCCAGAATTCCCCAGCCATTATCGCCATCTTGCTTGTACAACAGCCTCTTCCCCCCCCCCAAAAAAATTAAAATACCTCAAACGCTGCAATCTTTCAGCAGTTAAATGTAATAGTAACAGAGTTGTAAGGTCTGGAGGACATTTAGTCCAACCCCCTACTCACACAGGATACCTGTACTAGGGATTCGAAGGTTCTGACCAGTTCTGAAGAACTGGTAGCGGAAATTTTGAGGAGTTCGAAGAACCGGTAGTAAAAATTCTGACTGGCCCAGCCCCCATGTATTCTCTGCCTCCTGAGTCCCAGGTGATTGGGAGGAAATGGGGATTTTACAGTATCCTTCCTCTGCCACGCCCACCAAGCCACGCCCACAGAACCGGTAGTAAAAAAATTTGAAACCCACCACTGGTACGGTTCTATGTGTATCTATAAAAACAATCTTTTGGCAACATTGTATGGAATATTTATCTTCTCATTTCTTAAAAAGAGCATAAAATAGTTCCAGAGTTTCTTTTAAGGCACTGAAGAGAACCACTATCTGGATTTTTCATTTTATTTTTACCTGTGAAGGTGGAGGTGGAGGTGGAATCTCTTTCTTTTCCAAATGATCCGGATGAACAGGCTGTTGGGCTTCAAATTCTTTGGTTTGTTTGTTTTTCAAGAAAGTGAAAGAGAAAATGAAAAGGACAAAGAAAAAAAGAAATTAACTCGTGGAATCCTATTTGGAGGATTAAAGATCAAGATTTTTTAATTTGTTGCCGTTTCTGGAAGCTCTTAAAGGATTTTTCTGGCTAAATTAGAATGCCCTGGCTTTGAAGATTTATTTATAGAGATAAGATAGGGGGAAAAAAATTTCCTGGTTGCCCTTTTAAAGAAAACAATGTTATTATGTTAACATATATTATGTGTATTATGAGCCGCGGTGGTGCAGTGGTTACAATGCAGTACTGCAGGCTACTTCTGCTGATTGTCGACTGCCTGCAATTTGGCAGTTTGAATCTCACCAGGCTCAAGGTTGACTGAGCCTTCCATCCTTCCCAGGTGGGTAAAATGAGGACCCAGATTGTTGGGGGCCAGATGTTGACTTTGTAAACCTCTTAAGAGAGGACTGTAAAGCACTGTAAAGTGGTATATAAGTCTGCTATTGCTTGTGAAGGAAAGGAAGGAAGAAGGAAGGAAGGAAGGAAGGAAGGAAGGAAGGAAGGAAGGAAGGAAGGAAGGAAGGAAGCCATGGTGGCACAGTGGTTAGAATGCAGAATTTCAAGCTGACTGCCCACTGCCAGGAGTTCGATCCTGACTGGCTCAAGGTTGACTCAGCCTTCCATCCTTCCGAGGTGGGTAAAATGAGGACCCAGATTGTTGGAGGCAATAGGCTCACTTTGTAAACGACTTAGAGAGGGCTGTAAAGCACTGTAAAGTGGTATATAAGTCTAAGTGCTATTGCTATTAAAAGGAAAAGAATACAAAACCGATTTATTCAGATAAGGCTAAAATACATCCTATTTCTGGTAACTCAGGACTGGCTCCAAGGCACTAATCTAATCTGGTGTGGTGTACATTCTGAGCACCGGCACGCACCCACACTTAATGCAATATTTTTCAAACTTGGCTAAGTGTTGTATCGCATGATTCTTGATGAACGTATCTTTTCTTTTATGTACACTGAGAGCGTATGCACCAAAGACAAATTCCTTGTGTGTCCAATCACACTTGGCCAATAAAAAAAAATTCTATTTTATTCTATTCTAACTGGAAGGCATGTGGGTCTTCAACTCCCAGAAATTCCCCTTAGGGAATTTGACCAACACTTCACTAACCAAAGCTGAAAGTAACCAAGGCTGTCTGTCCCATTCCCTTCGGGGAGGGGTGGGGAGGGGTCTTTCCAATAAAAACTTGTGTGTGCATGGACTTCTATTTTTGCTTCCCAGTCAGCCTTTTTTCTCCCTAAGGAGGAAAACACGCCCCTTTACACACAAACACACACACACACATGCATTGCACGCCCTTTGGAGGTGCAAGCTGGGTCCCTTCAACAGCTTTGCACGCTCAAGCAAAGTCCTTGCAAACTTTTCCCGGGTCTCTCTGCCGCCACCTGCTGGCCACCCACCATCCTGCAGCCAGCATCCCTAAAGTCAAAAGGACCCCCCCCCCCCCCCCCCCCAGTCAGGTTTTGGGGAATTTTCCCCCCCCCCCCCCGGGGCCCACCCCTCCCCCCCCCCTCACCCCAGGATAGCCCTCCCCCAAAATCCTCCCCCACCCCCACCCCCGCTAGCGAATACCCTTCCCCACCTGCGCAAATTTCCTCCCAGAGGCTCCGCAGCGGAGCCTCCTCAGCGGCGGCAGCCATTGGAAGGGCGCGCGAGCGAGGAACCCGTTGCTAGGCGACGGCGAGCCGCCGTCTCTAGGCAACGGCGCTCCAGCCCGGCTTTTCCACTTCCGGGTCGAGCCGGGAAGCGCCGCTCTATCCCCCCCTTACCTCGGCCGCCTCTGGCGGGAGAGGAAGTGCAAGGCGTCCCGTCTGGCCGCGTGGAAAAGGAGGCGAGAGGTGAGCCAGGGGGGGAAGTTGGGGGGGGGGGGGGGCTGCGTGGGAGCCACCCAGGTTGGGGAAAAGGCTCTCCCCCCACTCCACTCCCGCATATTTTACTCCGGGTCTTGCAGGGCTGGGGCAGGGGGGTGGGGAGAGTGCCTCGGGGCTTGTGCAGAGTGCCTTTGTATTCGAAACCGATGCAAATCACCGGTGCAATGGGGGAGACAGGTTCAAACGACCTGTCGTGAATGCATCTTTGCAATTGGCGTGCATTTTGCAACCCTTGTTAAAAACAGTATTTTCCCTGGGGTGGGGCGGGCTGGAAACCAGGAGACGGTGAGTTCTAGTCCCACCTTAGACGTGGAAGCCAACTGGGTAACTTTGGGCCAATCGCTAGGAGGTGGTGAGTTCTAGTTCTGTCTTAGGCGTGGAATCCAGCTGGGTAATTTTGGGCCAGGTGAGTTCTAGTCCCTCCTAGGCATAAAAGCCATCTGGTCAACTATGGGCCAGCCACTAGGAGACAGTGAGTTCTAGTGCTGCCTTAGGAATGGAAGCCAACTTGATAACTTTGGGCCAGCCGCTAGGAGGTGGTGAGTTCTAGTACTGTCTTAGGCGTGGAATCCAGCTGGGTAACTTTGGGCCAGGTGAGTTCTAGTCCCTCCTAGGCATAAAAGCCATCTGGGTCAACTATGGGCCAGCCACTAGGAGACAGTGAGTTCTAGTGCTGCCTTAGGAATGGAAGCCAACTTGATAACTTTGGGCCAGCCGCTAGGAGGTGGTGAGTTCTAGTACTGTCTTAGGCGTGGAATCCAGCTGGGTAACTTTGGGCCAGGTGAGTTCTAGTCCCTCCTAGGCATAAAAGCCATCTGGGTCAACTATGGGCCAGCCACTAGGAGACAGTGAGTTCTAGTGCTGCCTTAGGAATGGAAGCCAACTGGATAACTTTGGGCCAGCCGCTAGGAGGTGGTGAGTTCTAGTGCTGCCTTAGACGTGGAATCCAGCTGGGTAACTTTGGGCCAGTCACCCAGGTGAGTTCTAGTCCCTCCTAGGCATAAAAGCCATCTGGGTCAACTATGGGCCCACCACTAGGAGACAGTGAGTTCTAGTGCTGCCTTAGGAATGGAAGCCAACTGGATAACTTTGGGCCAATCGCTAGGAGGTAGTGAGTTCTAGTTCTGTCTTAGGCGTGGAATCCAGCTGGGTAACTTTGGGCCAGGTGAGTTCTAGTCCCTCCTAGGCATAAAAGCCATCTGGGTCAACTATGGGCCAGCCACTAGGAGACAGTGAGTTCTAGTGCTGCCTTAGGAATGGAAGCCAACTGGATAACTTTGGGCCAGCCGCGCTAGGAGGTGGTGAGTTCTAGTACTGTCTTAGGCGTGGAATCCAGCTGGGTAACTTTGGGCCAGGTGAGTTCTAGTCCCTCCTAGGCATAAAAGCCATCTGGGTCAACTATGGGCCCGCCACTAGGAGACAGTGAGTTCTAGTGCTGCCTTAGGAATGGAAGCCAACTGGATAACTTTGGGCCAGTCGCTAGGAGGTGGTGAGTTCTAGTACTGTCTTAGGCGTGGAATCCAGCTGGGTAACTTTGGGCCAGGTGAGTTCTAGTCCCTCCTAGGCATAAAAGCCATCTGGGTCAACTATGGGCCAGCCACTAGGAGACTGTGAGTTCTAGTCCCACCTTAGGCGTGAAAGCTGGTTGGGTGATGGTGATTTTGGGCCAATCACCAGGAAGATGGTTAGCTAGTCCCGCCCCTAAGTATGAAAGCCAACTGGATAACTTTGGGCCAATTACTAGGAGGTGGTGAGTTCTAGTTCTGTTTTAGGCATGGAATCCAGCTGGGTAACTTTGGGCCAGTCACTGAGGTGAGTTCTAGCCCCTCCTAGGCATAAAAGCCATCTGGGTCAACTATGGGCCAGCCACTAGGAGACAGTGAGTTCTAGTGCTGCCTTAGGAATGGAAGTCAACTGGATAACTTTGGGCCAGCCGCTAGGAGGTGGTGAGTTCTAGTTCTGTCTTAGGCATGGCAGCCAACTGGAAGAGGAGGAGTGTTAGGTATGTTGTTGGCAACTGGCATGTATTTATGACTGTTGCGGTGTCCCAAGGACCATTGATCACCCAGCTTGCTTGTGACAAAGCCAATGGGGGACGCCAGATTTGCTTAATGACTGCATGATTCACTTAACAACTGTAGTAATTTGCTTAACTGTGGCAAAAAGGTCATTAAAGTGGACACAACTTCCTTCTCAACTGTCTTGATTAGCAACAAAAATTTTGGGCTCCATTGTGGTCGTAAGTTGAGGACTGCCTGCAGTTTGAAAAGAAATCAGACTTGTTTAGTATTCCGTTACAAATAATTGCCTTTGCCTATGTGTTGTGAAGGGTACGCGATGGCTCAGTGGCTAAGACACTGAGCTTGTCGATCGAAAGGTCGGCACCTCAGCGGTTCGAATCCCTAGTGCTGTGTAATGGGATGAGCTCCCGTGACTTGTCCCAGCTTCTGCCAACCTAGCAATTCGAAAGCACGTAAAAAATGCAAGTAGAAAAATAGGGACCACCAGGGACCACCTTTGGTGGGAAGGGAACAGCGTTCCGTGCGCCTTTGGCGTTGAGTCATGCCGGCCACATGACCTGGGAGACATCTTCGGACAGCGCTGGCTCTTCGGCTTTGAAACGGAGATGAGCACTGCCCCCTAGAGTCGGGATCGACTAGCACATATGTGCAAGGGGAACCTTTATCTTTATATGCGTTGTGATAAATGTATGCTACTTTGTAAGCGGAGGTCTGTTCATCATTTGTAGCCAACCTGTAATCTAAAGCCTCTTTTCTTTTGTGAATTTTTGTGCTCCCCTCCAGAGAAGTTCTCCAAAATATGAAGAATTCTGAGCAAACAGCAAGGAAAAGGAACAAATCTAAAGATCCTAATTGTGGCCAGGTTGTTCTAAAAAGCCCCAAAAGACACTGTTCTGATTTAGGCAAAAAAGTCAGGCCCAAAAAATTAAAATGCTTGGCAAAAGGAATAAGTTCAGACCTGCCAGATCCAAAGAAGAAACAGAGTGAATCGAAGAAGGAAGCACGGGCAAGCTCTCCCGTGGTTATAGACAGCAGCTCAGATTTAGAATTGTTAAGAGACACCAAGAAAAGAAATAAGGTGTTCAAAAAAAAGAAAAACCGAAAGCTTTTTTGCATACAGGTTCAAAACTCCAACAGTCTGGACGAAGGACAGCCTGGTATTACTGATCTTCATGCGAGTAAGAAATGCAACAAGACTCTTCTTGAAGTTGCCAGGCAAGATAAAGGATCGGCGATGAAAAGGAAAAAGAAAAAAAAGGAAAAACGAAGAGACAAATCTGCTTGCCTTGAGCTTTTACACCTTGGTGATCGCGAAGGGCCCGTCAAGCAGATCTCTGGAGAACTGAAACCCAGTTGTCAAGAAATGTCCTCCGGTCAGAAAAAGAATAGGACCGTTGAGCAGAAAGTTGTGAGTGAAGGACTCGAGAAGAAACACTTCGACTACTACGAGGGCGACCCAGAGAACATTTCAAAAAAAGACACTGCCAGCTGCAAGTGCAAAGATGCCCAAAGTAAGGATGGACCTACTCAACGACAGAACAATTTGGACTGTAAATCAGAAAAAGACAGTGAAGCCATCAAGAAGAAGAAGAAGAAGAAGAAGAAAAAGAAGCTGAATAAAATAAGTCCTGCTTCTCTTACCTGCTTAGCCAAGATCCAGGAAAACCACTGCGATACGATGAGTGAATGTAGCCTAAAGTGCGGGTCTGAGAAAAAGGCGAGGGTCGGCAAGACCCCTAAGGAAGTTAATAAAGCAGCAAAGAAGGAAGCGAAAAGAAAAACTGGAAACGTAAACCGTTGTTCAGAAGCTGGCCAAGACGTCGGATCGAAGGTGGGAGCGCGAGGAGGGAAGGAAAAGAGAAAGAAAGCAAAGAAACACAAAATGGAACGAGATGACCGGGACGGATTTGAGGGCAGCCAAGAACAGCAAGTCAAGAAAAAGAGGAGAAAAAAGGAAGTTGAAAACTCTCAAGATGGTGGGATGAAAATAAAGAAGGAAAAGGAAACTAAGGTACCGTACATTTGGAATGGAGAGGGCTGGTGGGTTTTTTTTTGTTTTTTGTTTTAATTTATGGGCTAAATCTGAACTAAACTGGCACTTTGATAATTTCAGTGGGACTAAACTAAAGCGTGACTTAAAATAGTAGTTAATAATACAGCTAGTCCTCAGCTTACAAACTTCATTCCGTGTCTGTGCACTTAATGGCGTGGAAAAATGGTGACTTACACCCTGACTGGTCCTCACGCTTATGACCGTTGCGGCATCCCTGTGATCACGTGATCCAAATTCAGGCAACTGGCATGTGTTTATGATGGTTTGCGCAATCATCGTTTGCAGCCTTCTCAAGCTGGCATCCGACAAGCCAAGTCAGTGGGGGAAGCTGGATTGGTTTCATGGCTGCACGATTCGCTCCAAAGATGTGGATTTTATTTATTACATTTATTCGCTTAGCTTTGAAGGGGAGACTTGCAGGGATGTTCATGTAAAAGACAATCGAAAACCTGATGTGTTATCATCCCAAACCGGAGGAGAAAGAATCGCAGACTTAAATTGCAGATAGGCGGGATTCCTGTTGAACTGCTGAGATCAGTTTGATCAGTCAAATCGGTGGCTTCTCTTCTTAAGCCACTGATCCATTTCTTTGGGCCTTTAAGCCTCTGTAGGAGGACCAATTCTACCTGCGAAGCGCCCTGATCTGTGGCCCTTTGCTTTGACCATTGGTTCTTTGAGTCCCTGGGGGGTGGGGGTGGGGGCGGAAATGGACCTCGGACTTCTGGATCTCAAATTTTGTTCAAGCCATTAAAAGGACAGTTGGGTTTTTTTGGGAGAGAGGGTAAGTTTCCTTTAATAAGAGGATAGCTAACCAATGCCCGCCCCTTCAGTCTTGTTTGTGGTCCTTGGACCAGGGGTGACATGCTACCGGTTCGCTCTGATTCAGGCGAATCGGTAGTGATAAAAACTACCGGTTCGGGAGAACCGGTAGTAAAAAAGAAGCTACAGGTTCGGGCAAACTGGTAGTTTAAAAAAGCTACGATCCAACGATCAGCTGTGCCACGCGGTTTAGCTTTGCTAGAAAGCAGGATTTCCTGCTTTTTAGCGAAGCTAAACCGTGCGGCACAGCTGATCCCTCCCTTGTTCTACTTACCTTTCCAAGCCTCCTTTTGGCGCATACTGCATGTTAAACCGCGCGGCACAGCTGATTCCCCCCCTCACTGTTCTACTTACCTTCCCAAGCCGCCTTTTGGCGGGTACTGCACCCTAAACCTCTAAACCACGTGGCACAGCTGATCATCGGATCGTAGCTTTTTGTAACTACCAGTTTGCCCGAACCGGTAGCTTTTTAAATGTGCAGCGTGAGTTTGATGCATACTGCAGATGCACGCGCAGCGTGAGTTTCATGCACAGCCAGCGAACCGGTAGCAAACTAGTTCAGATTTCACCACTGCCTTGGACCCCCCTCCTCGGGCCACATGTGCAGATTGTAATGTAGGGCTGGAGTTAAGCTTGAAGTGGTTTTCTTTTTTTAAAAAAAACAACACTAAAATAACAGACAAAGAAAAATAAACATAATGGGTAACGTGCATGCAGGAGCCACTTTGTGGTACATTCCTGGTCATTAATCAGAAGCTCTCCAATCACAGTTGGAGGGTGGCTTGTGTTTTTCCCCCTAACCCAAAGATCACTGACTTATTCTTGATAAATTCCTTCCCTTTCAATACCTGGCTTTTTTAAAAAAAACAAAAAAAACCCAGGCTTTTATCCAGTGCAATTTTGGCACAAAATCAATCACCGTTGCCATCTCAGAAACCTTGGCGGTTTGAGAAAGCTTAGAGGGGGGAAAAAAGACAAACAAACTACAGGTAATATTTTGCTAGCCTAACCCTTTCAAGGGTGAGCTCCAGATTTCTGATTGTTTCTGGAAGCGAAGGCTCCGTTAAATCCCATAATCCTGGCGGAAAAGTGGAATCCTGCAAGTCTGCGTTCCAGCTTCCCGTGTGGTCTCGAAAAGAGGCTGGGGAAATAATTTTTTCGTAGTTTGAGCCGCCGTGAACGCCAAGAAAAAAACAACAACAACAAAACCCTTAAGCAAAAGAGTTTAAATCAAGGGTGTCCAAACCTTGATTTTATCTTTTATAAGACTTGTGGATTTCAACTCCCAGAATTCCCCAGCCAGAATTCTGGGAGTTGAAATCCACAACTTTTAAAAGTTGCCACGGTTGAATGCTCCCCATTAAAAGATTTGCCTTGCTGATGGGATGAGTTGGTTGATCAATCTTTGAGATAATAAAATGCATCCGGCTATAATATCCCCCAGAGAAGCCAGCATTCCCAAAACTTCGTCCCAGCCCAGATATCATCAAGAGAATCCCATCCTTTGCGTTTGAATTTTCCCCAGTGTGTTGCAAATAATCATCGTAATACTTCCAAGCTATTTCACGCTCAGGTTGGCATTTCAAAATGCCTCCAGAAATATACTGCCGAGCAACCTTTTCATTTTAGAAAAGCTTTTTCGGTCAATTTTATCCACGCTGTCTAAGAAAAGAGGCTTTTGTGATGGGTATGGTGATATATCTTGGCCTTTTATTGCTCTGCGCACCTCTTGTACCTACCCCGAGCAGTTTTAATAGAAAGAGGAAGAGAATTGGCTGTCCAATGTTATCCTCTTGTCCTTTTTTTTAGCATGGTAACCTATTTATGGATCCAAAAGGTTTGGAATTCAGGGGCTGCTTAAGAGTAGAACAGCCCAGTCAGTATTTGTGTCCCGTTTTTAGCACGGCGCATGGGAAATCTAGTGCGACACCATACTGGGGAGAATTAACAACAAGGTTGTTTTTAAGCCTACTATTCCTAATCCTGAAGAGGTTTCAACAGCATTGTGTCTTTTTTGTTATTTTTTTTAAAGAAACAGATCACAGCCGATGAAATAAAACTGGTGGCATTCAAAAAAGGAAACTGCGATGAAGTGAAGATAGACAAGGTACAATCCTTTCTTATCTGACGGCTGTTGTTGGGATCTTTAACAGATCAACAGAGTTGGAAGGGACCTTGTAAGTCGCCTAGTCCAACCCCCTGCCCAAGCTGGAGACCCTACACCAGCGATGGCTAAACTTTTTGCCGTCGCGTGCCAAAAGCGGGAGAGAGCACAGGTGGGTGGGTGTCACACATGCACGTGCCCACACCGATAATGCAATGCCCTCGAGCGCCTGCCCCCCACACATGCAGGCGCAACCCTCCCGCTTCCCCCCATGCATGCGTGTGCGACCCCCCCCCCCGCATTCCCCTGACCCCCGCAAATGCGTGCACAATCCCCCATGGCCCATTTTGGGCCTGGCAGGCCTCCCTGAAGCCTCCTGGGACCTAAGACCCCCCCCCCCCCCATGCCCGTTTTGGGCCTGGCAGGCCTCCCTGAAGCCTTTGGGACCTAAGACCCCCCCATGGCCCGTTTTGGGCCTGGCAGGCCTCCCTGAAGCCTTTGGGACCTAAGACCCCTCATGGTCCGTTTTGGGCCTGGCAGGCCTCCCTGAAGCCTCCTGGGACCTAAGACCCCTCATGGTCCGTTTTGGGCCTGGCAGGCCTCCCTGAAGCCTTTGGGACCTAAGACCCCCCCATGGCCCGTTTGGGCCTGGCAGGCCTACCTGAAGCCTCCTGGGACCTAAGACCCCTCATGGTCCGTTTGGGCCTGGCAGGCCTCCCTGAAGCCTCCTGGGACCAAAAACGGGCCGCGGGGGGCACCCCCCCGCGCATGCACGCACATCTCCCACATGCGCCCCGAGCCAGAGACCCAAAAATCAGCTGGCTGGTGGGAGGCGCGCATGCATGCACGGTAGAGCTGAGCTGAGTGACGGCTCACGTGCCCGCAGAGGGTGTGCCATAGGGTTCGCCATCACGGTCCTACACCATTTCTGACAAAAATTGGCAGTCCAATCTCTTCTTGAAAGCCTCCGGTGACGAAGCTCCCAGAGCTTCCGAAGGCAACTTCTGTTCCATGGGTTGATTGTTCTCATTGTCAGAAAATGTCTCCTTATTTCCAGGTTGAATCTCTCCTTGATCCGTTTCATCCGTTATTCCTTGTCTGGCCTTCAGGTGCTTTGGAGAATAGGTTGACCCCCCTCCTCCTCTCTGTGGCAGCCCCTCAAATATTCGAAGACTGCTATCCTGTCTCCCCTGGTCCTTCTCTTCACTAGACTAGCCATGCCCAGTTCCTGCAACTGTTCTTCGTATGTTTTAGCCTATTAGAATGAACAAAGATCATTCAAATAGCCAGGGACATTCCCATTTTAAAACATTATATAAACCAAACCTGGTTTGTCTGTCACACAGAACAAAACAGGCCTCCCAATCTCGGGCACGATGCCATTTGGTGGCATTTAGAAAATCACAAGATCTCTAGTCCTAATGTAGATGAGGGCTGGCTTTGATGCAAAGAAGAGAGACAGGATGGCCATCGACTGCTTATCTGACTCCCCCGGATGTCCAGCCACGTTGGAATTTTTGTTATGGAAGGGGATTTGGGGAAATGCTGCAGGAGGTGCAGTGTGGATGTCCACAAGTCTCAAAAGGAAAGCCAATTTAAAAAAAAAATCAGTCCCTCTCCCCTCCCCTCCCCTCCCTTCCCTTCCCTGCTAAATTCATTAGAGCAATCAGTCATACAATTGTATGTAAATAAATACACTCCCATCTACTCTAACCTCTTTACTGAGAAAATTCTATTTGGCCTGTGATTGCAGGCAGCAGGGAATCAGGGCACCGGAGAATTTGAGAACCTCCTCCGTGTAAAGAGATTGTGCGGTTTGCTTGGTTTTGTTTTCACAAGTGCCATTTTCATCCTCAGAGGGGTAGCCTGTTAACGCCAGTGCAGCTTTTCTTAGCTTTCTTAGCCTTCACAGAGATCCTTCAATAATATCAGTGCGTGGCGGGCTTGCATTGGCACAGAGGTAGAAGAATTCTTTAAAAGTAAGCCTTTTAATTTGGGATCAAAAAGAAATACTCCTGAAGCCGTGTTTCTCAAACTGCCCAAGGAGCTGCTGATCCAGTTCTACAGAGGAATTATTGAGTCTGTCATCTGCACCTCCATAACTGTCTGGTTTGGCTCTGCAACCCAACAAGACAGACACAGACTTCAGAGGATAATTAGAAAAAACAATTACTACCAACCTGCCTTCCATTGAGGACCTGTATGCTGCACGAGTCAAAAAGAGGGCTGTGAAAATATTTACAGACCCCTCTCATCCTGGACATAAACTGTTTCGACTCCTACCCTCAAAACGACGCTGTAGAGCACTGCACACCAGAACAACTAGACACAAGAACAGTTTTTTCTCTAACGCCATCACTCTGCTAAACAAATAATTCCCTCAACACTGTCAAACTATTCACTAAGTCTGCATTACTATTACTATTAGTCTTCTCATCGTTCCTATCACCCATCTCCTCCCACTTATGACTGCATGACTGTAACCTTGTTGCTGGTATCCTTACGATTTATATTGACTCTTTTCTAATATGATTTGATTGCTTAATTGTTCCCTATGACTATCATCAAGTGTTGTACCTTATGATTCTTGACAAACGTATCTTGTCTTTTATGTACACTGAGAGCATACGCACCAAAGACAAATTCCTTGTATGTCCAATCACACTTGGCCAATAAAGAATTCTGTTCTGTTCTGTTCTGTTTTTCTATTCCTATTCCTATTCCTATTCCTATTCTATTCTATTGGCAACTCGAAGAGGTGTGGAGTTCAACTCCCAGAATTCCCCACCCAGCAAAGCAAAGGTAACGGGGGAATCCTGGGAGTTGAATTGAGGTTGAGAAACGTTGTCCTAAAGAAATCTGGTTGTCACACTCCTCTTTTATTCAAGTTTACTCAATGGGTTTACTCAACTCCATCCTTTCTTGCTCCCAGGTGAGACGGCAAGCGCTTCAAGAAGAGATCGACCGGGAATCTGGCAAAACCAAGATTGCCAAGGAAGGTTTGGTAAGCACCCTTGTTTCATGTCTGGTCAGTTTCACCCGAGCTGTTTAGCAACACAGTGCTCTTAACACAGTAAGTAATCTTTCGTTCTCCCTTGTTTTCCTTCAGGACAATCCTTTGGGCCAGTGGAGCACAGCAGCATTTGAAACTCCGGAGGAAAAAACCAAATTTCACAGACTGATGGGTGGATTTAAAAAAGCCTTCGCCCCACTTCAGAGTTCTCCAGCAAATGCTAACAAACCAAACATGGCTCTGGACCGGCCCAGAGAACAAGAACTGCAACATAACCTCGAAGCAGAATTCAAGAAAGCCGTGGAGTTTAAACACCATCGAGGAATCGGCCTGGGGTTCCAGTCCAGTGCTCCGAGCGGGGTACACATAGACAAATACGCTTCGAAATCTATTAAATTTGAAGCCTGACATAGGAGGAAGGGAAAGATACAATTGCCCAAATGAGCTGGGGGGGGTTTAATTTTTTTTTTTTTTTATCTACAACAAGAAAATGACCCTGGATTTTAACCTGGCTGCTGTTCTCAAACAGGAGAGGAAAAACAGCCTCTATGAATGCTTTTGGGATGATTGCTAGGGTGCGTATATGCATATATATATATATTTGTATTAAATTGCTGCTTGGCAGGTTTAAAGGGCCACGATTGACTGATTTAGGATGGGCAACTGAGCTACGGTCATTTAACAGTATATACTGTATTTTTCGCACTATAAGATGTACTCCCCCCCCCAAAAAAAAGGGGGGGAGGGGGTTGGTGTGGCGGTGGCAAACATTGCCGCCTGTCACCGCTTTCGCCACCTCTGGGGAACACTGGAGCCTTCGCTGCCGAGCAGCTGATTGGGGGTTGGATCAGCCTCCCAGAATACCACCAATCAGCTGTTCTAGTGGTGGTGATAAGCGATTCCCACCCCCTAAAACAGCTGATTGGCGGTATTCCGGGAGGCCGATCCAACCGCCAATCGGCAGCGAAGGCTCCAGCGTTCCCCGACAGCAGCAGCAGCAGCTCAGCTGACTCAGCTTGTTTTCCTCCTCTAAACCTAATGTGCGCCTTATGTTCCGGTGCGTCTTACAGTGCGAAAAATACGGTAACTAAGTGGCAGGTAAGAATAGAACATGTTTTACCTCAGAGGCAAGGGACCTGTACTTTGCCTCCATTTTTGCTGCGAGTTTCCATATTGTGCCCTTGAATCTTAGGGACAGAATGTGAAGTCTGTCTGTTCAATACCTGGGCAAGTGGCTATATCAATTCACAGTCCCGGCCTCAGTGTTGTGCTCTTTTGTCATACAGTGACACTCATGTCCAGGGAAGAAAAGCCATCTTGTTACTTTAATCTTACATCCATTTTATTAAACATTTTTTTTTCTACAATTCATCTGTCTCGAGTGGTTATCTCAAAGTAAATGTATCTGTATCTTCAAGGGAGATTATCATCTTTCTGGTTGGCCAAGATGCATCTTTGCACCTCTCTGCTAATCTAGGAGACCCCAGGACATATTTGTAGCTCAGGGTTGAACCTGAGGTCCTTAGTGCTCTCCGCCGAGCTTGGCTGTTTTCTTGCCGATGTTTCATGACCCAATTAGGTAACATCGTCAGTGCTAGAAGGGAGTAGGGTTTGCTCGCTGTGTTGTGGCCCTCCAGCAGAGCTGGTAGTAGATTCGGACAGTGAGGAGGTTGGGGAGGAACGTGGGCCAGTCCTGGAGTCTGGGGAAGGCTCAGACGAGGGCTCTAAATTGGAGGCAGAGAGGGGGCCAAGGCCATCTGGTAGTTCTTTGCTGCCTTCGGAGTCTGACATCAGCGAGGCAGAACAACAGTGTGAGCCTGTTCCCAGTTTGCGCATACGCAGAGCTGCCAAAAGATGGGAACAATGAAGAAAACAGGGTTGACTTGGGAGTAAGGCTTGGAGATGATTGGCCCCTCCCATAAGACATAAAAGAGAAGCAAATGGGACGTGAGCTTTTGCAGGAAGCAGTTAGTACATCTGGTCGGTAAAAGATTTGGGAAAGTTCTGTCTGACTCTGTGCGAAGTTTGGCCTTGCCCTGCGTGTGGGGCAAGGCCAATTAGTTCTCTGGCAGCATTCCAAGGGAGATAAGGTGGGTGTTTGTAAACACTCCCCTGAAAGACTGTTTGAGAAGCCTTTTGGACTGGGAATGACAATAATTCACAACAGCCGTATGAATAAAAGAGGTTTGCCGGGACTAAGATTGTGCTGTATACTTTCTAAGAAAGCCTAGTTCAGAACACTCTGTTTATATAGAAGTGGTTTGGGCAATCAAGAAACTTAGCAATGCAGACAATCAAACCGCAAACAACAGCCTAATCAAGGAACTACTAAGAAAAAACCCACACTCTCACCAACACTGACAGGGCAAGCCACCTGTATATAAACAGAGGGCAAACCCCACTCCCTTCTAGTACTGATATTACCTAGTTGGGTAATGAAACCTCGGTAAGCGAGCAACCAAGCTGTGGGAGCACCAAGGACTTCCTTTACTTGCCTGACCTCATTTATTCTCCTTTTCTTCTCTGTCTCACCCCCCCCACCTCCCCTCACTTTGTATGACATCACCTTTTCCTTTCAGACCCTTCAAATCCCACTTTAACGTTTATATAAAATCAAGCTGAGATTTAAGGCTGCTTATTTTGAACGCCGACTTCTGCAGTTTGGAATTCTTCATTTTTGCTTCGTACGGCAGCCCCTGTACCAACATGCATTATTTTTCTAAAACGCTGCTTCTCCCCCCGTTCTCAAAGGATTACATCATCTAGCAATTTAAAGGCAAAACCTCTTCATTCACTCCCTGGCAATTCTAAATTAAAAAGCAGATGAAGACTGCATCACAGGAGCCAGGCATCTCGATTACATAAAACAGCCAGCTAAGGACTGCTTACAAAGATTAATACTGAATATAAATGCCTCCTATCCTTAGAGATTTTTTAAAAAATGCATTTTGAAGGAAATGCATTGTGGATTAACTGATCTGTGCTGCAAACACAATCGACCCCCTGCCCAAGCAGGAAATCCTATACCATTTCAGACAAATCATTGTCCAATCTCTTCTTAAAAGCCTCCAGTGATGGAACAACCACAACTTCTGGAGGCAGGATATTTGATTAATTGTTCCAACTATCAGGAAATTTCGCCTTGGTTCTAGGTTGCTTATCTTTTTTTTTTTTAATTTGATTTATATGCCGCCCTTCTCCGAAGACTCAGGGCGGCTTACAATGCGTTAAGCAATAGCCTTCATCCTTTTGTATATTTATACAAAGTCAGCTTATTGCCCCCACAAACTGGGTCCTCAATTTACCTACCTTAGAAAGGATGGAAGGCTGAGTCAACCTTGAGCTTTGGCAAGATTCGAACTTGCAGTAATTGCAGGCAGCTGAATGTTAATAACAGGCTATTAGTCTGCTGCACCACCAGGCTCTTTCCTGGTGTTTCTATCTATTACTTCTTGTCCTGCTTTCAGGTGCTTTGGAGAATATGTTGGAAACCCCCCCCCCTTTCTTTGTGGAAGCCCCTCAAATATTGGAATGTTGCTATCATATCTTCCCTAGTCCAGGGGTAAAATCCAGCAGGTTCTGACAGGTTGTGGAGAACCGGTAGCGAAAATTTTGAGTAGTTTGGAGAGCCTGTAGTACAGTGGGCTAAAGCACTGTGATTAACAACTGCTGCTTGCAATTACTGCAAGTTCAAATCTTCCCCAGGCTCAAGGTCGACTCAGCCTTCCATCCTTTCTAAGGTAGGTGAAATGAGGACCCAGATTGTGGGGGCAATAAATTGACTTTGTATAAATATACATAAGTATGAAGGCTATTGCTTAACGCACTGTAAGCCGCCCTGAGTCTCTGGAGAAGGGCGGCATATAAATTAAAGCAAAAAAAAACAAACTGGCAAATACCACCTCTGGCTGGTCCCAGAGTGGGGGTGGGAATGGAGATTTTGCAATATCCTTCCCCCAGGAGCGGGGTGGGAATGGAGATTTTGCAGTATCCTTCCCCTGCCACGCTCACCAAGCCACACCCACAGAACCGGTAGTAAAAAAAATTTGGATTTCACCACTGCCCCAGTCCTTCTTTTCATTAAACTAAACATAACATTTTGGATGCTTTGCAGGGGCTTTCCCAAATGTTAACATTTTCTCAATTGTGCTTTCTTGACTACGATGGTTTCAAAGCATCATACTTTAAAGACGTCCAATAATTCTAGCTTATCCCTTTCCTGAAGCTAGTAAGTACTGCCTTTCTCTTTCGCCTTGCCAACCCAAACCATCGTCTTTCTTTCCTTTGCAAGTCCGCCAAATTTGGATTTAAAAGTTATTTTTTCCACTCCGCGATGATTAAGATAATATTTCACTGACCCAACATTAAGATGAAAGTCAACGTTTAATGATGAACAGCTGCGTAGGGGAGGAGGAACAAAATCTTGGGGTTTTGGGGGTTTTTTTTTTATACAAAAATGACTGCATCGCCCGGGAAAAAATTATCTTTTTCTTCTCCAACCGAGTAAATCTTATCGTGCGCCAAGGGACCTTTTAAAGGGAAAAGATATCGAACTCTGATCGCACCCTATGAGTCAGCTTGGGAGTTTGAAGGGCTTGGAGAACTACCTTTCCAGGAATGCAATTGCTCAGCTCGACATCCATTTAAGTTCTTGACTGCAAAGGGAGCCGTAGCGTCAGCTCTGTAAAGTGACTGAATTCCGGCTGTTTACTCTGCAGCTTGATGTATTCTAAGGTTTTGACCTAGAAAGGGAAAAAAAGGGAGGAAAAGCATCGTGAACCGTTGAAATCGTTATGCATCTCTTGCCTCAGCTCCTAAAGGGTGTTTTTAAGGTCCAGTGATTCAGGCATGAAATTATTACCCAGAGGTTTTTTTTTTTTCCAAACAACAAAACTTGAAGGCTGAGTTAGGTGAAAGGCTACACAACAGGAAAAGCTCATTGTGTCAAATTAAGGGCTGTTTTATAGAGGTTGTAATAACAGACTTATATACCGCTTCACATTGCTTTACATCTCACTTTGAGTGGTTTACAGAGTCAGCCTATTGCCCCCAACAATCTGGATCCTCCTTTTAACGACCTCGGAAGGATGGGAAGGCTGAGTCCAACCTTGAGCCTGGTGAGATTTGACCTGGCAAATTGCAGGCAGCCGGCAGGCAGCAGCAGGAGCCTGCAGTACCGCATTCTAACCACTGCGCCACCATGGCTCAAAAAGGCTGAAAGTCAGGAGTTGGATGTGGTGACGTTTCCTTCTCTTTCTGAATTAGCAGCACGGATGGGATCTGGGTCTCCATGGGGTCCCTTTAATGCATAACCTGAGCTGCTATTCCAGGACAGTGCCACATTTTAAGAATGTCACTTTTGGATTGTTGTTCTTTAGTTTTGTTGTGGCCCCGCCCTCTGAGCCTATCTCATCGGAGGAAGAAAGCTCCGAACATGAGGAAGAGGAGTCAGCCAGGCCTCCCTCTCCAGGCCCCTCCCCTCTGGCACTGTCTCAGGTGCCGGCCGAGGGAGAGGAGATTAGCCAGGAGCCAGGTGTCTCGGATGAGAGCGAAGGAGAGCCGTCATTCCTGGATGCACGCCAACGAAGGCGTGATAAACGGTTGCAGCAGTTAAGGAGGCGTGCTAGGGATTAGAACTGAGTCACTGGACCACACCCCAGAGACTATATAAGAGAGGGTGGTGGCTGGTAAAACTCCGTGATGAACAAAAACGAACTTTGGCTAGTCACTTGAACAACGTCTGAAGCTGCCGAAAGGGATATTATTTTGCTGGACTATTTGCAATGCGTATGTAATTTTGTGTTATCTGTTGCAGTAAAAGCTCTTGGCAGATGGTGATTATATTGCTGCCAAGTTTGAGATAATGACCTGTGTGCGTGCCAAGTACTTTCTTAACCCTTGGCTGGCTGTGTTTGTGTGTGTGTGTGGACGGGGACAGATCTAGTTTTTAATTCTCTATATTTGCACTGTCCAGGTCAGTGTTTCTCAACCTTGCTAAAGTTAAGACCTGTGGACTTCAATTCCCAGAATTCTGGGAGTTGAAGTCCTAATGGAGGCCATGTGTAGGAAAAGAGCAAGCAGAGCTGGAAGACGGAGTTAAATGCGTCATCAGTTTAGAGTCCTTGCGTTGCCACAAGAAATCCAAATCCAGACCCCCTTCCGTCGGAAGGACAGAAGGCCGAGTCAACCTGGAGCCGGTCAAGATCGAACTCCTGGCAGTGGGCAGAGTCAGCCTGCAATACTGCATTCTGACCACTGCGCCACCATGGCTCCTTCCTCTCAACATCCCCCGGGTGCCTTATGAGGCGGTTGGATTCTGTTTCTCCTTACTGTGGTTTTGGTGTCCGCAAAGCCATGTTTCTGAGCCAGGTTCCACAGGTTGACGGCCAACTGGTTGAGTTTGTTGTTCCGCAGATCGGCGTGAGCCAAGAGGCTATTGAAGAAGCAGAGGGCCAGGTGACTTTGACGCTTCAGAGTCTGCCGATGATAAGAAAAGGATCGCTTAGGGGGGCGGCTAAGCAATACAGGTAGTCCTTGATTTACAAAAGTTCATTTAGTGACCAAAGTTACAGCGGCACTGAAAAAAGGGACAAATGACAGGTCTTCAAACTTAGGACTGTTGCAGCATCTTCAACATTCATGATCAACATTCAGGCATTTTGAAACCTGCCTGTATTTATAATAGTTGCAGCATTCCAGGTTCACTCTTTGCAATGTTCCCAGTTGGCTTCCGACAACTAACATCAATAGGGGAATTCAATCAGAATAGAGCTGGAAGGGACCTTTAGAGGTCTTCTAGTCCAGCATCTTGCTCAAGCAGGAGAACCTATGCCATCTCAGACAAGTCACTATCCATTCTCTTTCTAAAAACCTCCAGGAATGAAGTACCTATAACTTCTGGTGGCAGGCTGTTCCACTGGTTAATTGTCCTCGCTGTAATAAACTTCCACAATCTCTTGCCATTGGGCATGTAAATGTAATACACAAATGAAGAAATCCTGACAGATTAACAAGAGTTGGAAGAGGGACCTTGTAGGTCATCTAGTCCAAAGGGTAAAGTAAAAGGTAAAGGTTCCCCTTGCATTTATGTGCTAGTCGTTCCCGACTCTAGGAGGCGGTGCTCATCTTGGTTTCAAAGCCGGAGAGCCAGCACTGTCCGAAGACGTCTCCGTGGTCATGTGGCCGGCATGACTCAATGCCAAAGGCGCACGGAACGCTGTTCCCTTCCCACCAAAGGTGGTCCCTATTTTTCTACTTGCATTTTTTACCGGCTTTCAAACTGCTAGGTTGGGAGAAGCTGGGACAAGTAACGGGAGCTCACCCTGTTACGCGGCACTAGGGATTCAAACCGCTGAACTGCCAACCTTCTGATCAACAAGCTCAGCGTCTTAGCTACTGAGCCACCGCGTCCAAAGGGTAAGAGAAGTCAAAGTGTAGAACACACCGAGAAGGGGATCGGTTGGTTGCCTGGTCTTGCAATCATGCTTGCTAAATTTTGGGGAAATGCCACGGCAAACTCAACCGAGTCCCCACGTGGAAGACCGAGTCCTCTTTCTGAACTCTCCCTTTGTCAAGAGGTGTGTTTCCCTGAACAAAGCTTGCGAAGAAAGCCGGGAAGTCCTCAGCCAAGTGTTACCAGCAGTCTCCTCAAGCCCTGACATCAGTCGAAAAAACTATTTCTTGGAGAGGAGTTGGTGAGACGATCACGGTTGACCTGCCCCGTCAATTAATGTGTTTCATACTTCACTGGAACTCTTTTTAAACTCAGCCAGCCTTAACAGTCGCCCAGGGGGTGAGTTATAACTTACAGAAGCAGATAGGGAAAACAAATGCTGCCAAAAATGCAGTCAGCTGGATTACTGCGGTGTGTTCTACACGGGGCTGCCTTTGAAGACCGTTTGGAAGTTAAGAGCTGGTCCAGATGGCACCAATGAAGGTACAGGAAATCCTTGATTTACGGCCACAACTGAGCCCAAAATTTCCATTGTCAAGGGAGACAGTTGTTAAGGGAGTTTTGCCCCATTTTACAACCTTTTTGGCCACAGTTGTTAAGTGAATCAATGATGGTTCAAATGGCAGCAATGAAGGTGCAGGTAATCCTTGATTTACAACCACAACTGAGCTCCAAATTTCCACTCCTAAGCGAGACCATTGTTAAGTGAGTTTTGCCCCATTTTAAAACCTTTCTGGCCACGGTTGTTAAGTGAATCACTGCAGGTGTTAAGTTAGTAACACGGCTGTTAAGTGAATCTGGCTTCCTCATTAACTTCGCTCGTCAGAAGGTCGCAAAAGGGGATCACCTGACTCTGCGACACTGCCACCATCATAAATATGAGTCAGTTGCCGAGTGTCCGAATTTTGATCACGTGACTGTGGGGATGCTACAACAGTTTTTAAGTGTGAAAAACAGTCATAAGTCACTTTTTTTCAGTGCTATTGTACTATCAAACAGGCAGGAGAAAAAGGTTATTTTTCAGTACGAAGCTTCATTCTCACCTCATCTTTTCCAAGGTTCTTCAAATGCTCCAAGATTTGGCTTATCACCGTTTCGCACAATCTGCTCGTTTCTGCCAAAAATTTAGGGTCTCCGCCATACAAGGTATCGTTAGATTCAACTGGGTGAGGGGGGAGATTAAATATGGGAAAGGGAGGTCAATAAGAACGAAATAAACCTGGTAAACAAGAATTTAGAAGTCTAAATGTATCTGAAATAAAATAAAAATCTGAAGTCAATCTAATAATTGAGGGACCTTCTGCAACCATCTCCCTGCTTTGTCTTCCTTCTCACCTTTGTCTATGTGATAGAGGTATGTCTCCTGACCCATTGCCGAGAGAAGATGCACCACATTGGTGTAGATTTTGACTTTGTCATCACTGTTGTCTTCCCAAGTGTAATCCTGGATAACGTTGAGCAGCCCTCGTACGAGGAAGAGCACACCTTGTTCAGGATGGTCCTGGGGGGAGCAAAGACAGGTGAGATATGAGCTGCCCTTGAAGAGCATCCCGAAGCTCCAGTTGGTGCAAAATGCAGCGGCCAACATGGTTTTGTGTAGACCCCGGTGTGCACATGTATCACATCTCTCTTGTGGGAGCTGCATTGGTTGCCAATTTGCTTCCGGGTGCAATTCAAGGTGCTGGTTGTCACCTTTAAAGCCCTTCGTGGCTTGGGACCAGGTGATCTGAGGGACCGTCTCTTGCCGGTCACATCTGTCTGACCTATCAGAGCAGGGAGGCAGGGAATGCTGGGGGTCCCATCCCCAAGGGAGATACACCTAGTGGGACCTAGAAGAAGGACCTTCTCCGTGGTGGCTCCCTCTCTCTGGAACATCATCCCCCCAGAGATTAGAATGGCACCCACTCTAATTCTCTTCCGGATGGCGCTGAAGACCTGGTTCTGCCAGCAGGCCAGAGCAGGATGGAGCCCATTAAATGGCTCGTGTGATTTGCTGTTGCCGGGGCAGGTGGGAGATGATTTTGTTATATTGTACTATATTAATTTATTTGATTCTTTTTGTTTTGTTTTTAATGGTTTGAAATGTGATTTTTATATTCTGTAAGCCGCCTTGAGTCGCCGTGGGCGAATAGGCGGCAATATAAATTCAATAAAAAAATAATAAAATAAAATAAAATAAATTAAAATAAATTAAAATAATAATAAAATAAAATAAAATAAAATAAAATAAAATAAAATAATAAAATAAAATAAAATAAAATAAAATAATAAAATAAAATAATAAAATAAAATAAAATAAAATCAATAAACATTACCACATATTAAGGGACTGATCTCTTTCCCTAAACACTAATGTCTTAAAGGATTTATATCAGAGGACTTAAGACTAAGCCTTAGAATGCAACAACACAGAGGGAGATAGGGATAAGCTGTGTTAGTCAGACACTGGGTTGAGTCACTGTCTGAATGGATGTACAGTTTATGTCTTGAACATCTTCCAGTAACAGCATATAGCTCTTCCAAGGACATTCCAAGGGGTGAAATCCAGCAGGTTCTGGAGAACCGGTAGCGGAAATTTTGAGTAGTTTGGAGAACCGGCAAATATCACCTCTGGCTGGTCCCAGAGTGGGGTGGGAATGGAGATTTTGAAGTATCCTTCCCCTACCATGCCCACCAAGCCACACCACACCCATCAAGCCATGCCCACAGAACCGGTAGTAAAAAAAAAATTGAATTTCACCACTGGTGCTACCGTACTAGCCTCCTTATCTTCTCCACTTACAGGAACGATTAACAAAGTTGAAAAGAAGTTGCAGAGGAATTCCAAGAGGTAGGCTTCCGAAGGCCGCAGCTTCCCGTCTATGCTGATCATCTTGGGTACTTCAGGAACCAGACTGATCGCGGCTCTGAAAAAGGCGTCCGCTATAAAGAGATCACAGTTGGGGTGTATGTGTGTGTGTGTGTCTCTCATTAGCAGATTGAACTTAGATCGATCAACATGCCTGTTATTTAAAAACGGCTACAGTCAAAAGCCCAAGAACACGATGGACCTTTTATTCGGTGGGCTTTGCCTTCTTTTGAGTTCTTGCAACTGTTAGAAAATTCACCAAGGAGGGCCTACAACAAAGCTTTGCAGAACATCCTAAGAGGCATTCTTTGGGGGTCAAGATTTCAGCCTATTGTGTCTTCTTGCCAGGATATGGTAGGAACTCAAGAAGGGCAGCTCATTCTTGAGGGTCGTTTTTATTTATGGAGGTTTTTAAGGAAGAGATTGGGCCATGTCTGGAATGGTATGTCTATTTCTATTTCTGTCTATTTCATGTAATGACCCTAAGTGGCTCACAACCACCAATAACCAATAACCACAACAGGATAAATACAGGTAGTCCTCAACATATGACCACAATTGAACTCAAGGTGTAAGTTAAGGACTACCTGTAGATGCATTGACAGTGTGGTTGTGTCCAGCAGAAGGAAGACCCTGAATTCCAACCAAACTTGAACTTCTTCTGCAAATGCTGAAATATTCCCCAGTTCTGTTTTGGTTTCTTTCCTATATGAATTTGCTGCATGAGTGAATTATGAAAACTTAGGGGAAATAAAAAATTAGTAAGTTCGAATCTTGCCAGGCTCAAGGTTGACTCAGCCTTCCATCCTTTCTAAGGTAGGTAAATTGAGGACCCAGTTTATAGGGGCAATAAGCTGACTTTGTAAAAATATACAAAAGTATGAAGGCCATTGCTTAACGCATTGTAAGCCGCCCTGAGTCTCCGGAGAAGGGCAGCATATAAATCAAATAAAATAAAAAAAAAGCCACTCCAGCAGTAGAAGGAGACCAAGATATGGAAAGCTGCATAAAATATAGCTTCCAAAACTGTCAGTTTTAGGGAGAAATTGTACCTGATCCATATGGAGATATGTCTGAACCAGCTAAGATCTTTCTGAAATTCAAGAGTTAAATGATAATGAACTAAAAGGAAAAGGAGACAAGGAAATATCTTGCACCCATTAAATTAATGGATTGGGCTACTACTTATATCTTAAATTTCAACCGCTCATTTCCCAGAACACAAGACTTTATTGTCTTCCTAAAGATTGTTAAGGCAAAAGTCACAGAATGTATGAATTTCAGCCTTCTCTTCAATTATTCTGGTTTTAAAAATATGCACTATTTAGAGTCTAGAGTCTATAATCACATCCGAGGACAAATTCAATTTTATCACCGGGGGGAAAAAATCCTATTTGCACACTGTTAAGAATCTAATTCCTAAATAAATAAACAAGATTATTTTGGGCTTCTAAAATTATACATCCCTCTTATCTTTTTTAAGTGTAGCTTTCATCAACTCACTTATCCCACCTCAGTTCACTTTAGGTGAAAAATAACAATTAGGGACAAACATTTGTGTACATCAGAGTTAATAACTTGCATGAAAGAACTCAGTGTTTGTGTTATTGCTAAAGTCAAACAGCGCAATTAGCATTTTGAAGGCAGACGTCTGACTCAAGTTGCTGCAAGCAAAAGTATGTAATTAAGATCATCCTTTCATCCTGGGATAATTTCATTTTCTACATAAACCACAGAGCCTGCTTAGATCCAAAAGTGATGGAAATTGTGGTAGAACTCCAGTTGAGGACAATCCTGGATCAAACCGTGATTGTCCACAAGGGAGGCCAAAACCAGCTGCATGCCAACTGAACCAAAACCAGTTCTGATCAAATTTGGTGAAATAGAAGGAGGGGAAGAAAGATTTCTTCCGAAGATCATTTTTCTCAGATATGCAGAATATTCAATATAAGAGATCTAATATTACAAAAAGATGAAAAGGATCCTTTGTTCCTATCTTCAAAATACAGATAGTTCTCATCTTACTAATCTGCACCTCTATAACTGTCTGGTTTGGTTCTGCAACGCAAGAAGACAGACACAGACTTCAGAGGATAATTAGAACTGCAGAAAAAACAATTACTACCAACCTGCCTTCCATTGAGGACCTGTATACTGCACGAGTCAAAACGAGGGCTGTGAAAATATTTACAGACCCCTCGCATCCTGGACATAAATTGTTTCAACTCCTACCCTCAAAATGACGCTTTAGAGCACTGCACACCAGAACAACTAGACACAAGGACAGTTTTTGCCCGAACGCCATCACTCTGCTAAACAAATAATTCCCTCAACACTGTCGAACTATTCACTAAGTCTGCATTACTATTAATGCTGAAAAATACAAAAAGATACAATTCAGAATCCCCTTTCGGAAGAACATCTATTCTTCCCAAAGCTAATTCTTATTGTCTTCAGAATTATTTTTAGTCCTTCCCAACCTCCTGCAAAGAAGAGGGGCAAGTGAAGATTCGGAGCAAACAAACGCACCCACGAATTATCGGGGAGGGAACGACGACAACAATAACAACAACAAAGCCATCACAGCTGGCGGGTGCTGAAAAGTGACTTCACGCTGGCTTGTCTACAAATAAATACAAAATGTCCCTCCCTGACTAAAGCTATTGTTTTTAAAATGCGCCTGGATGGTACAGTCAGCGTTACTTTAAACCCCTCTGTTCTCATGATGCCCGCCAAATGACGCCTAAACAAAAGGAAGCCACAGCTTTGCAGGAAAGGCTTAGTCAGTGTCCCACATCAGCTTGTTTGTCTTTACAGCTGGAATTTGCTCGTAAAAAGTGTGCAAAGCTGACATTTGTTATTGGTCTGAATAGGGCAGGATCCAATTCTCTTTTGCAAAAGCCAGGAACCATCTAAACGATGCACAAAATCCCTGGGGCCTTGCAACTTTCTCCCTCTCTGTCCATCCCTCGTCACAACACAACCCTGATTCTAAGAGAGAAAACTAATCTTTTTTAAAATAATAATAATAATAATAATGTTGAACTGAAATCTTTTGTTTTTCTTCCAAGAATTCCAACCCACCGGTTTGGAGACTTGCTTTCTATAGAAAACAAACCCTGCTTTGTCCATCCTTTGAATCTCTCCCCTTTGGAAAAGATAAAAGGGATAATTATTACCTTTGGGTTGTTTCCTATAATATTTGCAGGTTTAGTGTTTTCCCCCCTGGTTTTGCAGCTTTTTTTTTTCAAAAGAATCATCGGGGGAGAGAAACAAGATAGGCTGCTTCAAAGAAAGATGTTTTGCACTGCTTCTGAATGGACAATGGGCATGAGAAAATGCAGAGGGAGTCGAGAAAAAAAAAGTACTTTAATTAGGGAAACGCCAGATTTTTCTCTCCTCTTTATCTGACTGCAAGGGACACGTTTTTGTGCTTTTGTTTTTAACATGATGTCCAAAATGCAGTCCTATTTATTTTTCCTCCCTTATAAAGGTAAAGGTTCCCTTTATGTGCTAGTCGTTCTCGACTCTAGGGGGCGGTGCTCATCTCCGTTTCAAAGCTGAAGAGCCAGTGCTGTCCGAAGACGTCTCCGTGGTCATGTGGCCGGCATGACTCGACGCCAAAGGCTCCACGGAACACCGTTCCCTTCCCACCAAAGGTGGTCCCTATTTTTCTACTTGCATTTTTTTACCTGCTTTCGAATTGATCAGTCTCCTTGACCAGTTTCCACCCATTGCTTCTTGTTCTGCCCTCAGGTGCTTTGGAGAATAACTTGACTCCCTCTTCTTTGTGGCAGATATTGGAAGACTGCTATCATGTCTCCCCTAGTCCTTCTTTTCATTAAACTAGACATACCTAGTTCCTGCAACCGTTCTTCATATGTTTTAGCCTCCAGTCCTTTATGTTATGTAGAGAATGTTTCTCTACCAAAGGCAAGTGAACCACGGGAAGTACAGTCAACTCCCTTCTCAAGCTCTTTGTGGGGAACATTTAGAAATCAGAGCAAATCTCTTTAGTTTTGCCTCTCTAATATCTAAAATCAACAAGAATAACAACAACAACAATGCCTTAGAAAAATTGGGCAGCTTATCGCTCTGCAGACTTTACCTTGTGAAAGGCACTGATTAGCCAAAGCAACTTGTCCAGAGTGCAGGTACAAATTGAGACGGGTAAAAATGCCGGTCAGCGATGGGATCGTTATGAAGCAGAAGGCAACACAAGCCTAAAATTTAGGAAAGGACAGTTTCTGAAGATCAATCACAACCAGGTTTCTGAGATTCAGACTTTAATATTTAATGTTAACAATATTTTTTCTATATTTTATTAAGTTTATGTGCCACCCATCTTACTCTGCAAAGCCACTCTTTATTTAACCTATAATGCAATATAAACAACATAAATAAGGTAAAGGTTCCCCTCGCACATATGTGCTAGTCGTTCCCGACTCTAGGGGGCGGTGCTCATCTCTGTTTCAAAGCCGAAGAGCCAGCGCTGTCCGAAGACATCTCCGTGGACATGTGGCCGGCATGACTCAATGCTGAAGGCACATGGAACGCTGTTCCCTTCCCACCAAAGGTGGCCCCTATTTTTCTACTTGCATTTTTATGTGCTTTCGAACTGCTAGGTTGGCAGAAGCTGGGACAAGGAACGGGAGCTCACCCCGTTACGCAACACTAGGGATTCAAACCACTGAACTGCCAACCTTTTGATCTACAAGCTCAGTGTCTTAGCCACTGAGCCACCAAGTCCCTTTATTTATAAACAACATAGCCTTATATTTAATGTAATAAATGTATAGTATAATATAATACAGGCCAAACAAGAAACCTGTGGATGAAGTTTCCACAGGTCTTTTAAAATTGGACTCAGTCATTTGAGAAGATGTAAATCAGACTGAGATCTTTTCGTTTACAAGGAATTATCAAGCCAAGATTTAGGTTTAGTTCGCAACCACCAATTGTTCCATGTCTGCACTTACCCTGACAAATGCCGCAGTTTTTCTGGAATGATTTCCTTTCATTACTTTTCTTGTTTCCATTGCCAGCTGATTCACGCTCTGTTTTGGAAGATAAGGTTACCGACGTGAACAACTCTTCATCCAGCCACTTATGGACTTGCTAGTTTCCTGATTGCCCAAACCACTTCTATATAAACAGAGAGCAAACCCCACTCCCTTCCTAGCACTGATGATGTTACCTAGTTGGGTAATGAAATGTCTAAAGAAAACAATCAAGCTCAGAGAACACCAAGTACCTCTCATTTCAACTTCCCTGAGCTACAAATATTCTCCTTTATCAGTAACAAGAACACTTCATGGGATAAAGCTATCTTAATTAGATTCAGGAGGGAAGTAACAAAGAGCTCCAAAGACATGCAATGAGACACAAGGTATGCAAGGTGTGTTTCATTCTGCACAAAAAAAAAATCGTAAACCTCTACAAAGATAGAGCAAACACACGTGGGGAGCTGAAGGTAAATGAGGCTGGGAGAATCACCCAGGTAGGTCAAAGGGATGCTGGAGTCGGAGAGTTTCAGTAGATGAGCAGTGACGTTGTGCCTTAAATTATCTGACTGAGAATAGTGTATTCTGTTTTTTTCTTAACCCAAAAGGACAGTTAGCATGGCAATAGGTGCAAAGAATCAGGACCATCGATTACGTTGCAGCATAGATGATTTATTCAAGCCTATATAGAAGAATCTGGTCAACTAATGGTCAGCATTAAATTGATGCTAGATAAGGGCCAACAGAATTCAAGGGGGGCTGAATTTGGATTTCTTGTGGCAACGCAAGGACTCTAAACTGATTACGCATTTAACTCCGTCTTCCAAGCTCTGCTTGCTCTTTTCCTACACATGGCCTCCATTAGGACTTCAACTCCCAGAATTCTGGGGATTGAAATCCACAGATCTTAACTTTATCAAGGTTGAGAAACACTGACTTGGACAGTGCAAATATATAGAATTAAAAAACTAGAAACTGCTTTAAAGAACAAGAACTAGAACTCAAAAACAAGAGACAGAATACTATAAAATCTGGAATAAAGTGTATTATTGGTTGGAAAGGAGAAAAGGAGTTGGAACAAAAAAGATTTAAGATTTGTAGAATTAATAATGGATAGTATTAAATGTAAATAGTAAACAAATAATAAAGAGATACTAAATGAAGACAAGGGATATGTATATAAGAACAAAGTAGCAATGTATGTTAAATAGTAATTATATTTATTGTTATGGAAAGAATATGTATCGATATGTTAAGACCAGGATGGCCACACTGTGTCCAATGTTTTTAATGTTTATTAAATAAAAAAACTTTTTAAAAAAAAGAGTGCAGTACTGCAGGCTCCTTCTGCTGATTGCCGGCTGACTGCAATTTGGAAGTTCGAATCTCACCAGGCTCAAGGTTGACTCAGCCTTCGATCCTTCCGAGGTTGGTAAAATGAGGACCCAGATTGTTGGGGGCAAGAGGCTGACTCTGTAAACCGCTTAGAGAGGGCTGTAAATGCACTGTGAAGCGGTATATAAGTCTAAGTGCTATTGCTATCAATATTTTCCTTCCTTCCTTCCTTCCTTCCTTCCTTCCTTCCTTCCCTCCCTCCCTCCCTCCCTCCCTCCCTCCCTCCCAGTGGTTAGAATGCAGGTAAAAGGTAAAAGTTCCACTTGCACATATGTGCTAGTCGTTCCCGCCTCTAGGGGGTGGTGCTCATCTCCGTTTCAAAGCCGAAGAGCCAGCGCTGTCCGAAGACCTCTGTGGTCATGTGGCCGGCATGACTCAATGCCAAAGGCGCACAGAACACTGTTCTCTTCCCACCAAAGGTGGTTCCCTATTTTTCTACTTGCATTTTTTTAATGTGCTTTCGAACTGCTAGGTTGGCAGAAGCTGGGACAAGTCACAGGAGCTCACTTCGTTATGCGGCACTAGAGATTTGAACCGCTGAACTGCCGACCTTTCGATCAACAAGCGCAGCGTCTTAGCCACTGAGTCACAGCATCCCTCTAGAATGCAGAAGTGTAGGCTAATTCTGCCGACTGCCAGCAGTTCGATCCTGACCAGCTCAAGGTTGACTCAGCGTTCCGTCCTTCTGAGGTTGGTAAAATGAGGACCCAGATGGTTGGGGACAATAGGCTGACTCTGTAAACCGCTTAGAGAGGGCTGTAAAGCCCTATGAAGCGGTGTATAAGTCTAAGGGTTATTGCTATTTATAGCAACCACCTGCCAACGTCTGATCTAACACAGTGTCCAAATCTTCCTTCGCTGCTGTTCAAACCTTTCGGTAGCTGACCTTGCGGGGCTGAGAGAAATGTCGGCAATGATAATACCACAAAAACCGTAAGGAGCAAAGAAAATAGCTGCGCCACTCATTTGTCCGTCAAACTATGCTTACATGGATGAGCTGGACCAACACAGGTTCCAAGTTGCAAAACATGGATCTGGCTTCCACGTAAAAATTCAGCTGCTGCTCAAAATCCCGGCCAAACGATACCTGGGATTAAAGAGATTCAGAGAGATGCGACTGCAGTGTCTGGTTACCCATTCTTTCCATTCTTATTGGCAGCGGGGTCTCTAGGGAAAGAGTTGCAAGGAAGCGCCTCTATCTACCCTCCCTGCCAAGAAGGAGAATACGCTTTTTCTTCCTAATTTCATTTAAAAGTTAGGATTTTCCCCTCTTTCTCACACTCCCAAGGAAGAATTAACATTTGATGTCTACAAGCCAAGCTGGACCTCCTCCCACAGATCAACAGCAAGAGGAAGTTGCGAAGGCTGAATTCTGCAACAGTCCAAAAGATGGGAAAGGTGAATTTCAAGACCTACAGGGCAGGGGTGAGCTTCAGATCCTTTAGCAACAGGTTTGCTGCCCCGTTGCTGGGTGGGCGTGTCCATGGTGGGCGTGTCCTAATCGGCCACCTGCACCATGGCGCGGGGGGGAGGCGTTTTTCATCCTCCCCAGGCTCCGGAGGCTTTCCTTGAGTCTCCGGGGCGGGGGCAGGGGGAACGACTGCTTCTCCTGGAGTCTGGAGGCCAGAAACAGGCCCGTTTCCGGACTTCCGGAACTTCTGGGAGGCCCATTTTTTGCCCTCCCAGACCTCTGCGTGGCCCCTGCCCTTTCCTGGAATGATGAACGGGCCGCATGGAGACTCCTGGGAGGGGAGTGGCAGGATGGGCGGGGCCAGACAGGAGTGGCATTTGGGGGTTCATCGAACCCCGGCGATCCTTGGTTAGAGGAATCGCCCGAACCCTGCCGAACCCCCAGGAGCCCACCCCTGCTACAGGGTCCATCATAACCACCAGGACGTTCTCCACAAAATGAGCCCAAATAAAGATTTAAAAGGCAGTACAACAAAACAGGAGGCACAGTTCATGGTGGCACAGTTAGAGTGCCCTCCTGCAGGCTACTTCTGCTGACTGCCGGCTGCCTGCAGTTTGGCAGTTCGAGTCTCACTGGATCAAGGTTGATTCAGCCTTCCGTCCTTCCGAGGTAGGTAAAATGAGGATCCCAATTGTTGGGGGCAATATGCTGATTCTGTAAACTGCTTAGAGAAAGCTGTAAGGCACTGTAAAGCGGTATATAAGTCTAAGTGCTATTGCTATTGCTAAGGTGAAGGCACCAGGCTAGAAACTGGAAGACTGTGAGTTCTAGTCCTGCCAGCTGGATGGCCTTGGGCCAGTCACTTTCTCTTAATCCTCAGAAGGAGGCAATAGCAAACCACTTCCAAAATTTTGCCAAAAACTGGTCTAAGAGGTCACCAAGGGTCAACATTTGACTCAAAGTCACCTCCCCCACCCACCCTCAGAAACAGATTTCTCACCATTCTTACAAATCCATTGATCAAGGATGCCAGCGTCCGCTTTTCATCTTCCAGGGTCAACGCGCTAGAAAAGAACATTTTAAAAGCATCCGTTGTTCAAAAATACGTTTGTGTAATTCCTTACACAAACTGGGTCCACAGATAGTTCTCGACAAGCGCCCAGATTGTCATGATCCTAAGTGTGTGAAAAACCTGTCGTAAGTCACTCTTTTCCAGGGCTGTTCTAACTTCAAACGGTCACTGAACAAATGGCTGCAAGTTGAGGACTATCTATATAGCGCCCATTCAGTGTTAGAAGTACCGAATGAGTATTCTCAAGAAGCCAGCGTTCGCTTTTACGTTGCGAAGAGGGAAGACTGGAATCTGAGCAAAAACTTGGGAGAAGCCCTTGAACTGTGAATAATTCTGAAGTACTATTTCAAACAACAGATGGCTTAGGGCAACTGTCTTATTATTGCACATGTTGTTAGTTACAACAAAAATCTTAACAGACTCAACACTCAAAATCTTAACAGACTCAACACTCAACATTTATAGTTACGGGCATGGAAATACCATACATTTGTTTCTGCAGATGGGGGAGACAAAAATTGATTTTGCATTTGTTTAAATTCAAATTCCTGGAGGTTAAGGAAGGAAAGGGAGTGGGAAACCTGCATTTTGTTTCCGACGTTGGCCAAGAACTCCCAGGAAGATTGACTCCGCATCCTGGGCAAAGTTCAGATGTGATAATATGCAACACACTTAACATACAAAGCTTCTGAAAAGCATGTTTGCGCGCACACACATCCTGTCAGTAGGGGAAGAGATAGCATCTCTGCTAGGCAGGCTGAAAAAGTGTATTTCTGGCAAGGGTACAGCAAGGAAGAAAGGTTCCTTTTTCGATAATACTTGGCCCAAAAAATATTCTGGCATCACAAGTCATTCACAGAATATAGAACATAAAATTATATGGCTGGAAGGGACCTCGGAAATCTTAAGAAAAGGGCTAAATTTTCTGGATGCCTGCGAGCCATGACGGTCAAACCGGGATAAAGCTTCCCACCTGTCCGGCTGGCTTCACATCAAAGACCGTGGGCTGAATCCTGCCCAACAAAGCAGACGTTCTCAAAGTGGAAAAACTGGCTGACCATAACAGAGACAGAAGGCAGGACTGGAGCTTCTGTGTTCCTGGCACCCGATTGCTACTAAACAGGAGATCAGTTTTCTGCAGAAACAGCGATTAAAAATAGCATCCTACAAGGGAGAATTCATTTCGGGAGAGGAAGGTTTGTTTTCAGTTCTGTATAAGCCGGTTTCTCAAAGGGGACTCGCATCAATTCTGCCTTGTTCTCGCCGGCGATGAAGCTGAGGTTTTTTTTTTTTCTTCTTTTTTTCCCTTCTTCCAACAAAGCTTTTCTTAATTTGAAAGCACGTCTCTCTCTCTCTCTCAAAAATGTGTCACTTGCTTTTTACCCTTTTCAGAGCTCTCGAAATGTCCCCTCGCCCTCTCTCACTCTCTGTTAGTTAAACTGTGAAGTCATTTGCCAGAACTTTCCTTCAACTGGGATTTAAAACAACACATTTCCCCTGCTGAAGGTTTCTTTTCCCCCCCCACATTCCCTGGACAAATGGCAGCCTTATTAAGGACGGTTCTGAAAAGAATTGGAGCTTGGAAAAGGACTGTCCCCTTCCGCTCCTTCCTTAAGTCTACCCTGGAACTCAGAAGAGGTCATCAAATCCATCCTTGTGGGGGGGGAGGGGAGGAAATGGAAGGGAAAGGAAAAATAACTTACTTTACCGAATCGTGCATCGTTTTGCACACGTGCAGCAGGGCATTGAGAATGACAGGATCCTTAGTGGATTCCTGCTGGTGCCTAGGAAGGAAGCACACACAATTTCAAAAACATGAGAATGAGAAACGCCTGTGCTGAAGGCTAAATGAAAACTGTAGCTCCTTGTGTAATGCATATTCAAATAAATTCAGAATGGCCAGAGAAAGTGGCCCGGGGAAAATTAAAATTAAACACTTCTTTAAATGCAAGAAATAAAAGAGTAGATGTTTCAAGAGGCCCGATTAGAGATGGATCTTTACAAGATGTCCGATAGGCAGAGAGGTGGGTGAGACAACTCTTGAAGGAATGCCTTTGATAGCATGGGAGTAGCAGCAAACATGTTCCTGACAGTGCAGGCCTTTGGGGAAGGGAAGAGAAGGGGAGGGTAAAGAAGGGGAGGGGAGCTCTGTGATCTCAGCTTTGTGGCACTGTTGCAAAAGGGACTGGCCACAGGGCTCGGAAGACAAAGAGATTGAATTGCTAATAAGGACTGTGGGTTCCTTGGTGCGCTCTGAGCTTGGCTGTTTCCTTGTAGACGTTTCATTATCAAACTAGGTAACATTATCAGAGCTAGTAAGGAAGTAGAGTTTCCTCTCATTTAATATATTTTATTTATTTATTTTGTCAAGTATGTATTAGATAATATATATCAGTATACGCATGAATTGAATACATAAAATGAATACAAATAAATGGGGACGGTAGGACAGGGACAGAAGGCACGCTGGTGCGCTTATGTACTGTCCTTTAAAGACCTCTTAGGGGTGAGGTCAACAGAAGACAGTTTAAGGTTAAAGTTTTGGGGGTTTGGGGAAGAAACCACAAAGTCAGGAAGTGCATTCCAGGCATTGATCACTCTGTTGCTGAACTCGTATTTTCTGCAATCGAGTTTGGAGCGGTTCACTTTACGTTTGTATCTATTGTGTGCTCATGTATTGTTCTGGTTGAAGCTGAAGTAGTCATTGACAGGTAGGACGTTGTAGCAGATAATTTTATGAGTCACGCTTAGGTCATGCCGAAGGCGGCGTAGTTCTAAGTTTTCTAAGTCCAGAATTTCGAGTCTGGTGGCATAAGGGATTCTATTTCGAGCAGAGGAGTGGAGGACTCTTCTCGTGAAATATTTCTGGACACACTCAACTGTATTAATGTCCGATATGCAGTGCGGGTTCCAGACAGATGAGCTGTATTTGAGAATTGGTCTAGCAAATGTTTTGTATGCTCTGGTTAGTAGTATAATATTACCAGAGAAGTAGTTACGCAAGATTAGGTTTACAACCTTTAATGCTTTTTTGGCGATGTTGATACAGTGGGCTTTGGCACTTAAGATTATTAGATATGAGTACTCCAAGGTCCTTGACAGAGTGAGGGTCATCTACAAGGTCGTGGCCACTCAGCTTGTATTTTGTGTTCTGATTCTTTGCTAGTGGTTTGCCCTGTCAGTATTGGTGGGAACGTTCTTGGTGGTTCCTTGATTAGACTATTGTTTACTACGGTATTAGCTTGTTTGTCTGAGTCCGTGGTTTCTTGATTTGAGGTGTTGTTTGCTTTTTGATTGTTGGTCTAGTGTTAATCCTGAGTTGAATCTCTGCTCTGTTGACTGCTGGTGAGGACATGTTCAGGTCCTTTTGTTTCTTTTTGTGGCTTTTTGTTTGTCTCCTTTTTGATGTTGTAGCTGTTGTTTATGTGATGAAATCAGGACCAAAGGAAGCCTTGTGTTTTGCCAAACAAATCCTGCACAAGAGATGGGGCGGGGGGGGGGGGTAGGAAGGAGGAAACCTCTCTTATTTTGGTCCTTCTCTCTGAACAACTGAAATATCAGGAAGCGTTCAATATCTTCATCCACCTTTTGTTGTTGTTGTTAGTTGCAAAGTTGTGTCTGACCCATCGTAGCCCCATGGACAACGTTCCTCCAGGCCTTCCTGTCCTCTTACCATGCCCGGAGACCATTTAACCTCATGCTGACTGCTTCAGTGACTCCATCCAGCCACCTCGTTCTCTGCCGTCCCCTTCTTCTTTTGTCCTCCATCGTTCCCAGCATTGGGCTCTTCTCCAGGGAGTCCTTCCTTCTCATTAGGTGGCCAAAGGATTTGAGTTTCCTCTTCAGGATCTGGCTTTCTAAAGAGCGGTCAGGGTTGATCTCCTCTAGGACTGACCGGTTGGATTGCCTTGCAGTCCAAGGGACTCGCAGGAGTCTTCTCCAGCACCAGAGTTCAAAGGCCTCCATTCTTTCAGCCTTCCTTATGGTCCAACATTCACAGCCATCCATTGCAACTGGGAAAATCCAACTTTATGAGGCACAATTCTATCCCAGGATGCCGTTGCAAAGCAGAATTTTTAGGTAGGTCGAGTTTCTGCCAGAGGGATGCTTCAGCGCCCTATCCAAATGCTCCCAATTAAAAAAAAAAGATTTTGAAGAAGATAATCTAATTTTGCTCCTTATGCCACAAACATTCCTTTGGAGAATGAAGATAGCTCAAGGTCATCATGAAGGACCTCTGCCTACCAGCACGGAGAAGTATTTTTATTTGCAAAATAAAAGATACATATAAGACATCCGTCACCCCTGAAATTGCTGCATCATTGCACAAAATCAGGACCACAAGACTCTTCCAAAGCAGAACGTCAAAGTTTTTTTAAAAAATAAAACTTGCTAATAACATCTACCAAGGTTAGTTGTCATAAAAAAAAACACACACAACCCAAAAAGGAAACAAACATCTGAAAGGGGCATTCAGCATTGAAAAGGAAGGTATTTTGATGAATCTCATTTCAATTTGAACAATGCTGAGTATTCTTTTTTCACAATGCAGCTTGTTAGCACGCCACTCTGGGGTTTTTTTCCTCTCTCTCTCTCCAAATCACAGTTGTCATCAGCAAAGAAGAGCAACATATGGGAAAAAGGCCTTTTCTGCCTTTTCAAGCCGCTTAGAGGGGGGGAAAACATCCCTGTAAACAGACGCTCTGCATTCTGTGGAATCAAAGCATTGCTTCCAAATATTTTCGAGAGGCTAAAACAGAACCATTATATCTCTATAATGAGGATATAAAATAATAATCTATAATAAGGATATAAAAAAAAAGCAGGATTTGCAGGAAAAGATTTCTTTTTCCTTTAATTTTTACTTCTCCAAACCACGTCCTTGCACATGTTCTTTTCTCGTTTTCTTTTTTTCCCCCAACGGCTCACTTGTTGTGGGCATTTACTATCAGAGCAGGTTATTGCTTTCATCATATGCAATGTAATTCCCATTCGAAACAGCACACACAGAAGCCCATTAATCCCTTTATTTAATCAGATGCCAGGTCTGATAAACAGATAACAGTAACAGAGTTGGAAGGGACCTTGGAGGTCATCTAGTCCAACCCCCTGCTCACGCAGGAGACCTATACTAGAGATTTGAACCGCTGACCTTTCTGATCGCCAAGCTCGGCGTCTTAGCTACTGAGCCACCTAGCCAGACTAAATATGATAACTATGTACTGGTTAAGAGCTGGCCTAGAAACTACGAGGCTGTGAGTTCTAGTCACACCTTAAGCATGACAGCTGACTGGGTGACTTTGGGTCAATCACCAAGAGATGCTGAGTATTTGTCCCGCCTCAGGCATGAAAGTCAGTGGGTGAGTTTGAGCCAATCACCAAGAGAGAGTGAGTATTTGTCCCGCCTTAGGCATCAAAGTCAGAGGGTGAGTTTGGGCCAATCACCAGGAAATAATGACTATTAGTCCTGCCTTAGAGGCATGAAAGCCAGGTGACTGGGCCAATCGCCAGAAGACAGTGATGCCTTATGCATCAAAGTCAGTGATGCCTTATGCATCAATCGCCAGAAGACAGTGATGCCTTATGCATCAAAGTCAGAGAGTGGGTGACCACTCTCTCTCTCAGCCAAATCCACCTCACAGGATTGTTGTAGGGAAAAAGAGGAGGAAGGAAGGCGTGTATTTGAATGTATGCTCGCTGCCTTGAGTAACTTATAAAGTAATAAAGACAGAATAAAAATCTTAACAAATAAATAAATAAATCCACCCAAGCCTTTTTTAATAGAAACACTGGGTACCATCCAACAATGTAGCCCCTACACAAATGCATTCCGGAATGCACAATTCAGTACCCACCCTAACCATCCATGGCTTATTTTCTATTTTCCTGTCTATCTGTTGCACCGTATGATGGCCTTATTACTACTCTGCCTAGAGGCAGCTCATCAATCTTCCAAGTAAATAAATAAGCAAGCTGGCATCCAGCTCTGCTTTCTGGCATGTCCTTCTGCAAATGTCCCCTCCTTCTCCTCCCCCTCCTCCTATTTCTGGATTGCACCCATCGTGTCCGACAGCAGCGCCCGTTTTTACAAAGCGCGCAATGGCTTTAATGCAGTCAAGTTGCATCATCGTTGATGTGCCTCAACAACAGATCGATAGGAATTGAGGCTATATTTTAAATTCTTTATTTAGAGCAGCGCGAGGGTGCCTTTCTCAAAACCTTCCAAACGCCAAATGGAACTGCAGATGAATTCTATCCGTCACACTTAGCAGCACTTAAATAGACCCGTCTCGATTCTCTGAAGTGCACTTAATCAGGAGACATTAGACTTACTTAATGAAAGCTTGCATGATGCATTTACAGACCTCGACTCTCACGGTCTCTTTCTGAAACATATCCAGGAATGGCAAGAATTTCTCCTAGGAAATCAAGGGAAACATCCAAGATCAGAGCGCTAGGCTCAATTCGATATTATCGGCATAAAGTTGCACTGCCTTTTGGCAACAGACAATTATCTTTGGAACAAGTCTCATGGAAATCAATCAACAATGATGTCAGCTTTCTTGAAATTTGCCCCGAGACGCAGATTAGAGGCAGTGGTGGGATTCAAATAATTTAACAACCGGTTCTCTGCTCTAATGACCGGCTGGTGGCCGTGGCCAGGTGGTGTGACAGGCAGCACTTGGCTTCCTGCACCCCCCCCCCCGGGAGCAAAAATGGGCTGGGGGGGGGGTGCCCCCTCCACGCCCCGTTTTGGCCTAGTAGGCCTCCCTGAAGCCTCCTGGGAACAAAAACGGGGTACAGGGTGGGCCGTGCCACACCTGCCCCGCGACCCATTTTGGGCCTGGTAGGCCTCCCTGCAGCCTCTTGGGAGCAAAAATGGGCCACGGGGGGCCTGCCCCGCACTCCCCCTTTCTCCGTAACCCATTTTGGGCCTAATAGGCCTCCTGGCACTTACCTGGGAGCCAAAATGGAGCACGTGGGGGCTCCTGGAAGGGACATGGCGGGGCCAGCCGGCAATTTAACAACTGATTTGCCTGAACCGGCTGAATCCCACCACTGATTAAAGAGCAACAATCAGTTGTTCAATTGAACCTTAATATACACAGGTAGTCCTTGACTTACAACCGTTCATTTAGTGACCGTTCGAGGTTACAACGGCACTGGAAAAAAAGAAATTTATGACCATTTTTCATACTTATGACCGTTGCAGCATGATCAAAATTCAGCCTGGCAACTGACTCAAATTTATTGCAGTGTCCTAGGGTCGTGTGAATCACCTTCTGACGAGCCAAGTCAACGGGGAAGCCAGATTCACTTAACGACTGTGTGCCTAACTTAACAATGGCAGTGATTCGCTTAACAGCTGTGGCGAGATAGGTCGTAAAGCGGGGTAAAACTGACTTCACAACAATGGAATTTTGTTGTTTGGCAATGGAATTTTGGGGCTGGCTCCATTGTGGGTCATAAGTCGAGGACTAATTAGGAGACAGGCATGACACTCCCTATATTCGGAAGGTCAGCGGTTTTCCAAATTCGGAGGACATGGAACACCAGCTAGTTAGAATTCCTCAACTCTGGGAAGAGAGCCAGTTGGCTGTTGGAGCGAGACTTAATATTCTGAGAGAAAAGCCCCAAATAGGCAGAACACGGCAACATTTAAAGAGTTGTATGAATGAGGTTTGTTTTAATTTTCAGATTTACTCATCTGACTTCCAGCTAATCTCAAACAGTCTCCAAGAGAAAGGGCGCCTGGCTTTCAGACAGTAGGAACATGAGGATCCTTGCAGACCCGTAGAAGCTCACCAATGAAAAGAGAACGGAGAAGTCATGGAGATAGGTGATGACCTTCTGAATGATTGACTGAAGCTAAGATCAGAAAGGAGAAGGAAAAGAAAAACATCCAGTAAGAACAGGCTTCCTTTTTTTATCAACGCTAACATTAATTTCCTTTCATTTTACCCCACTGCCCCTGTCCTGTCCTTCATGCATAAATAACTGCTTTGAAAATAGCCATTTCTTTGGATCTCAAGTAAGTTTTACAATAACACCAGTTCGATTTTATTCCAGGCATACACACACACACACACACACACACACAGCCCAAAACACAGACACACAGAGAGACCAAAACACACACATACACATACAGACCAAAATACAGAGACAAAACCACACACACAGCCCAAAACACACACATACACACAGACTAAAATACACACACAAACACACTCAGAGATCAAACCACACACACAGACCAAAACAAACCAAAACACACAGACCAAACACACTCAAGAGATCAAACCACACACCCAGAGACCATCACAGACACACAGCCCAACACACATACACACAGCCCAAAACACACACATACACACCCAGAGATGAAAACACAGAAACACAGAGACCAAAACACAGACACACACAGCCCAAAACAGACACACAGACAAAACCACATACACAGACCAAAATGACACACAGAGACCAAAACACACACACACACACATTCTGGTTTCATTGGCTTTAGATCATTCTCTATATTTTTCCCCAAACAGATTCAGGCTGATAATATACATCAACGTTAAAAGGACGCAGATTCCTCAAATCTATCGTTTTATTTAGCCTGACCCATGTTCTTTGTCCCCTTGTAGAAATGATGACTGAATTTCTCTCTTACCTGAGGATAGGCCTCTTCAAAAGCCCGATCTGGAGTCATATGTTTAATGACATCAGCTAAAATGGTATTGACTTCACGCTTCTGCAGACACAATAAAAGAAAATGGCATCACCGCGGCCATAAATTCAAAACCATACAAAGCCAAGACACGGACATTACGAAGCTGAATAACTGAGCAGCTTTTTTGCTACGTGACTAGCATCAAACATGGGATTCATATTTTAAGACGGCGCTGGCTGGCGAAGTTTATGGCAGTTCAAATCTATCACATCTGCAAAGTGCCGTAGATTTACAGATTTCTGGGTTGAGAAGGCAGATTTCAAGAGCGAAGATTTAATCCAGCATTAAAGCTTGTTATACTGAGAATACTCATGTTTTGGGGCTGGATACATTGCCGTGCGGATATAATAGGGATGATATACTGCTGCAGATATTTCTAAATTAACATAGGCCACCACACTGGAAAGGCTATAAAAAAACCACTACTATTAGAGTTTCAAGATTTATTTGTCCCATTCTTGAGACCCCTTTTCCTGGCGCTGTTGTCAAAGTGGGTTAAGTTCACTAGCGACAAACGCAGGATGTCGTTTTTAAGATAATTCATTCTCATGTTCCCAAGAGAATATTAGCATGGCCTGAGAGCAACATCTAAATCAGGGGACCTCAAACTTGGCAGCTTTAAAAGTTGTGGACTTCAACTCCCAGAATTCTCCAGCCAGCATAGCATAGCATAGCTGGCTGGAGAATTCTGGGAGTTGAGGTCCCCAAATCTTAAAGCTGCCAAGTTTGAAGACCTCTGATCTAAATAAATAAAAACCAGGCATACCTACTTCCAATGCGGCAGAAGCAAATGCCCTGAACTATAATAAAGAGAGGAAGAAGGTCAAGAAAGGAAAGGACAGATTGAAATACGAAACGCTTAAATCTTCACCTACCGTAAAATGCCTACAAGTATATTCCATCCAGATTTCTGCACAATTGATATAATCCTAAAAATAAATGCATGGGCGTCACATTTCAAGGCACTCTGGCAGGTTTTCTCCCCACCCAGCCTGCTTTCTCCATGTTTCACTGATTCTCTAAGAAAGTAAGGTCAAAATACCCTGAGCGTCCCATTTATGGATTAGATTTATAATAAATTTAGGAGCCCTGATAAGTGCAGTTGGTTAAAGTGCAGTATTGCAGGCAAACTCTGCCTAGGCACCCTGTGTATGTGCACGGACCCCCGCACATGCCCCCCGCACACGTGCGTGCCACCCCCCACGCATGCACGGCAGAGACCCAAAGACCAGCTGGCCGGCAGGAGGCGCGTGCGCATGCGCAGTAGAGCTGAACTGGGGCAACGGCTCGCGTGCCATCAGAGGGCGCTGCGTGCCATAGGTTCGCCACCACAGATCTAAATGAACAATGATCGTAAATCAACAGTCTGTGCTCCCTCCCGTTTTCCTCCACCACAACAATCCTGTGGGGTGAGACTGGCCTAAGGTGCCCCAGAGACTTCCATTGGCTGATGGGAGGTAACCACCTTGGTGTATACACCACTTCATTGGCAACTGGACATTGGTTTTCCACCATGACTTTGAGCCCCAGAAACACACCGCCAGAGTGGTACACAGAAGAAACTAGTTTTCTTTCTGGAAAATTGTTATTCGGGATGTGGATACACTCATCTTGGTGGTCATTCTGTGAACCAGATGAATGGCAAACATTTTTTGTGTGCAGCTCTCACCCACTCAACATTTCAAACGTTCCCCCAGCCCTACCTCCGAGCTAGGCAATACGCTTAAGAGGGAATGTTTCTAATTTACAGTACATTTATTTCAACCATCTGCCCACTGCAGCTAAATTGCCAATTTCTTCTACTAATAACCCACCTGTGGACTCTTTAACTTGGTAATAACTTTCCAGGCTTCATTTAAGATTTGAAGACGGTCAATTTCCGGTGGGTCAGCTAAGGCTAGGTTTTGTCCCAGGGAGCAGAAGAGAAGATGCTGTGAAAATAAAATGAGTTGCCTGTCCATTTTACGGCCTCTATTGAGTGTTCCCACTTGAATAAATAACATTAATAATACAGAGACAGGTATTTTAATTTGTAAAAGATTTGAGAGAGATTAGAAGTACAGGCTGGGCTGGGAGGGGATTTGCTACCTTGATGAAAGAAACTTTGATTAAATTTTTATGGCTTTTCGTTCATTTAAATGGCTTAATTTTATTTTTGTTCTGAATTTAAAAAGCAGCAATTTTCTTTAAAAAAATGAGGCAGATATTTGATGCATTAAGCAAAATCCCGGAAGTGGCTTTCCCTCTTTGTGGGCAAAATGCTTTAAAAACCAAGTTTTAAAATCAACTAATTAACTATTACAGGAGAATGGATCACTCAAGGAACGCTGTTCTTCCACAGAAAAGAAGGGGCCTGCCTATTCTCTATAGCAGGGGTCACCAACGTTTCGGACCTCAGGGACCACTAAATTTATAATTTTAAATCCCGTGGAACACTAATATGATCTGCCTAATGACCAGCTGGGGGTCATGTGACTGGGTAGGCGTGGCCAACTCCTCATCTCCCCGCCCGGGCTCCTTAGGGCCCCTACAGGAAGCAGTTGTTGGAAGCAGCCACCATGAGAAAGAGTTGGCAAAACAGCTCAGTTCAAATTGGATCTGGCCAAGAAGGAGGCTCAGCAGAAGCACGTCACTGAGGACAACGAGCATAGCTTTGCAAGCAGAGGGAAGACTTGCGGGAGTGCAAGGCCAGGTACGGCGCCTGGAGGCTCAGCAGGGTGAGATGGTCAGCCAGTTCCAGGCCATGAGGCAGTCCCACTGGAACGAGGCCCTCCGGCTCTTCGCCACCAGCTGCACTTCCCTCCAGCCTTTGCCCCAAAGCCCCGCCCAGGAGGCCGAAAAGACCCCAAGTCGGAATTTCTGCGCCCCTCCAACCCGCACAAAAAGACCCCAAGGGGAGACTCTCTGCACCAACACAAACGTTCATTGCACGTATCTGTCCCAGGGCCGTAGCTTGAGGACCCCTGATTTAGTGCAATGTAAAAAAAATGCAAATAATTTTTCTGCGGATCACCAATTTTCTCACGGACCACCAGTGGTCCACGGACCACCATGGCAACCGCTGTTCTAAAGCACCAGAAGGCAGGACAAGAAACTATGGATGGAAACTAATCAAGGAGAAATAGCAATATAATAAATAATAAATAAATAAGGAAAGGAAGGAAGGAAGGAAGGAAGGAAGGAAGGAAGGAAGGAAGGAGGAAAGAAGAAGAAAGAAAGAAAGAAAGAAAGAAAGAAAAGAAAGAAAGAAAGAAAAGAAAAAGAAAGAAAGAAAGAAAGAAGAAGAAAGAAAGAAAGAAAGAAAGAAAGAAAGAAAGAAAGAAAGAAAGAAGCAACCTGGAATTAAGGAGAAACTTCCTAACAATGAGGACAATTAACCAATGGAACAGAAGTTGCCTTCAGAAGTTGTGATTGCTCCATCACTGGAGATTTTTTCAAGAAGAGGTTGGACAGTCATTTGTCCAAAATAGTGTAAGGTTTTCTGAGCAAGGGGTTGGACAGTAGAAAACCTTTAAAGTCCCTTCCAACTCTATTATTCTGTTGTTCCCCAGACAGAAAGAGCTACTCTCAAAAGAACATCCATGGAGAGGTCAAGTCCATATCCTCAAAAGATTTTTGAGCCATGGTACCAGAGTAAAAAACTACAATGCACATTTAAGGGAATTATTTGGGGAGGCATGGAAGGGGCTGACAATAATAACAGAGTTTGAGTGGAGAGGATGCAGGTGAATTTACCTTGGGGAACCCCGATTCATCGCACTCTTTGATCATGCCGATAAAATCCATCGCTCTTGCAGCAATAAATTCAGCTCTGAAGGCAGACATTACGGAATTCAAGAGCAAGGCGCTGGAATAAATATTATTCAGAGCATTACAAGACAGTCTCACCCCCCCACCCCACCCCCGATTGATATTTTTATATTTTGGCTTTTACATTAAGATGTACCCAGAACATACAACATTTATGCCATTACTACATTTTCACATTCAGAGACCATTAGTGGCTTATTTGGTAAAAGCTTTTTTTCCCCTAGCCTTTGGATCGATTCCCTCCCTGTTTCTGGCCCGTTGCAAGAATTCCAGAGCTGAATAACGACAACAAAACAAACTGTCACACTTTAACAGCAAAACAACAGGGCCAAGGCATAAATCCACCTGAAAGGGAAGGAGCCAAAGGAAAAGCATTTTGCATCTCAGTTATGAGGGGTGGAATTATACACGCACCAAACAACCTGTTTCTATAATACAGGTAGTCCTCGACTTAAGACCACAACCGAGCCCAACATTTCTGTTGTTAAGTGAGACATTTCTTAAGCAAATTTTGTTCCCATTTTTCTTGCCTCAGTTGTTAAGTGAATCACTGCAGTAGATAACCTGGTTGTTAAGTGAATCTGGCTTCCCCCCTGACTTTGCTTGTCAGAAGGCCGTAAAAGGGGATCACATGACCTTGGGACAGAGCAACGGTCATAAATATGAGTCAGTTGCCAAGCATCCGAATTTTGTTCACCTGATCATGGGAATGCTGGAAAGGTGGCAGCTGTGGAAAATGGCCATAAGTCGTAACTTTGAATCGTCACTATACAAACTGTTGTAAATTGAGGACTACTTATAAATATACACCGAAGCAAAGGCGTATTCTGCCCAAGGTGAGGATAAGGGACATAATTAGATAAAGGTAAAGGTTCCCCTCGCACATATGTGCTAGTCGTTCCCGACTCTAGGGGGCGGTGCTCATCTCTGTTTCAAAGCCGAAGAGCCAGCGCTGTCCGAAGACGTCTCCGTGGTCATGTGGCCGGCATGACTCAACGCCAAAGGCACTCGGAACGCTGTTCCCTTCCCACCAAAGGTGGTCCCTATTTTTCTACTTGCCTTTTTTACCTGCTTTCAAACTGCTAGGTTGGCAGAAGCTGGGACAAGTAACAGGAGCTCACCCCATTACGCGGCACTAGGGATTCGAACCGCTGAACTGCCGACCTTTCAATCGACAAGCTCAGTGTCTTAACCACTGAGCCACCACGTCCCTTAGGTCTCTGATAAGTGTATGCTTAATGGGCAAGAAGTCTCCAGTTCAAAACATCTGTACTGTAGCCTCATTGGCTGCCAGTCAGAGTCGACAACAATACGTTTTTTTTACTTTATGCGAAGAAGGAAAGCAGAGTTAAAAAAAAACAGCTTATAGCACAGCACTTACTTGTTGCCTAACTTCCTGCATCTCTCCATCATCTCTGTCAACAAGGCCTACAAAAAAGAAGAAAAAAACAGAAAAATAGCAAAAAATAAAGGGAAGCCATAAGCACCTGCCGGTGCTCCTTAACTTACGACCACAATTGAGTTCAGGACCACAGTTGCTAACTTTTTCCAGTTGTTAATTGGACCGACCCAACTTTACAATATTTTTGCGACAGACGTTAAGAAAATCACACCATGGTCATTCAGCGAATCCATGGTCATTAAGCAGATCATTTGTCTGCAATGGGTATTTCTGGAAATTAATGGCGATTAAGCAAACCCCCATGATCATGAAGCAAATCCCCAGTGGCCATTAAACGAATCAATTACCTGCAATGGGCAATTTTTGCATTTACGATAGGAGGAACAAAACTTACTTCTGGCAAAGCGGCTCTGGGGTTGTTTATTTTTTTTAAGATGCCTGGAAAAACTGAGGTAAAATCTCAACTTGTGTAAGATTTTGTTATTTCCACATGCTTTGCGTTTTCAGGAGCATTTTTTTTTAAAAAAAAGTTGGCACACTGAAGTGTCTCATTAGAAATCCGACAGTCTTGCTTCAGATCGTCTTAAAGGAGCGATCATGTTAAGCCGAAGGAGTTTAAAAATAAAAGGAAGTGTCACCCGTATGACAAAAGTGAAAAAGGAGTGTGAACAATGGCACCCAGGAGGATTCCGAAGTAGGATAACAAGTTCCTTTGCTTTGTGCCAAGAGACAAGCTGGGCTGTAGGAACTGGAAGGGTACATTATGCTCAAGGGGGTTTGAAGGAGACTCTGCATTCAAATGGTCTCAAATGCCTTTACAACAGGGGTCACCAACCTTTCGGACCTCAGGGACCACTAAATTCATAATTTTAAATCCCGTGGACCAGTAATATGATCTGCTTAATGACTGGCTGGGTGGGCGTGACCAACTCAATGTCACTCACATCAAGGGATGCCTCGCGGGCATCTACTCGCCCCTCCCCTCTCAGCCACTCCTCGCCTCCCTGCCCAGGCTCCTTAGGCCCCCCTACAGGAAGCAGAGGAGATCAACCCTGACCGCTGTTTAGAAGGCCAGATCCTGAAGAGGGAACTCAAATGCTTTGGCCATCTAATGAGAAGGAAGGACTCACTGGAGAAGAGCCTAATGTTGGGAACGATGGAGGGCAAAAGAAGAAGGGAACGACAGAGAACGAGGTGGCTGGATGGAGTCACCGAAGCAGTCGGCAAGAGCTTCAATGGACTCCAGAAGATGGTAGAGGACAGGAAGGCCTGGAGGAATGCTGTCCATGGGGTCACAACAGGTTGGACACGACTTCGCAACTAACAACAATCTCACCTTAGATCTCACCTTTATTATTTTTACAAATAAGGCAGATTTCCGTGCCTAAGGCGGGACTAGAACTCACGGCCTCTGGGTTTCTAGCCTGGTGCCTTAACCACTAGAGATCAAAGAGGGATTCTACCATAAGATCGTGCCTCTCTTCATTCCCAACCTGTCTAATGAAAACTGTTAGGAAATGGCTATTGTCTAACTAGTTGGTCAGGCAATATATAAACTATCAATACATGTTTGTCAAAAGTATTATATTGCTTTAAGACTATATTGCACCATCCTGTAACCTGATTGGCTAAACTCTGTCGCCAATGTACTTAAGGGGAAGCCTGAATCATGGCTTGTGGATACTACACCATTTTATCTGCTTATTTGCTGTTACTCTCTACCTGTTCTCTCTGTATGATCACTGTTTGATCATTGCTACTTGTTGCTTTCTACTATTTATTGAATGTTTTAATACGGAACTTGTTCCTGTTTGAAACTCAAGAAGAACTGTTTTATTGTGTAATGACAACAACTGGTAAGAAGACTTTGTACTTGGAATATCCCTGAATTGATATTTTAACTATCGCCTTATCTGTGTATGAGTTGGATTGTTATTGGACTTTGTTTTACTTTTTTCTAAAAGTAAAAGACTACCACAACTCAGTGTGTCGGTATATTAACTGTGGTTATTCACTCTCAGCCGCTTTCATGTGCATACTCAAGGGGTACTCTGCTCAATAACCCATAACATCGGTTATGAGCCAAGAATATCCTTAACAAAAACCTTGGGGTGCAATCAGGTGAACATTCTCCATTATACCAACCTTAAGAAGCCTTCAAAACATTTTCAGAATGAGTTTATTTTATTTTACCTCCGCAGCTCGGTAAGCGATGCATTGTAGAATCCAATCAATTGCCGGAGAATAAAGTGTTAGATACGATGGGATCTCCACACACTGAGCCACCAGTTGGTTCTGGACTGTATCCCCGTGAACCTGCGGAGAACATCCAAGACGAACGGTCACCGAAAAGTCCCAAGTGGTGGAAAAAGAGGAAGGATTCACCGTAAAGCCGAAGCATGGGATGCTGACCTCAAGGAAAACTCTGGGAAAACTGATGGGAGGTGAAAGCTGAAGAAAATGAATGTGGAGATAAGCCAAACTGACATCTGCTTCCAGGCAGAGCTCTAGGGTGGAATGTAATTTGAACAAGCCCAAAAGTGCTGTTCTCAAAAGGCAACTGGATTTTCTTGGTGGTTGTTTTTTTTTCCCCTTTGAAAACGTTTCGCTTCTCATCCAAGAAGCTTCTTCAGTTCTAACTTGGCTTCTCCATAGACAAATTTGAACAAACAGTTGTGGACTTGAATTCACACACCATCTTGAAGAAGACCCTTTAAGATAGCCCAAGATGGAAAGACCCTTTAAGACAGCCCAAGATGGAAAGCAGGTTTTTGACCTGCGACCAGGGGTGGGCTGCTGGGGGTTCTCAGGGGTTCGGGAGAATCTCTAGCTAAGATTCTGTGCAGTTCGGAGAACCTACAAATCCCACTCCTGGATGGCCCCTCCCCCCCCCCCCCCCCCCCCCCCCGGAATCCCCACGCAGCCCGTTTTGGATGCAGGTAAGTGCAGGGCACACACGGAGGCTCGAGGAGGACAAAAACCGGGCCTACAGGAAGTTTGGGAAGGCTCCAGAGGGCCTCCGGAGTCTGGGGACGCCATTTTTGCCCTCCCAGAGGCTCAAGGAAAGCCTCCGGAGCCCGGGGAGGGCAAAAACGCTCCCCCCCACACCATGGTACAGGAGGTTGACTAGGCCACACCCACCCAGCAACCGGGCAGAGAACCCCTTGCTAAAATTTTTGAAGCCCACCTACCCCTGCCTATGACCACAACTGGGATCGCTGCTAAGCAAGGCAGTTGTTAAGGGAGTCATGTCTGATTTCATGACCTTTTTTTCTCCCAGGGTTGTTAAATGAGTCATGCCAGCATTAAGCAAATCCAGCTAGGAAGGTGGCAACCAAATTGATTCCAGGATACTGCAACTGTCATAAATACATACAAGTGCCTGAATTTTGGTCCTACGATTGTGGGGATGCTTCAAAGATCGTAGGTGCTGGTCTGATCATAACTTACTTTTACAGCGCTCTTGTTAACTTCGAACAGTCACTAAATGAATGGCTGTAAGTCGAGGACTACCTGTAAACCAAGGCCTACCATATGGATGAGCATTTGATGATTTGGAATAGATTGGCTAGTTTTTCTACTTCCAAGATTCTCTACCCTGTCGATAGCTGCAACTCTTTTCCGTCTGAACTGGGGAAGGGGAGAGAGAGAACCTTATCGAGGAAAGGATCCAGGTGCGGATTCTGCTGCGATAAGGCCGTTTACTTACTTGCTTAAAGGTTAGAAGGAAGTCAAAAAAGTTCTTGTTGAGGTTGTCCTTCAGATGAGGAGCTACTTCCATCCCAACCTGTTTGAGGAACCAAATGAATGAAATCTCTTATCTGGTTTTTTTTTTCTTAATACAGTTCTTTGCATTTTTGTATTTCTTCGAAGGCTTAAATAAAAAGGGGTCAGCGTATCAAGGAAGGTTTATTTTACATATGATAAAGGCAGGAAGATTACTATAAGCACAAAGGTGGAAAAGTATTCAAATAATGGAGGAATGGCTCCTTAAACAGTCAGAATGAGCGTTAAAAAAAACAAACAAACTAGAAACCTTTATGATAGGAGTGTTCAACCTTGACAACTTTAAGACTAGTGGACTTCAACTCCTTCAGCATACCTGGCTGGGGAATTCTGGGAGTTGAAGTTACAGCCCTCTCTAAAGCGGTTTACAGAGTCAGCCTCTTGCCCCCAACAATCTGGGTCCTCATTTTATCGACCTTGGAAGGACGGAAGGCTGAGTCCAACCTTGAGCCTGGTGAGATTCGAACTGCCAAACTGCAGGCAGCCAGCAGTCAGCAGAAGTAGCCTGAAGTACTGCATTCTAACCACTGCACTGCCATGGCTCTTAACCAAGATTGGTAAAAAAAGAAAAAAGATTGGTTAAAAAAAAAATCTTACCCTGCAGAGATATGCTCTAGCATAGACAGCCACCAAAGGATCACCAATTCCTCGGATCATGGAAGTCAATCGGGGGAGAGCTTCTGAAATTCCCCTAAAAAAACGTAATTTGAGAAACAGAGTTCATACCTGAAGCTGAGGCTCACTTCTAACAGTGTAGGGTCCTTGATGCTCTCTAAGCTTGGCTGTTTCTCGCAGATGTTTCGATACCTAAATCGGCAATACCCTCAGTTCTATTCTAACATCATAACACCTTTTAGTACTGATGAAGTTACCTAGTTGGGTAATGAAACGTCTGCAAAATAACAACCAAGCTCAGAGAGAACTAAGGACACCTCATTTCAACCCTGAGCTACAGATATTCTCTTCTACCGGTATCACTTCTGACAACCTCAAAGGCCTGCCTGGCTGGCATGAGCCCAGACCCACTAAACTAAGAATCCAAAATATAGTCAAGCAACTTGTCCTAAAGCCATTGAGGCAAACACAATAAATCCTAGCATCTAACAAATATCCTTGTTTTCCTCCCGAAGGACGAAGGACCACACGCAGTTTGAACAAAAGGGCAGCCCCACGGGAATCCTGCTCAGTAGATACTGAGTGTAGATACAAGAGTGTAGCCCTCTGCCCTGCTAGTATTTCACGAGGCCTTTAAGCTTTTAGCACTAGCAGAGTTTTTACTACAAGAAACAAGCGTATGCTGCTGCAAAATTACCGCATTTTTTGGAGTATAAGACGGACTTTTTTCCACTCATAAAAGAGGGTGAAAATTTGGGTGCGTTTTATATACTGAATGTAGCCCCGTCCACCCGCCGCCCCCCCCGGAAAATGGGGCGCGTGGAGGCAGCAATAGATCTATGGCAATCCCTACAGCTGATCTTCGGGACGCCGATCCAACCGACAATCAGCTGCTTGTGCTAATCAGGCTGTGCTGAAGCTGAAATTGAAACAGGCTGTTTGCTGCAAGGAGGCGAATTGCTGGGAGGCAGAGGCAGATTTTTTTTTCTTTTCTTGTTTTCCTCCCCAAAAAAGGTAGGCGCGTCTTATAGTCCGGAACGTCTTATACTCCGAAAAATACGGTACTCAGACATTTGCTGAGAGACACTGCAAAGTTTTTGTGGCCCTTAAACTCTCAAGGTCGCTGCTTTACCATTAACCAGGCTGTAGCTATGCAACTGCAAACCAGAAAGAACTCCGTGAAAATTATACATCAAAAACGTACCTTCCCATCAGAATGTTCATCCCACAGTTAAAGCTCTAAAGCAAAAGCCTGCTATTTATGACCCAAGGAGACTTCCCTGATCGGTGTGCTAAATTTCAGGGGCCAATCAATAAAAAAAGCTCTTTGCTTCCCAGACATATGTCTTTCCCTATATTTAATGTCCTACACAAAAGTGACCATCAGCATAAAATGAAATTGCAAAGAGATGATGATGGAGAAGTCTCAGGCCAGAATCCCCGTTGTTTCAATGCCACTAGCAACCCATTGATCTAAATTTACAAGAAGTTCCTTGATTTACAACTGGTCACGTTTGAATTTAGGATGGACCTCCCTAGAGCTAGTTACGACCCCGTTTTGAAATTCTGAAAGACACCCCACCCCCAGTCATAACATTGCATTTTGAGCACTTGGCTAGTTTTCATTGCAGTTTTTTTCCCCTCGAAACTTGTCTCCTTCCAGTTTACATTAAAAAAAAAATACCCATCGTGTATAATAGTTTTGCTTAATGACCACCATCAAAGGGCATAAAATCAAGCATGGTCACATGGTGATACATACATACATACATACATACATACATACATACATACATATATATATATATATATATATGATTTATATGCCGCCCTTCTCCGGAGACTCAGGGCGGCTTACAATGCGTTAAGCAATAGCCTTCATCTTTTTGTATATTTATACAAAGTCAGCTTATTGCCCCCACAAACTGGGTCCTCAATTTACCTACCTTAGAAAGGATGGAAGGCTGAGTCAACCTTGAGCCTTGGCGAGATTCGAACCTGCAGTAATTGCAGGCAGCTGGTCTTAATAACCAGCTTAATAATAGGGTGCCTTAAACCACTGTACTACCAAGGCTCTGTTTGGTATTGAATATTGAATTATCAAATGCTATCAAGTCTTACGTTTTGGAAAGAAATTTGTTGCACTTCAGTATCGATGTCTCCACATAACTTGGCACAGAGTCAGGGAAAGAAAAAAAAGAATTCAGAATAAAATGACACCTAGCAAAAGTAGTAGGTAATGTATTTCCAGGGTTGTTATAAAATTTTCCTTGTTATCATCAGGTAGGGATGCAGGTTAAGTTAAAACATTTTAAAAATGACATACGTAGTTTGCAAGTACATAAATGGCCTCAAGTTCACCTAGGCTGGGCCATTTCTATAATTCTCTTGATATTCATACTTAATAATTAGATTTCCCAAACATTGAGAGATCAATGGTCAGGTATGGATCAGGTTTTATTGCAGATATCTCACTCTACTTTTCAGTAAGAGTTCCTGTGGCTACCCCTAGTCAGACAGACAGATAACAGACAGTCCACCAGCAGCCTGCAGAGCTGGCAGTGGAGTCAGACAGTGAGGAGGCTGGGGAGGAACATGGGCCAGTCCTGGAGTCTGGGGAAGGCTCGGATGAAGGCTCTGTGTCGGAGGCAGAGAAAGGGCCATCTGGGAGGTACGTGCTGCCTCCGGAGCCTCCAGAGTCGGACGTCAGTGAGGCAGAGGAACAGGGGGAGCCTGTTCCCAGTGCGCGCATGCGCAGAGCTGCCAGAAGGCAAGAACAGTTAAAACAAAAGGGACGACTCGGGAGTAGGGCTTGGAGATGATTGGCCCCTCCCATAAGACTTAAAAGAGGAGCAAAGGCACGTGGGCCCTTTGCAGGAAGCAACATCGTTCATTCTGTGCAGTTTAAAGTCTGAAGCTCTGTTTGATTCTGGGCTCCGTGTGGCTTTGCCAATGAGGTCTTTGGCAGTGTGTCAAAGGAGATAAAGATGGGTGATTATCAGCCTTATCCCGAAGGACTCTTTACAACTATTGGGGACTCATCTGTGAATGAACAGAATTCACAGCTGTTAAAATAAGAGAGGTTTTTGGGACTATTCGTGTGTTTTACTGACTCAGGAGGCCTAGGTCAGAACAAATACATACTAACTTGGTTATTGCTTTAAAGGTTGAGGTTTTTCAACCTCAGGAACTTTGAGATGTGTGGATTTCAACACCTGGCTTGCTTCACCAATTGATTTCTACTGGCCAATCAGGATCTCTTGTTTTCAGATCTCTTGCTACCCACTTGGCATATCTTTCTTGTTTCCCTCGTTGGAGAATACACTAATGCCATTTGAAATTCAAGTATAAATCAGGTAATATTTCTTTCATCAGTCTTATTCCAAAAAGGATACAATCTTGGGATGAGTTCTCGGATGGATGCAATCTTGAAAAACCAGTTTAAGCAGGTTTCTTTGGCGGTATCGTTCACACTTTCAGGAGTAAACTTATCTGATTAAAATTTAAAAAAAGAGAAGTCTTAATGAAGAATCCGCTTATACTATCTCTCGATTAAATTAGGTATTGTAATCATACAGATCTGAGAAAACGGCATTCAAGCATATAAAAATATAGCATCATTAAAAATGCTAATTTTAGAGGTCATTATTGCCTAATTTTGAAACTAGATATCTCTACGTTTTGGTTTGTGACAGTTCTTGGCATTTTTCAATTTCACATTTGTGAAGGTTTGATTAATAGTAGTTCAGCATTTAGCAGTGAGATACCATTAAACAGCAATTAATAGCAATAGCAATAGTACTTAGACTTACAGTATATGCTGCTTCACAGTGTTTTACAGCCCTCTCTAAACGCTTTACAGAGTCAGCATATTGCCCCCAACAATCTGGGTCCTCATTTTACCAACCTCAAAAGGATAGAAGGCTGAGTCAAACATGAGCCGGTCAGGATCGAACTGCTGACAATGGGCAGAGTTTGCCTGCAATGCTGCATTCTAACCACAGTGCCACCATAGCTTAATAAACTAATTTGTTATTTTACTAATACAGGCATCTATTAAGGGTGGGAAGTGTACAATGATACGATCGCTTATATAAGCATGCAGCCCAGTAAACAGAATGCAAAATATTTCTGAATATGATGTCAAAAAAAAAATCAATCAAAGGCTATACCCCTCACAGCACAAATAGCAGCAGCAAATGGAATATACCAGCATCCGTTCCTCTTTCCTGAGAAGAAACAACAACCCCAAACTGAATCCATCAGTAAAAACTTTGTGTATGTGTGTGTGCGTATGTGTGTGTGTGACTACAAGACTGATTGCGGTGTCTCCTCAGTCACGTTATCATAATTCGTGCACTTGGCAACCATCACACATTTTGTAAAGAGTTGTGGCATCCCACAGTAACAAGATTGCCAGTTATGACCTTCCCAGCTGGCTTCTGACAATGAGGAAGCTAGCTAGCAGGGAAGCCTGCAAGTAGTGTCTCACTTAATGACTGCGGTGATACATTGAACGAGCCCTACAAAAAAAGGCCATCAACTGGATGCTGTCGCGCAATGCCTCCCTTAATGACTCCACTGTTTAACTATTACTTTATTGGTCCCTATCGTGATCATAAATCACTAAGAACACATCTGAACACTCTGTGGAATATCCCAAAGGTGCTTTTTCAAGAGGCAACTGGACTTTCTGTTTTTTCTTTGAAGATGTTTCGTTTCTCATCCAAGAAGCTTCTTCAGCTCTGACTGGATGGGGGGAAGGGGGATGAAAGGATTTGCAAGGAGTATAAACCCTGCCAACAAAAGGGCGTATAGTCAAGGCGATGGTTTTCTCAGTTGCAATGTACAGCTGTGAAAGTAGGACCATAAGGAAGGCTGAGTGCCAAAGAATGGAGGCCTGTGAACTCTGGTGCTGGAGAAGACTCCTGCGAGTCCCTTGGACTGCAAGGCGATCCAACCGGTCAGTCCTAGAGGAGATCAACCCTGATTGCTCTTTAGAAGGCCAGATCCTGAAGAGGAAACTCAAATACTTTGGCCACTTAATGAGGAGGAAGAAGAGCCTAATGCTGGGAACGATTGAGGGCAAAAGAAGAAGGGGACGGCAGAGAACGAGGTGCCTGGATGGAGTCACTGAAGCAGTCGGCGTGAGCCTAAATGGACTCCAGGGGATGGTAGAGGACAGGAAGGCCTGGAGGAACATTGTCCATGGGGTCACGATGGGTTGGACATGACTTTGCAACTAACAACAGCAACAACAATAATAAACCCTTCCATTCCCCACCATCTGGTCAGAGCTGAAGAAGCTTCTTGGATGAAAAGCAAAATGTCTTCAAAAGAAAAAAACCCAGAAATTTCAGTTGCCTCTTGAAGAAAAAAAAAAAAAAGCATTTTTGGGCCAACCATGACCTGGAGGACCGAGAATCTCCATATTGGTTCTCCTGATCTGCTCTATCTCAACATCCTGATGCCCTGGTGGTCCATAATATTGGCCTTTAAGGGGAAAATCGTATCCCTGGGCAGCTTCAAAACATCCGACCTGGTTCTTGACTGACCCAATTTCATTCCATCGAGTCCTCTGGACCAAGATGTTTTCTTGGTTGTTAGGGAGAAAAAAAGGCCAGCTTTGTTCATTGTAAGGCAAAAGTGGAACAAATGGATTGATGGTGATGGCCTAGGGTGTTTTTACCCCCTCTGTATTCCGAGCACCTCTTTGGCACAAGAACAAGAGGAACAGCAGCGCTCAATTGCGAGACGCCACCGTTTTTGTTATTCCACTGCCGTTCTCTTCAAACACACAGAGCCCAGGCAGAAATTTTGGGAGAGACTGCAATCTTCTCCCCTTTTCGCCACCGTCCCCTCCACCCCCACCCCCAATCCCTCCCCTCCTTGCAGCTGAGGACTCTTACATAATCGAGCGCTATGGAGATCCAGATTCTGCAGTTAAAGCATGTATTAACTGCCGAGCTGGTTAAGGACAAGCACCCTTATGTACGTTAAGGATGACTTATGCGTAACCAGCAAAATAGAAAAGAAATTGAAAGGAAAACGTATGCAAAAAGAAGATCGGGGTTGCTCGGATACCATCTTGAAAATATATTGAATTGAAAATGGACACAAGAATGGAGAGGGAAGGGAGAGAGGAGTAGAGGGACAGATAGGAAGAAGAGAGGAGAAGGGAGAAAAGGAGAGAGAGAGAGAAGGAAGGGAAAAGGAAAGGAAGAAAGGGAAGGGAAATAAGAGTAGGAGAGAGGGTTAGAAAGAGAGGAAGAGGGGAGGAGTGGGAGAAAGGAATGGGAAGTAGAGAAGGGGAGGGAGAGGAGGAAAGAAGAAAGTTGAAAAGGTTAGAAGAAGGGAGGGAAGGGGAAGAGGGGAGAAGGAGAGGAAGGGTCGTTGTGAAAATAAGGGAGATATGGAATGGTAGAAGAGGAACTCCAAATATGTTTTAAATCTTTAGGATGAAGAATGAACTAATATGAAAGTCAAAAGATAATATGTATGATTAATGATGGCTAAGAGATTGTACATTTATGTATGTTTATGAGAAATAGAAATAAAAACTTTTTATTTAAAAAAAAAAAAGGACAAGCACCCTTAGCTGAAGCCGCTCGACGGAGAACGCAACAAGAAAGATTAGGAAGACAATAAAGTGCGATCTAAAGCCTTCTGCGAAGCCGAACTGATTTCGGGTTGCATAAACATTTCAATGATTTTTTTGCTTTGTTTTTTTAAAAAGGGGGAATTTTCAACGCTCCGCTAAGAAGCGATGTTGGCTTCGCCGAGCATTCATTTTTTTAGGCATAAAGCTTCGGTTTTGTTATCAAGGGCACAGCGGAGTCCTTTCCAATTATTTCTGCTGCAGGCCGGCTTCTTGATGGTATGGGCTCAATCAGAATCTGTTCTCTTTTATCCGAACGGAAAGAATGAGCACAAGGCATAATGAGCGTGTTCTCCTCTCACGGACAACCGCTCAAAGGCACAGCTTGGCCCAGGAAATGGTCTGTGTTTGCCATACCTGGGATTTCTCATTCCAGCAAGATTGCAAGAGGGAACCGTTGGCTGACCCTAAATGAGCTTCGGGCAAAGGAAACAGATATCCTCAAACTACCCAAACAGGAGCAAGAAGCAGAAGCAAAAGATGACAACGAGGTCTCAAACTATCCTGCACTTCTAGAGACAGTTTGGTGTAGTGGTTAAGGTGCTAGACTAGAAACTGGGAGACTGCAAGTTCTAGTCTCCCTTAGATAGAGAAACCAACTGGGTGACTTGGGGCCAGTCACTCTCTCTCAACTCAACTCAACTCAACTCAACCCAACTCAGCCCAACCCAACTCAACCCAACCCAACCCAACCCAACTCATTCCAACTCAACTCACCGTTGCTGTCAGGAGACAAGGGGCAGGAGTTTTATGCCTTGAGTTGTACCAATAAAGGCAGGAGGTAACTGGAACTTCTCCAGTCCTATTTGGGAGTTTGGATTCTCTACACAGAGAGTTGTGCTTGAAAATGCAGTATATTTAATGGAATTATCCCAAATTCCTTATTCCAATTCCTTTGTGGAAGAACACATAGGGATTGTTGCATCAGATCACCTTATTGTATTTTAGTTAGTGAGAACAAACAACGAATAAGGAATTTGGGATAATTCCTTATTCGGTGTTTGTTCTCACTAACTAAATCACAATAAGGCAATCAGAGGTCAACAATCTTTCCCAAATGTTTGCTGAGCCTTTTTCTTTTAAAATTCAATAGTACTACGATTGGGAGACCTGTAGCAGCAACAAGACTGTTGGAAACATCCTTAAGATTTAGAACCTCCAAGATATTTTGGAATGTTTTTTAAAAATCTTTCTCAGTTACACCTTATTCGTGTTTTTTTTTTCTACTGCTAGTTCTGAACAGTTTGTCTCCAACTGACCACTGGAGACCAAGATGCTAATGAGGATTTGCTATCTCATTTCCTATGGAGCAACCTACCTGGCAATGGGGTGCAATGATCAGTACACATAGAAAAGATCCTTTCATACACCAATTTTCCTGCAATGATAACAATAAGATGGTGAAATACTATTCTAGATGCAAGTTCTGAAAAAGAATGATTGGTTATCAAGTATATGGGTTAAAATTAGAAAATTAAAGGACAGCTAGTTTAGACATGTTAGCACCAATGATGTTACCTAGTTGGGTCATGAAATGTCTGCAAGAAAGCAACCAAACTGAGAGAGCACGAAGGATCCCAGAGTCCTTCTCCTCCTCCTCCACTCCACAAACCCCACTCTCTTCTAGCATTGATAATGCTATCTAGTTGGGCCATGAAACGTCTGCAAGAAAACAACTAAGCTGAGAGAGCACTAATGACCCCACAGTTCAACCCTGAGCTACAAACGTTTTCCTCTATTGGTAAACTCTCTGCTGCAAAGTTGTTCTGAAATGAATTAACCCTCATGCTATCTATTCCTTTGGAACTCAAAGGAGAAAACAGAGGACATTATGTTAAACGGTCCAGTGTTTTAAGAAATGTGCTGAAAAACTGCTCTCCTACAAATGGTATTAGCTGGATATCCTTTCTAAAATCTTTTGTGGCAAACTCACGCCACTTCCATCTCCTGCTGTCAGAGGAGAACGGGTTACAAATCTAAATAAAGACTCCTTTTTCTCTGTCACCTCTCGTTCTAATCATGTTGTGCTTTTGGTTTGCTAAATGCACTTTTGGCATTACATCATGCTGCCCTCAAGTGGGATAATGGGCACATCATTGTATCCTGCTTAAATCCAGATTTAAAAGAGGATATAACCTGTTTTATTAAATTGCAGAATGAAAGAGAAGGACGCTCAAAAACTCCCTGATGTGTTATTATCCAAAAACTGCTTTTAAAACAAGTTGGTGGTGTTTATTCTTCTTCAACATTTATTCTATACAGTAGCTTACCACAGAATGTCTATAAGGCTGTGTTTCCCAACCTGTGTCATTTTAAGATGTCTGGACTTCAACTCCCAGAATATCTCAGCCAGCCAGCCTGGCTGGGGTATTCTGGGAGTTGTAGTCCACACATCTTAAAACGGCTACGGTTGGAATCGCTGTTATAAGTGGTCCATGTGCACAGAGGAACATCCGATCTGTGCATGTGTGAAAATAATATCCATAATTATTTCTAGCTACCAGGAATTATAGACAAAGCACGCCGCCCAAGGGGAAACAAAGGCTATTACATCAATTCAGGTAGTCCTCAACTTAGAACAGTTTGTTTAGAAACCATTCAAAGGTACAATGGCACTGAAAAAGGTGACTTATGACCATTTTTGACACTTATGACTGTTGCAGCATTCCCACGATCAAGTGAACAAAATTCAGACGCTTGGCAACTGATTCATATTTATGACGGTTGCAATGTCTTGGGGTCATGTGATCACCTTTTGCGACCTTCTGACAAGCAAAGTCAAGGGAGAAGCCAGATTCACTTAGCCACTAGATTACTAATTTAACAACTGCTGTGATTCACTTAACAAATGTGGCGAGAAAAGTCATAAAATGGAGCAAAACTCACTTAACCAATGTCTCGCTTAGCAACTTTGGGCTCAATTATGGTCATAAGTCGAGGACTACCTGTACCTGCAAATGAAAGGGAGGAAAAAAATCTTTCTTCAGCAACATGGAGATTATGCACTCCTGCCCAATTGGGTGATAAATTTCAAAAAGTATAAATAATCCAATAAAGACTTCTCAGCTATTGCAGCCAACATATTTAGAAGGAAACCAATAATATTTCTACTTTCTTGGAGGGAAAGGTTGTAATGGCAGTTGGCAGGCACCTGTCAACGTCGTTTCCAACCTGGCCTACTACAAGTCACGAAAATAGTTATTCTTGAACTTGAAGCCATTTTGGGCAAACCCAGAAATGTCAACCGTTCGGTCTTAAAGAGGTTCTAGCCACTGCAAAAAAATAAAGATTGGTAGAGAAAAAGGATGGGGTTAGATTTCTCTCTAAGTATTCCCTTGCTTCTGTTGGAGAGAATCATCTATCTTCTCTTCAGAATTTTATTAAGGGCATAAGGTTTTGTGAGCTGCAATTCACCACAGCCGCTGCCTTTTAATAAAATTAATTAGTTGGAAAAGCTGCTACCGGATCGGTCTGGTTTGGGGTTTGTTTGTTTGTTTGCTGTGATACGCTAAGAAGTCTCCCTTCTCCAATCTCCTCTTCCAGAATGTCTTGCTCACCTAAATAATTTTCAGAAAACCATTTGTATTTTCTTTTATTTAAATAGGAAAAAAAAACAAACAGTAGGTTCTATACTCACCAAAGGTATCAAGAATGTCTGTTATTAAGACAAATTTACTGGGATAAAACTGAATCACGGTGGTATCTGAAAGAAGTTTAGAACACTGGGTGGAGAGAAAAAGGGAAACGAAAATTAATCTGTTGGGTAATTACACAGAGTGTCATTTTGCTGATGAAAAGGCAGCTCGAAGACAGCCTGTCATTTGAAGAGCAGAGTTTATTCCACAAAGATTTCCACTCCAACTCTCCAGCATTCTCTTACTTATTTCCTGGCTGACCCGCCAGCTGCCTATGGATTTCTTCAGCACTAAATTCCTTCTTAACCCAACAGCGATGGAATGGAACCGCTGCTAAACCCCACTGCATTATTGGTAATATATTCCAGATGTCATTCCAGTAGCAAAAGATAAACATTCCCAATAAAAGCAGGGAAGGAAAGGTAGAACAGAGATGCCAGACTCCTCAAGACTTCCACAACTGAATACTCCGACAGCAAACCCCTTCGGGAAGTCTCTTTTCGAACCCTCCCCAACGAACTTTGCTAGACGAAAATTAACCAGGGAGAAAGAAAATAAACAGATATGAAGAGGTTGCTATTTCTACCCATTAGGGCTGTTATTAGTTGGGCTGGACTTCTCCCAAACAGGCCAGTCATGCTGAATGCTCTGAGAGCAAGAATAACAGGACATCTGGGCCTCCCTGAATATCCCTTTTCAGAGATTCGTGTGTTCATGTGTGTGTGTGTGTTTCATATGGCATAACAAAATACAGCATTAATGCATAAAAATCCACCAAAAAAAGCATATCAAATGTATATAGCAATAGCAATAGCACTTAAGACTTCTATACCGCTTCATAGTGCTTTACAGCCCTCTCTAAACAGTTTACAGAGCCAGCCACTTGCCCCCAACAATCTGGGTCCTCATTTTGCCCACCTCAGAAGCAGGGGTGCTATTCAGCAGATTCTGAGAGGTTCTGGAGAACCGGTAGCCGAAACTTTTGAGTAGTTCAGAGAACCGGCAAATGCCACCTCTGGTTGGCCCCAGGAATGGGGAGGGAATGGAGATTCTGCAATATCCTTCCCCCAGGAGTGGGGGGGGAATGGGGATTTTGCAGTATCCTTCCCCTGCCACGACCACCAAGCCACACCCACAGAACCGGTAGTAAAAAAATTTGAATTCCACCACTGCTCGGAAGGACGGAAGGCTGAGTCAACCTTGAGCCTGGTAAGATTCGATCTGCCAAACTGCTGGCAGCCGGTGATCAAGCAGACGTAGCCTGCAGTACTGCACTCTAACCACTATGCCACTGTGGCTCGTTATAAAGGTAAAGGCTTCCCTGTCAGTCATGCTCATCTTTGTTTCTTGGCTGAGAGAGCCAGCGTTGTTCAAAGACAATTTCCATGGTCATGTGGCCAAGCCTGGCTATATGCCAAAGGCCCATGGAACACTGTTACCTTCCCACTGAAGTGGTACCTATTAATCTACTCCCGTTTGCACTGCTAGGATAACGGGGAACTAGGGCAAGAAATGGGAGCTTATCCCGTTGCATGCAGCTCGGGTCTTGAACCCATGCTGTCAGCTCTCCAGCTGACAAGCTCAGGATCTTTAGCCACTGAGCCATCGTGCCCTTCTATACAGCAAAATATAAAATACCGGAGCAGTGAATTATTTTAAAAACACGAAGCGCAAGTGATAATAAAACTGTGAACGGAATTAAATTACGCATGAGCGGTTATTGAAGCGATTGAAGCTACAGCCAGAGATCTCGGCCGTTTAGCCATTGACAACAGAGCAATTCCTGTGTTAAGTAACGGTAACAGAGTTGGAAGGGGCCTTGGAGGTCATCTAGTCCAACCCCCTGCTCACGCAGGAGACCTATACTAGAAATTCGAACCACTGAACTGCCAACCTTTCTGATCAACAACTCAGTTTCTTAGCCACTGAGGCACCTAGTCAGTAATCAATACAGTAAGCAGGAAGTATTAAGAATTGCTGCAGAATCCTTTGTCCTTCTTTTCCTTTTTCCTTCTGATTTAGGGATTCTCACTTGCCATGAACCTTTTAGGTATAAATACTTCAAATAAATAAAATACCTAACAAGGTATTTTGGTTCGGTTAATGACCACAGCGTTTGTTTTAACAATCGCTGCCAAAAAAAAAAGATTGTTAAAATCAGGTTGGCCACATGACTGACCCATTTCCTCCCTTACGACAGTAATAGGCAGCTCCATTATGTTCGTAATTCGAGGACTTCCTGTAAACAGAAATGCGAAAAGCATCAGAGCTGGGTTCCCTGCAAGTTTCTTTGCTCAAGCGTGTCCACTCAGAAAGAAAAGTGGGGGGAATATCTGGAGGCAGCCATGAATTCCTCTGAAAAAGTTAAAAGCATCCTTCTTCATCAATTTACAACCCTCCTTATCAGTGTTATGTCAGGGTAATGATGATTTAAAGCTGACCAGCCCTTTAAGACTGAGGATGAGTCAGTAGGGTTACTGCCACTTTAAGAAGCTGGGTTAAGAAGCTGTCTATATAAGGAAGACCATGAGAGGGCGTCTCTCTCTCTCTCTCTCCTCGTGTATCTTCATTGTAGTTCTCCGTGTAGAGTTGAAGAATGATTGCTTGCCTGACTTTGCTTAGCACGTGTATGTATATATACTGTATATAACTTGTAGATAAACCACTGTTCGTAAAACCTCTGTGTACTGTATTTTGCTCAAAATAGCAGTCACACTGTGTACACTCTGACTTGCTATGCTCACCTGGATAACAATCTTAAGGGCTTTGACTTTCTGATCGGAGGCCCACGCATCCTTCAAGGATTGGTTGAGTTCTTCAATCCGGTTAGTGTAGTCTTGCTGGGTTAAGTTTAGCAATTCTTTTTGGGAACCCTAAGAAAATATGTTGGGTGCAAACAGTGAGTTATTTTTTTTTTAACAGTTTTATCCTCTCGCTTTGGGAAAACAGCCCAGAAAATGCAGAATTGCTGGACTGAATGGTACAAACCAGCCATCGCTGCTATTCGCTCCAAAAGAATTCCAGACAGCATCCTTTCTCCTCCAACAAGCATTTCTGTCTCATGGTTTACCTTAGGAGTACATACAGGTAGTCCTCAATTTACAACCATTTGTTTAATAACCGTTCAAAGTTACAACAGCACTGAGAAAAGTGACCTTTTTCACACTTATGACCATTTGCAGCATCCCCATGGTCATCTGATTAAAATTCAAATGGTTGGTAGCAGGTTCATATTTATGACAGTTGCAATGTCCCAGGGTCATGTGATCACCTTTTGCGACCTTCTGACAAGCAAAGTCAATGGAGAAGCCAGATTCACTTGAATGTGTTATTAACAACTGTGGCAAGGAAGGTTGTAAAATGGAGCAAAATTCACTTAACAAATGTCTTGCATAGCAATGGAGATTTTGGGCTCAATTGTGGTCGTAAATCGAAGATTGCCTGCAATTCTTTTAATCTATTACAAATTACAGAATCAAAAGCTCTCTTTTCAGTTTCCAGCACAACAGAGTGTAGACTATGTGGAAATCCTAGAAAATGCTGAAAGAAAGGACATAAATTTCTTTGCTGTAAAAATGAATTTTTGCTCACCTCTTCGAGATCATCCAATTCTTCTAATCTGGTTCGCACTTTCTCTGAAACAGATCCAGGAGTTGAGGCTTTTCCTGCAAGTAATTACATCTTTGAATTGTACAATCTTCAGGAATTTGATCTCTAAGAAAGATGTTCTATAGTAATTTTGGACTGAATTAAAGAATAAATTATGTTCTGACAGTACCTGAAGAAAACAATTACAGGCAGAGTTAGAGTAGACATTTTCTGCTATACATTTCAAATTTTTGTAATTGGCAGTATTTTAGACACTGTGGGCCAAATTTCTGGTTTATAAAAGCCCTTGGAATCCTTTGTTTGGAAAACAAATGCATAACTGCCCAACTTCTGGAATCTTTTTAATAGTGTGAGGACTCCAAATGTTATCAAAATAGAGGGTGTTAATTCAGGAAAGTTCCTTCATGTCAGTAAAAGTTTTCCAATTAAGCAACATGTCTTATAAAAAAAGAGAATAGATGCAAAACTTTAAGTTAAATATTTGGAAGTGAATGCTTACCTTTTTCAGATCCCATGTATAAATTCTGCAAAGGAAACATATGTTCAGTTTCAATTAGCAATCCCCAACTGTCCAGTTCTGTTAGATAATCAAAGGCCAACAGTCCCTATCAAAGTATGTATGTTCTAGGAATTCAATCATTATATTTTGTAAACCAGCCAATTATAAAGTATGGTTTTGCAGCTCCAAAGGTTCCAGAAAGTAGCTCAGGAGAAAATATGACCCAATGTTAATTTTCAGCATGACTTGATAAGTTATCTTTATTTTACAATAACTAGATTTCCCTCTTTAGATTTTTTTTTTTTTTTTTTGCATTCCCAACCTTTGTGTTGTTTAAACAAGATTAAAAGCGGACTCACTATGGACAGTTTCTCATTTGTTGTGTAGCGTGCCAAGATTTCACCACGTTTGCTTGACCAAGGTTCAAAGTCGTTTCCCACAGACAAACTCTCATCTTTATCACGCTTCTTCCTGGCATTATCCTACAAAGGAATATAAAAAAACAGCATCACATTTTTACATAAACAAACAATGCTGCTTTTATGTTACAACACCTGCCTTTTTTTTTTCTAAATTGAGGATAAAATTAAATGTTACACCACCACTAACACAATGAATAAAAGCCACTGACAAGCATGGAACTGTCGGAAATGTATACCATATTTTTCGGAGTATAAGGCGCACCTTTTTCCCCCCAAAAAAGAGAGTGAAAATCTGGGTGCGCCTTATACTCCGAATGTAGCCCCGCCCAGCTTCTCAAATGGAGGTTTCAGAAGCTGAAAAAAGCATCAGAAACGAAGCTTCAGAAAAGAAGCCCCCAAACAGAGCTTTAGAAAAAAAGCCCCCAAACAGAACTTCAGAGGCTTTTTTTCTGAAGCTGTTTCAGAGGCAGAAAAAAGTTTTTTCTGAAACACAGTTTCAGAAGTTTCAGAGGCAGAAAAAAAAAAAGCAAAAAAAAAGCAAGGCGCAGAGCTCCCAACCAAGGAACCTGTTGCTAAAATTCACCTCTGGGAACAGCCGATTGGGGGTATTCCAGGAGGCTGATCCACCTGCCAATCAGCTTTTTTCTTATTTTCCTCCCCAAAAACTAAGGTGCGTCTTATACTCCGGTGCGTCTTATACTCCAAAAAATACGGTATTTAAAAACCCATAATTAACTGCAGGTAAATCCATCAGCTACCCGGTAAATGCACACAGGTTGGTTACCTATGGAGAGAAGCACAAACGAAGGCTAGTCTTTGCCTTCAGCACCTTGGAGAGCTCCGTGCAAGACTTGTTAAACTGCTTACCTTCTTTGCAGTCTCCCATTCCTTTGAAGGCATCAATGAATACCAAAACTGAAAATGACATCTTTCCTACCATTTTGAGTCAGAAAACTCCCAAAATATAGACTAACACAGACTCTGAACAAGCTTAAAAATGATTAACAAAATACTTTCTCTCTTCTGTCCCTCCCTCCAAAATTGAATGTCAACCACAACATCGGGTGAGTGTGAACTGGCCCTAACCACTGTAGTCTTCACTAGAAGGAATTTAAACATAAAGATGTTTTTGCTGGCTTCCCAAAAAGTGAACGCAATTGAACTCTCAACCAGATAGCTTCAGAGCCTGACTATGATCCACTGAGATCCCAAAAGAGAGACTTAGGACATCTCTCTCTCTCTTGCTACTAATTGTAATTTAAAGAGTTTGTGTTCTTTGTCTGCAACTTAGAAAATATAGAAGAGATATCATGGAGACATCATTGTTTGGCTAGGATGACATTAAAGAACATTCAGAAGACTCCTTCCAGTTGTGTTGACCAGGACTTTTTTGAGTTCCTCCTGACTCAGGAGACATAACTTAAGAATTTTGGACACACATACATCTGCAGAATGCAGGGGCAGCAGTAACATCAGCCCCCTACCTAGCTGCTCTGAAATGACATTACCGTTGTCATGCTCAGCAATGGATCGGCAGTAGCTGCGAACAAGGATAAAGGATCTGTGCCATCCAGAACGCTGCTGAGTGGATCCAGCATTGAACTAGAGGATGAAGATGATGTAGAGGATGTGCTTCCTTTACGACCCAATTTTTTTGTCTTCGATTCAGTAACCTGAGGAATATAACAACATATGTAAGAAGTTTGCAGCCCAATCCTTTCCACGCTTATTCCAAGACCAGGCAAACATGTGTAAGAGACCAGTTCTGTAAGCCACCACTGAGCTAGGAATAGTTACTTTAAAAAATGGAGAAGTTGAATTACATTCAATGCTAGACAAAGCCTAATTCTGAACAAGCTTAAAGAATATATCAGGAATTGAAGTATAATCTACATGCTGCCATTATAAAACTAAACATTTTACCCAGGGGTGAAATCTATTTACCTTCCCTGCTGGTTCGGAAGTGTGCACACCGCGCCATCATCACGTTCGATTTTTGATCCCCTGTGCATACGTAAGGAGTTAAAAACCAGGAAGTAATGACATCCGGGCAGATGGGCGGAGCCTCATACTGCCACCGCTACTGGTTTGCCGAACCATGCGCCAGCGGCGCTACCGGCTCATGCGAGCCAGACAGAACCGGCAGGATTTCACCACTGATTTTATCACCAGTGTTTATTGCAAATTGTGCAGAATTTAATTTCCCTCATTTGAAGTCATACTGATGGTATCACACAGACCTTTTTATGGAGATATGACAAACCAAAAACCTCTTTCTCTTTTATCAATCAAACTTGATAATGATACTGTTGGTTTGCAGACCAACATAGCAATGTCACGTTTTTCTGCAAATTACCAGGTAAACCTACCATAATGGGTTTGAGTGGATGGAAATCACCAAATTCCACAGACACAGCCTCCAGTCTGTATGATTCCAATTCACGCCCATAGTTTCGTATTCTTGCATGCCTGAAGGACAAAAGTAAATATATATATATATCTCGTGTGTGTGTGTGTGTGTGTTATATAGATATACATATGCACAGAGTAGACTGGCAACAAGTGTTTTTTTAGAGATTTATTTATTAAATTTATTTGTTGCCCCTCTCACCAAATTCTAATTCCAATCACTGTAACCAACATGGGACAACCATAATGATGGGAAGACCAATCTAATACCATCTGAAGGACCAAACCTGAGATATACCATAATTCAATGAAAATAAATTTTATCTATAAGCATAAGCTCAAGGCAAGTTGCAAGAAAAATTCATTGTCATCAGTTCAACACTGATATTTTGCAGCCTGTAAACAAGTTACTAACAAAAGGAAGATTTATGTCCTAAGATGAATCACCAGTGACACCAACTGGCATCAGAAAGAAATGAATGTAAAATAATATTTCCTCCCCAAAGCTAACTTTTGAACTGACACATTGCTGTGAACTATATGCTTGTTTAATATTGTTATATTGAAAAAACCATAATGGCTGGATTCAACCAACGTGAAAGAACCAGAATGTTCTTTCTGCACCAACTCAGGAAGCTCAAACTGCCCAAGGAGCTACTGATCCAGTTCTACAGAGGAATTGTTGAGTCTGTCATCTGCACCTCCATAACTGTCTGGTTTGGCTCTGCAACCCAACAAGACAGACACAGATTTCAGAAGATAATTAGAACTGCAGAAAAAACAATGGCTACCAACCTGCCTTCCATTGAGGACCTGTATACTGCACAAGTCAAAAAGAAGGCTGTGAAAATATTTACAGACCCCTCGCATCCTGGACATAAACTGTTTCAACTCCTACCCTCAAAACGACCACTATAGAGCATTGCACAGAACAACTAGACACAAGAACAGTTTTTTCCTGAATGCCATCACTCTGCTAAACACATAATTCCCTCAACACTGTCAAACTATTTACTAAGTCTGCACTACTATTAATCTTCTCATCGTTCCCATCACCCATCTCCTCCCACTTATGACTGCATGACTGTAACTTTGTTGCTTCTATCCTTACAATTTATATTGTTTCCTAGTATGATTTGATTGCTTATTTGTACCCTATGACTATCATTAAATGTTGTACCTTATGATTCTTGACGAATGTATCTTTTCTTTTATGTACACTGAGAGCATATGCACCAAAGACAAATTCCTTGTGTGTCCAATCACACTTGGCCAATAAAGAATTCTATTCTATTCTATAATGCAGGAATTTGGAGAAGATAATGATGATGATAATAATGAATAAACCAGGAAGTAATGTAGGAACAAGAATAGAGATGTTTAATCTGCGCTGCAATTCCTGTTCATGTTTGGATATAGCAAACATGATCAAGCTATTCTCCAAAGCACCTGAAGGCAGGACAAGAAGCAAAGGGTGGAAACTAACTAAAGAGAGAAGCAATTTAAAACTAAGAAGAAATTTCCTGACAGTTAGAACAATGAATCAGTGGAACAACTTGCCTGCAGAAGTTGTGAAAGTTCCAACACTGGAAGTTTTTAAGAAGATGTTGGACAACCATTTGTCTGAAATGGTATATAGCAGTGGTTCTCAACCTGTGGGTCGCGACCCCTTTGGGGGTCAAACGACCCTTTCACAGGGGTCTCCTAAAACCATCGGAAAACACATTTTCAATGGTTTTAGGAATAATTTTATGGTTGGGGGTCACCACAACATGAGGAACTGTATTAAAGGGTTGTGGCATTAGGAAGGTTGAGAACCACTGGTATATAGGGTTTCCTGCCTAAGCAGGGGGTTGGACTAGAAGACCTCCAAGGTCCCTTCCAACTCTGTTATTCTCTGTTCTCAGTGTTTCAATATCTCAGGGGCTGCCACAAAGAAGAGGGAATCAAGCTATTCTCCAAAGCACCTGAGGGCAGGATAAAGAAGCAATGGGTGGAAACTAATCAAGGAGAGAAGCAGCTTAGAACTAAGGAGAAATTTCCTGAGTTAGAACAATTAATCAGTGGAACAACCTGCCTCCAGAAGTTGTAAATGCTCCAACACTGGAGATTTTTAAGAAGATGTTGGATGACCATTTGTCTGAAGTGGTGTAGAGTCTCCTGCCTGAGCAGGGGGTTTGACTAGATGACCTCCAAGGTCCCTTCCAACTCTGTTATTCTCTCTCTCTCTCTGATATCCCTGCTGGATTTCTACCTGCCCAAGCCTCTCTGAGAGGCTGTTTTTCATTGCCAAGCCCCCACAATTCCTCCCCCCCCCCCTCGGGAAGACAAAGTCCATCCTTCTCAGCGTGCGCAGGATGATGGGAGTTGTCATCCCCACGCCTGTAAGGAAGACCACGGAGGGAGCCGCCCTCTCAAACCCCGGCGCCCCCTCCCCACAGCCAAGCCTGCGGCCTAGAGTCCTCTGAGGGGGGGGCGGATTAAAAAAAAGGGCGGGAAAGCCGAGGCTCCCTCATTTGAGGAGGGGGGGAATCCCTCCTGTTTTTTTCCTCCCTCCCCGCGGCGATTCTCACCAAGGAAAGGCAGCCATCTTGGTTCCCTCACGTGACTTCCCCGCCCGCGAGCGCCGCCCGACGCCGGAACGGCCACGTTGGAGAAGGGCGCTTGCCCGGTTGCCTTGGCCAGCGAGGGGGCGGGGCGAAAGGGGCGGGGCGAAAGGCTCTGCTTGGAACTTGGTTAAGTAGGCGAAGGAGTTTTGAGCATAATAATAAGCGATACTTATATGTTGATCTTGGCTTATGCTGGTTTGGCCAAGCTTATGTTGGCTTATCTGCAGGGACTCAACTTTTAAACTTTTAAACTTTTTTTTTCTCAACCTTGGCAGCTTTCCAGCTGTGTGTGGACTCCACAACTCCCAGAATTCCCTGGCTGGGAAATTTCCCCCAGTTGACTAGAAGGGAATTCTGGGAGTTGGAGTCCACACAGCTGAAAAGCTGCCAAAATTAAGAAAGGCCGCTTTAAGAAGGTGAGCCTGGTGGCGCAGCAGACTAATAGCCTGTTATTAACATTCAGCTGCCTGCAATTACTGCAAGTTCGAATCTCGCCAAGGCTCAAGGTTGACTCAGCCTTTCTAAGGTAGGTAAATTGAGGACCCAGATTGTGGGGGCAATAAGCTGACTTTGTATAAATATACAAAAGTATGAAGGCTATTGTTTAACGCATTGTAAGCCGCCCTGAGTCTCCGGAGAAGGGCGGCATATAAAATAAAAAAAAATAAAAGAAGGTTCCTACTAATTAAAGCATGTGGGGCTCGGCGGCACAGTGGCTAAGACGCTGAGCTTGTCCATTGAAAGGGTCGGCACTTCAGTGGTTCGAATCCCTAGTGCCGCTTAACGGGATGAGCTCCCGTGACTTGTCCCAGCTTCTGCCAACCTAGCAGTTCGAAAGCAGGTAAAAAATGCAAGTAGAAAAAGAGGGGCCACCTTTGGTGGAAAGGTGACAGCGTTCCGTGCGCCTTTGGCGTTGAGTCATGCCGGCCACATGACCACGGAGACGTCTTCGGACAACGCTGGCTCTTCGGCTTTGAAACGGAGATGAGCACCGCCTCCTAGAGTTGGGAACGACTAGCACATATGTGCGAGTGGAACCTTTACCTTTACCTTCACTAACTAAAGCATGACATTGCAATGCAAATTTGGCTGAAGGTGGCTTGTCCAACAAACCAGAGTTTGAGGTGAAACACAGTTTATAGTCAACCAGTTGTGACTGGGTGCAATGTTGGAATTGAATCTTAGAATTGTTAGGATCCTTTGTGTCCTCTCCCCCCACTTTCCAGGGTCTTTTTTTCCCCTCTGGGATCCTTGCTGCTTGGCTGGGGCTGATGGAACTAGTAGGGCAGTCCCAAAAGCGTTTTGACTCCAGAAACAAAAGGTTTTGCTAGCCGAAGAAAATAAGTAAGCAGAAAACACAGAGCAATCCATTTAAAGTGTTTGATTTTTTTAAAAATGTTCCCTGACTGATCACTGTCTCACAGCTAGATGTGAAGGTGTGATAATTAAAAAAGTGAAGTCTGCATGGTTTAATCATCCCAAAATTATCCTTAGCATCACAGAAAGGGGTTGAGGAAGAAAGCATATATGCACGCACACAAATACTGAGATTTTTTTTTTTTAAAAAAAAGTTTATTTGTGTAATATACTTAAAAGAGATTTTTAAAAAAGGACAGGTGAAAACCAACATACAAAAATAAGGCTTATAATAGCATGGCATTCCACTCAAAAAAAAAAGGCAAACAAATTTGAGAATAAATAAATATGAAACATTAAGTTACAAAAGGCATCCTGGCACTTATAAATAGAAGGCCATACGCTGTTAATTTATAAATAAAAAGTTTTGTGCTAAAATATCAAAAGGTCCATTTGAATTACAGAACTTGTACTTCAAAACAAGTTCTATTTACATGCAGCCTATGTCTAACTCCACAGCACACAATTGGATTACTTTTAGCATCGACACAACATGTAAACTAGCTTAACATACAAGGTAACAACCACAATTTTTAAGTCAGCTTGTGAATCTTCAGTTCAGGTTTTTTGAACCTCAGGCAAGAGCATTGAAAATAGTTTTAAAACCAGAATGCAGTGAATTATTTCCGTGACAAGCGTTTGAATTATGTGCCTCAAATTAGCCAAGGGCAATCCTTAAAACCATGATTGGTTACATCACAATTTGTGGCTTGTCCATTTTTACCGTGAAAGCAGAGCCAATCTCTGTAACTCATTCACTCCTATTTCAGACTTCCCTTCAGATAAGCATATAAAACAAGCAAAGAAGCAGATTTCTTAAAAAGCTAGAAATACAAAGCATTTGTGCAAAGTTCAAACCAGATGCTTGTTTGACCAAATGCTTGTAATTAAGTTGGGGTTAGTCAAGATGAGAAATCCAGGGCTGGGGCTGGATGTTGCTTAAAAGTTTATATTGTTGATTTGTTTATCCATCTGTATGGGACTTTTGTCTACAATAAACCAGGATAAAAAAGCAAGTTTGGCTTATCATTCTATCAATAATCCTTGACTTTTTTTTAAAACTGGCATCAAGACAGCCCCAGTCCCAAATGTGATTTAAAAACACTGCATGATGTAATAAAAGCATTAGAAGATACACGTAAGTTTATAAGCATCTGAGTATAAATAACTGTACCCATGTATAAAGTTAACCCCATTAATTTTTCAATTCGTGGGAATGATTTCAGCGACACCACATCTGAAACCTCTACCAATGGCAAAATATTAATACCACCTGAACATGTAAAATTAACATTAGACATTAACTGTGACTAAAGATGCTACTGGGATAAAGCCACTACTAAGCTAAAAGGAGCGCACCAATTTATTTCCCAACATGGTCTTGTTTCAATCTTTCAAAACCACACTAAAATCCACTCTGCTTTTCCTGCCTCTCCAAAACAATATTTACATAAATACAATTTGTATTCAGAAATGCTTTTGTTCATCTAGTTTTTCTGTGAAATTAAGATGGTGGTTAATCTCATGTTATATCTTGAAAGAGAAAAGATGGACAATGTTAGTCCTTTTTTCAGCAAGCCGGGCTGGCTTAACATATTTTTTAACATATTTTTCAATTTTTGATTGGTTTGTTATCTTAAATTGGGGCCAAATTAATATATATCTTTTTAATTGTTTTTAATGTTTGTATTGTATGTTTTTATCTGGCTGTACACCGCCCTGAGTCCCTCGGGAGAAGGTGCGGTATATAAATTTGAAATAAAATAAAAATAAAATAAAATTACCATTAGTCCAATGTTAAATAAGTAACCTTGGACTAGTATAAGTTGCACAATGTTAGTCCAACTTATTATTAGCACTGGTCGTTCATTATTCAAATGTTGTTTATAAAAAACACTACCAGATATCTGGATTTAAAAAGAGAAGTGAGGCAAATGTTTAGCAAAATAACCTTCCCTGCCTACCTAATAGTTGTTATCATTTTTTAAAGAGGATGTTTCTAGTACGGTTACTACAAAAATCAAGTCTGACAGCATCTTATAAACAAGATCTCATAGCATGCTCAGAAACAAGACCACAGCCAGAAAAAAGGAGGTGGGTGAATACAATATTTATACCCTCTGATTAATAGCATCATGGCTGAAAGCTTAAAGAAACATATATGTTCAACATCATGACCCTCCTGATTTCCAAGAGAACTGAAGTGGCCAAGAGAAGCTTTGTGTAACCCAAAAGTGCAATCATCTTTGGAAATGATCCAGAGAGCTGAGACCAAAAATTTCCTTTTCAGAAGTGCTTTGAACTATCCCCAAAGCATGACAGAGAGAAGCAGGAATGCTGGACATCTAAAGCAATCACGCTTCCGGGGTTATTTATTGCACAATTGAAAAACGCAACCTTGGTTCAAAAGGTTGCTTGAAAATATCTACTTGAGGGAGTAAGCAAAGCACAAAAACCCCAGAACTCAAATGGAAGGCTGGCCATCATATTCACATTCATATTTCCTTCGTCTTCCTTCGTTCACATTTCCGTTCCAGAGTCTGCTAAGTCTCTTTTAACAGGACCACGCACAGATCTCTCCTCGACCCGCATTCCTTGAAGGAACATCTGGAGAACATTGAAGGACAATGCTAAACCACTTCCTAGCCGAGGGAATGCTGCCTTCTTAGGTTGTCGCAACATTTGGCTTCTTTCTTGGGATTCTTCCGGCATATACTCCTGAAAGCAAAAATCAGAAATAACCCGGTCTTGTTTATTAAAAGGTTACGAGCTTAAAAATGCCAACCATTTGTCCCAAGCAAGCAGTTTTAAAAGCAGACGCAAATGGAACTTTTGTTCTGAAGGGCAGTTTAGTAGAGGAACAACCATAAAGTTTTCAAACTGTGTACAGAAATAAATAAATTAGGGTTGTCCATGATAGCGATGAGAAGAAGCAGCGACAAATAGCTTAAGCAGGTTTGGGAGGTTTAAATTCCTGAACTTCTAAGAAACTTAGCAGACCTATGTTAAAATCCTGTCTGTAACCCAGCAGATATACCTGACAGATTTTAAATTATTTTGTCAGAATGCTTCATGTTGGGAGAAAAAAAAAATCATTAGACAAAGTGTGTTGGAGGTACAAGAAAGCTGTAGAAAAGGTAGATGAGTAAAACCACTGCAAGGTAGGTAGGTTGGTGGATTGGTTTTTAAACAGCTTGGACCAGTGGTGAAATCTAATTTTTTTTACTACTGGTTATGTGGGCATGGCTTGGTGGGCACGGAGGGAAGGATACTGCAAAATCTTCATTCCCACCCCACTCCTGGGGAAAGGGTATTGCAAAATCTCCATTCCCACCCCACTCTGGGGCCAGCCAGAGGTGGTATTTGCCGGTTCTCTGAACTACTCAAAATTTCCGCTACCGGTTCTCCAGAACCTGTCAGAACCTGCTGGATTTCAGCCCTGGCTTGGACTCATATTGATTTAATTGATAGACTGTAGTTAAGTCGTGGCTTATTAAATAAACCGCAATTGGTCAAGTTCATCCAACACACTAAAACCACACACACACACACACAATGCTTTTCAACCCATGATGGCCCATTCACACACTGCCAAAATCAACCATCATTTTGGTTTAACACAATGGGCAAAGTCAGACATGATGAGTATCTCCAGAGCTACTATGAGGTGTGTGGGAATTCACAGGAGATATCTGGAACCCTCATCATGCAGAAGGACTAGGAAGAGACAGACTTTGCTGGACAGACAGACAGACATCGCTGGAACTTCCTCCACTCTACAGAAGCTGAACTGTGCAGTTTGTAGATTTGGGGGCCCAGAACTGGCTCTCTTTATAAGTGCCTCTACCTCTGTGATGTTTCATAGAATGTTTTCAATATGATCTTACTCAGATAATATTGGGTGGGCTTCAAAAATTTAGCAAGGGGTTCTCTTCCAGGTTGCTGGTGGACGTGGCCATGGTGGGCATGGTCTAGTCAGCCTCCTACACAATAGCTTGAGGGGGAGGGGCATTTTTGCCCTCCCCAGGCTCCAAAGGCTTTCCTCGAACCTCCGGGAGGGGGTGAAAACGGCCTCCCCAGGCTCCAGAGGCCCTCTGGAGGCCAGAAACAGGCCTGTTTACAGTCTTCCCGAACTTCCAGTAGGCCCGTTTTTCGCCCTCCCCGAGCCTCCACATGCGCCCTGCACTTACCTGCATCCAAAACGGGCCATGTGGGGACTCCTGGGAGGGGAGGGGAGGGGTAGGCGGGGCCAGCCAGGAGTGGGATTTGAGGGTTCTCCGAACTGCACAGAATTTTAGCTCGAGGTTCTCCCGAACCCCCGCGAACCCACAGTAGCCCCACCCCTGGTCTTACTCCTAGAGATCATGAGAGCATCCAACGGGGAGGAGATCTTTTCAAGGAGAAAGTCTGGCTCTAATTATGGAATTTGTTTCCTTGGGGAAATGGCACATGGAGCTAGCTGGTAATCATTTTGGTCTAAGAATTTCCAAGGTACGAAGTGAGGATCATGATCAGGTTGAAGTGGTCATCTAAGGAGGGCAACTCACATATCTTACAATTTTCTTTCAACATCAGGCTAAGGAGAATAAGCAAGCAAGGCTATCGTGAGAAACAGATGCAGGTAGTCCTCGAATTACGACCACAATCGAGCCGAAATTCTTCACTGGTAAGCAACCGTTGCTCAGTGAGTTTTGCCCCGTTCTACGAACTTTCTTGCCGCAGTTCTTAAGCAAATCACTGCAGTTGTTAAGTTAGTCACACAGTTGTTAAGTGAGTGTGCTTTCCCCCATTGACTTTGCTTGTCAGGAAGTCACAAAAGGGGATCACGTGATCCCAAGGACACTGAAACCATCGTAAATGTGAGTCCGTTGCCGAACTTCTGAATTTTGATCACGTAACCATGGGGGATCGGCAACGGTCATAAGTGTGGAAAAACTGGTCATAAGTCACTTTTTTCAGTGCCGTTGTAACCTCAAACGGTCACTAAACAAACGGTTGTAAGTCGAGGACTACCTGCGAACCCTTTCTGCCTTTTTTTCCCTAAATGAATGTTAGCTTTCTGAAACCCTCCGTACCTCCTCAAAAAGAAAGGTCCACATGCACAGCACGATTAGTACCCAAGATCTTCTAAGGCCGCCCATTTCCCCTCATCATATGACATACATAGGGTGTATGTATGTGGCACGAACATGCACAATCATGTGAGAAACAGGTTAAGCGTCCTAGACAGGACGTTTCAGTTAAAACACACAAAAAACCCAACGTTCAGGCATCGGGTGTTATCCACAAAATGAAACCGCAACTAAAAATAAAAATAAAATAATATGCCATCCGCTCAGTTTCGGAAGGATTAATCATGGCGGACCCGAGTGGAACTGAGTCGCTCCTTCATGCAATCGGTGAACACAACTTTTGCAATGTGTGTGGTGAGGGTTAGTGTAGCGCAGTTAGAGCAGAGCCGGTTGCACCGAGAGGAAAGAAATGATCTGCTGCTTAAAGCTTCTTCTAGCGGAAAGCATCTTTCTCACGCGAGAGATCCCGGCACCCAGTTTTGTGTACACACCTGAAAGGGCCTTGCTAGGCACTCTGTGGTCTGAGGGTTTCTTTCTATTTTGCTCGGCCCCTTTCACTGAGGCCTTAGAGGTTCTGATTGAACATAAAAGGAGGTCATAAGTCACCTGCATCCAAGGTTTAAAAAACAAAAAAAGTAGGTTATTTCCCCAAACACCCGTGTACAAGAAGTTCGGTCTTACCCCTGTCTGGATAGCAGCCGTTGGATGGGAGCGTTTTGACCTTGGTTGGGCTGAAGAACTCTGCAGAAGAAATCACATTTTTTTAATTTGGAATCATAAAAGCTGCTTTCTGAGAGGACAGCAGTAGAAAGAGAATAAGGAAAACGACTAGAAAATTCAGGATGGAATGGGGAAAAAAGCAAGGGACAGATAAACAAGACAAAACTAAGCCCTCGGGAGTTATTGGAAACTGGGGGCATACAAGTTTTATTACCCTGTTTCCCCAAAAATAAGACATCCCCTGATAATAAGCCCAATCAGGATTTGAGCGTGTGTGCTAAAATAAGCCTCCCCCCGAAAATAAGCCCTCCCTGAAAATATTTAAACGCAGAGCTAGAAATCAGGTAAGACTGCAAGAGGAGCCCCATCTTGCTCCACATGCACCAAAATAATAAAACCTCCCCGAAAATAAGGCCAAGCGCTTATTTCAGGGTTCAAAAAAATATAAGACAGGGTCTTATTTTCAGCGAAACATGGTATCTGTTCACAATATTATGGCGCCACAGCAGCCAGTTCTTTTCAAGAATCTAGGAGGTCACAAGGTATTGGCGTAGTCTACAGTAGTGGCCAAAATTGTGGAAATCTTTTGGGAAAAGTGTATTTTTGAGGTTGGATGGCTAATAACACCACTTCTTTTTCAGAGTTTCAAGATAATCCTATTCCACTGCTGGAATGGCCTGGGAATAGCCCAGACCTTAACCCAATGGAAAATCTATGGAGCCAACTAAAGAAACTGGTTAGTCAGAAGCAACCCAGCCATTAAACTCAGTTAGTGGAAGCCATCGTTCAATCTTGGTTTCACATTATAGGAGCTGCAGAACTAAAAGACTTGGTTCACTCCATGGGAAGACGTTGTAAGGCCATAATTCGTGCTAAAGGTTACCCAACTAAGTATTAACTGACATGGTGATAATTTTTGCATATCTCGTTTTTTCTATGGCGATCATTTTTGTATATCTCGTTTTTTCTACGTGTTTCACTTTTCTTCTTTATACTGTAACTGCTATTCTAATAGCAAATCCTTCATAAAAGTTATTGCATTACATTCTTGATTAAATTATCTTTCCATTGATATATAATTTTATGGTACTACTCCCCCCCCCAAAAAAAGTGGTATTATTAGTTAATTTTAGAAAATACACATTTCCCAAAAGGTTTCCACAATTTTGGCCACTACTGTATGTGCATATCCAAGCAATTATTATTATTATGGTTGGTTGCATAGCCAGCTTAGTTTAGACTGGTTTTGGATGATGAGGGTTGGTATTACTACAATACGATTTAAAATGTTACAAACCTGTTTTCAAAGATCTTTTGCTTCCCAATGGTTTTTTTATTTGGGATTCCCATTTCAGCAGCCCTATTGGGGAAAAGGAAGCACGTGAAAATACAGTTTGGGAGAAGACAAGAAAGTCTTCTTGTTTGTAAGACATTATAAGCAGACATATTGTTCTAGCTGCTTTATTTTTATCCCTTTGTTAGGTAGAAAGCTGTAAACAGAGGTGGGGGGGGTGGTGAGTTGCCAAACAGTGTGGAAGCAACGTGTACATAAAGTTAAAGGTTCCCCTCGCACATATGTGCTAGTGTTCCCAACTCTAGGAGGCATTGCTCATCTCCATTTCAAAGTTGAAGAACCAGCGCTGTCCGAAGACGTCTCCGTGGTCATGTGGCCGGCATGACTCAATGCCAAAGGCGCACAGAATGCTCTTACCTTCCCACCAAAGGTGGTCCCTATTTATCTACTTGCATTTTTTTACATGCTTTCGAACTGCTAGGTTGGCAGAAGCTGGGACAAGTCACGGGAGCTCACCCCGTTACGCAGCACTAGGGATTCGAACCGCTGAACTGCCGACCTTTCAATCGACAAGCTCAGCGTTTTAGCCACTGAGCCACCACGTTCCAATAGGATGTCATACAGCTTGACAAAAGACAAGATTCTGAGCATTTTCAGACGTGGCTGGCTAGGGAATTCTGGGAGTTGAAGTCCACAGATCTTAAAAGTTGCTTAGGTCGGACGCCCCCCGATTTAAAACAAAGATTCCCACTTTTTGACACCAATTGACAAACCTTAAAATAGAAAGCACTTTGCCAACACATCTAAAGTATCTCTTGTGTGCTGCTTGCATGGGTGTGTTACCGTTTCCGCCACGTACTTTGTATACTTTTTTCTATCCAGAGACTTCTGTGTAGCTGTAGAAAGGGTCACCCTGTCTCTTGGGGACTTGGCTTTATCCTACACACCCAAACAATTAGAGAAGTTAGTTTTATTACAAGACAGTTAGTAGGATATTACAATTAATTGATATTGTTTCCTGATTGCCTATTTGTACCCTATGACTATCATTAAGTGTTGTACCTTATGATTCTTGACAAACGTATCTTTTCTTTAATGTACAGAGAGCATATGCACCAAATTCCTTGTGTGTCCAATCACATTTGGCCAATAAAAGAAATTCTATTCTATTCTATTCTATTCTATTCTATTCTATTCTATTCTATTCTATTCTCTATTCTATTCTATTCTATTCTATTCTATTCTATTCTATTCTATTCCATTCCATTCCATTCCATTCCATTCCACTCCACTCCACTCATTCTATTCCATTCCATTCCATTCCATTCCTAACAAAAATAACCTCACCTAAATTAGTTAGAGCAAATTGTAAGCCTGCGTATTGGTGGCAAACTGTATTTAAAACCCGTGTTAAGGCTTTTCAAAGTCACAAAGAAAACAAGAAACAGATGTTACTGCATATAACAAGCACCATACAGGTAGTCCTCGACTTATAAAAGTTCATTTAGTGACCGTTTGAAGTTACAACGGCACTGAAAAAAGTGACGTATGACCGTTTTCCATATTTTAAGACCTCTGCAGCGTCCCCATGGTTCACCTGATCAGAAGTCAGACACTTGGCAACTGGTTCATACTTATGACTGTTGCTGTGACCCAAGGTCATCTGATCCCCTTTTGCGACCTTCTGACGAGCAAAATCAACGGGGAAGCCGGATTCACTTAACAACCGTGTTACTAACTTAACAACTGCAGCGATTTACTTAACAACGGTGGCAAGAAAGGTTGTAAAAGGAGGCAAAAGTCACTTAACAAAGGTCTCATTTAACAACAGAAATGTTGGGCTCAACTGTGGTTGTAAGTCGAGGACTATCTGTAAGTGATGGGCGGCCGCAACGCACCAGCTGCCGAAGCATTTTCTCTTTGCGAATTTCTCGATCTTGACGTAAGATGCTCATCCTTTCCGACGCTTCCATTTTGAAGAAAATGTCATGAATATCATACAGGGCTGCCTGCAGCTGAAAAAGAAAAAACACCAAACATAAAACTAAAATTCAAATGGAGGGCTTTTTCGGCCTGTTTTCAAGGCTTTTTTCAGCCCATTTTTGAGGCTTTTTTTGGCCCGTTTTTGGGCTTTTTCCGGCCTGTTTTTGAGGCTTTCTTGGGCCCATTTTTGAGGCTTTTTTTTTTTTTTGGTCTGTTTACAGGGCTTTTTTCACCACATTTTTAAGGCTTTTTTTGGCCCATTTTTTGGAAAAACGGCTCCCCAAAGCCTCAAAAACAGGTCAAAAAAGCCTCGAAAATGGGCCGAAAAAAGCCCCAGAAACAGGCCGAAAAAAGCCTAGAAAAGGGAGGCCAAAAACTTTTTTTTGTTTTTGTTTTCCTCTTCTAAATTTAGGTGTGTCTTATACTCAGGTAGTCTTATAGTCTGAAAAATACAGTATACACCTTACCTGAGCAACGACTCTTTCTTGGAGATTAGCGTCTTGAGTGGGGAGATTTCCTCTCTTCGACAGAGCTTCGGATTGAAAGTTTTTGATGAACTCCATTGTATCCTACAAAAGGAACACACATATGCACCGTTCGTCGTACAATTCTTCTCACAATGAATCCAGACGCCAAGCCACTGAGGCCAATGGTTGCTTCAAAGAAAGCAGGGAAGTTTCTCCCAAGGGAATATCTGCCAAATAATGCATTTTTTGCAGGGGAAATCGATTAGGGACAGGAGGGCACAGAAGAGGTTGTTAGGTAGACCTCCAGCACGTTGGTTTCACAGGCAAACACAATCACTGTTGATCGTCTCCTGTCATCCATCTGAAAGTCACTTGGAAGCAGAACTGGAAAAGATGAAAAATTGATTTTCGTCGATTCCAGCTTCTGTGGTCACTGGCAGGGAGGATAGTATATAGGTAGTCCTTGCCTATAGTTGGAATTTTGTTCCTAAGCAGTGATAGTTGTACACTGAGGTATCCACAGGACTGGACCCAATTTTATAACAGTTTTGATGATGGTTGTTAAGCAAAGCACGGGATAGTAAATTCCATCTGGTTTTCTCAAAGGGTGGGTTTTTTTGCAAGAAACTGGCAAAAATTGCCAGAAACTGGGAAAAAAGATTGCACATCTGAGGCACAGGACTGTGGAAGGCTGCAAGCAGTGGAAAATGTGGTTGCCAAGCCTTCAAAATACAGTCACGTGAGGGGATAGCCAGAAGTGCTTTAGGGACTGTAAAAGCACCCTTTCCGAGACTGTCGTAACTCCAAACCTTTGTTAAAATGGCCTGTCATAAGTCAAGGGCTATCTGTAGTGAAGGTCTTTTTATTTATATTTATATTTTTATATATAAAAATAAAATAATAAAAAAAGACCTTCACTACAGATAGCCCTTTACTTATGACAGGTCATTTAACAAAGATTTGGAGTTACGACAGCCTCAGAAAGGGTATATACCGTGTTTCCCCGAAAACAAGACCCTGTCTTATATTTTTTTGAACCCCGAAATAAGTGCTTGGCCTTATTTTTGGGGAGGTCTATTATTTTGGGGTGGGCGGAGCAAGACAGGGATCCTCTTGCCATCTTACCTGATTTCCAGCTCTGTCTCCCTAACCCTAAATAGAGGAAATGGCAGGAACTGGCTGTGCATGCATTTAAATATTTTCGGAAAGGGCTTATTTTCGGGGAGGGCTTATTTTCGGGGAAACATGTTAGATAAACACAACTTCTTTCAACAGCACGGGAGAGATAGAAAAATAAAAGCAAGAGCTTTGGAGGCAACATATGGACAGCAGAGATAAGGAACAATCAGCAGCCTCAGTTTTCTGCAGATAATTCAAGTTTCTAAAGGAGCAGGTGTTGCAGAGAAAGGAAAGGGGGGGGGAAAGCATGCTGCATTTTAATTATGTATACATGCACATTCACAGCCAGAGCAGCGTATGCAAGATGGTTCCTTACGTGGACCGTTTGCCTCAGATGCTTTAGCTTCTCTGTCTGCAAGAGTCTTCTGGTTAAAAATCCCTTGGCTAGAGCAGAGACCTTGTTGAATTTCCTTTTCATGGCAGGGCTGTACACCTTCAAGAGGAAAGGTAAAATCAGGTAACCACAAGAGTGTTTCCTGCATTAGCTTGTGTTTAACGAACCTAAACAAAGCAGAGTTAATACACTCTGGAGTCTCAATTACCATATTTTTCAGAGTATAAGAGGCACTTTTTTCTCTCCTAAAAGAGGCTAAAAATTTGGCTGCATCTTATACTTCGAATGTAACCCCCCGCGGTGCCCAAAATGGACACCCGGAACAGCTGCTGCCGTCTCTTAACCCTTCCGTGCTTTGCCTGCTTTTCTAATTGCTGCTCCCTCCGACAATCAGCTGTGCTTTAGAAGCTGTTTTTCAGCCCCAACCAGCCCCAATCTCAAACCCAGCGAGCGAACTAATGTACTGGGCCTAGCCAGATGATACCCAGTAGGCAGAATTTTTTCCCCTCCTATTTTCCTCCCCAAAAACTAAGGTGCGTCTTATACTCCGAAAAATATCCGTCGGATGCTTTGGTTTTTTTACATGCATTGTCTGAAAATGGAATACCGAATTCCCACGCTAATATTAGCATTCATAAAAAGTATAAATAAAAAAAATGGGATTCCAAATTTCCACACTTAACAAAAGAGCAATGACTAAATAGCGACTTTTGCCAATAAAACATTAAATGTTAATTCCTCTAGAATTTATTTGTCAACCTTGGTCTTTAAATCCCTACCTGAGACCACCTCATTTTACTCCGGCTAATAGACCTGGATGCCACAACTGGTTTTCCGCTTGTTGGCTGCTCCCAGAGGTAGAATGGAGCTCCGGCGTTCACAAAACCTATGTTTAAAAAGTTTTAACAGTGGAAGCCATAATTAAGCCAACGAATATCAAAACTAAAAAAAAAAAAAACAACCCAACTGGATTGGTTATATGCTACAGGTAGTCCTCAACTTACGATCACAATTGAGCCCAAAATTTGTTAAGTGAGACATTTGTTAAATGAGTTTTGCCCCATTTTATGACATTTGTTGCCACATTTGTTAAGTGAATCACTGCAGTTGATAAGTTAGTAACCTGGCTGTTAAGTGAATATACCTTCCCCATGGACTTCACTTGTCAGAAGGTTGCAAAAAGTAATCATATTTATTTGTTTGTTTGTCAAACATGTATAAGATAATAAGTATAGGTATGAACATAAACAGAAACAAAGGAAGTAAATACAAATAGATGGGGACAGTAAGACTGGGACGGTGGGCACCCTGGTGCGCTTATGCACGCCCCCTTCTACGGACCTCTTAAGAAGGGACTGAGGTCCAGGTATACAATTTGAGGTTGAAACTGTGAGGGTTTGAGGCTGTAACAACGGAATCGGGTAGAGCATTCCAGGCGTTGACCGCTCTGTTGCTGAAATCGTAGTTCCTGCAATCGAGTTTGAAGCAGTTTACCTTGAGTTTGTATCGATTGTTTGCCCGGGTACTATTGTGGCTGAAACTGAAGTCGTTGACAGGGCAAGACATTGTAGCAGACAATTTTGTGCGTTATGCTTAAATTGGACCGCAGGCGGCGCAATTCCAGATTGTCCAAGCCCAAAATTTTAAGCCTGGTGGCCTAGGGAATTCTATTGTGAGACATGTCCCCAGGACGCTGCAACGGTCATAAGTATGAACCAGTTGCCAAGCCTCTGAATTTTGATCAGGTGACCATGGGGATGCTGCAAAGGTTGTAACTCTGAAAAACGATTGTAAGTCACTTTTTTCAGTGCCATTGTAATTTTCAACAGTCACTAAATGAACTGTTGTAACTAGAAGGCTACCTGTCTTCCTCATTCATGCCAGCTGAAATATTTCATGATCATTACTCTGGCTCTCTGGATCATAGAAAGACAGGTTATCTTCAACGTACCACCAAAATTTAGCTCACAATTACAATCATAAGGCGTGACCGTTGTTAAACGGGTCACTTACATAACCATGCCTGATTTTAGGACCTTTTGGCAGCAGTTGTTAAGTGAATGCGGCAGTCCAAAAGTGAACGGCACTGTCATTAAGGGTACAGTGTGCTAAGCAACTTGTTGTAAACAGAGGATTACCTATACTAGTGATGGCTAATCTTTTTGCCGTCGCGTGCCAAAAGTGGGGGGACCGCGGGAGGGTCGCGTGCATGGGTGCCCACACCCATAACTCAATACGCCGCCCCCCCGTGCCTGCACATGTGACCCCCCCTCACGTTCCCCGCTTTTGGCACGCAATGGCCTGGTGGGTCCCGTAGGCCTGCTTTTTGCCCTCCCCAGGCTCCAGAGGCTTTCTAGGAGCCTGGGGAGGGTGAAAACAGCCTTCCCCGCTCCCCCGGAGGCCCTCTGGAGGCCGGAAATGCCCCATTTCCCGACTTCCTGTGGGCCCAAAAGGCCCAAAAATCAGCTGGCCGGCACACGCATGCGTGCTGGAGCTGAGCTAGAGCAACGCTCGCGTGCCATAGGTTCACCATCACGGACCTATACCCTTATGATTCAGTTCTGTCCTTCAGAAATTATACAGGAAGGAAGCTGAGAGTTTCTATGGCTTTTAATACTTAAGCCGAGATAGTCAACCCAGGAAAACACATGAAACGTCAATCAAATACGAAGGACATGTCCATCACTGTTTATTCACCCCGGGCTACCCATTCACACCGTTCCTGATTTTACCCTCATTCTCCAAGTTGGTGTTATGTGCAGCCTCAACTCGATTCAGCACCGATTCCAGCAGATTAGTATCGGTGATTTTTCTCCACTCCAGAGCGACGCCGCTGCCGATATTAATGGAAGGGATACCACTTTCCGTTGCGGTTTTTTCCTCTTTTAACCTCCACGCCTGCTCCTCGATCTCCTGGGCCGTTTAAGAAAACAGAGGTGTGTGTGTTACAACCAGCAAATGTCGGAGGACAATATTTTTTTGCTAATTAAATCCTGTCTTTTTTTTTTGAAAGTCTAAAGGGTAGGGGAGCAGAGGCTGAAATCAGTCCGGATTTTTTTTTTCATTCTCCCAATCTGGTCATTTGATTTGAAGGATGTCTCCCTAAGATATAATTTCATTTGAATCTTAGGCAATCCAATCCACCCTAGATTAAAACTGTCTGGCCTGGATATTTGAGTAGAGAGAGCAGAGCAGAGTAGAGCAGAGCAGAGCAGAGCAGAGCAGAGTAGAGTAGAGTAGAGCAGAGCAGAGTAGAGTAGAGTGAGCAGAGCAGAGCAGAGCAGGAGCAGGAGCAGAGCAGAGCAGAGCAGAGCAGAGCAGAGCAGAAACAGAACAGAAACAGAACAGAACAGAACAGAATTCTTTATTGGCCAAGTGTGATTGCACACACAAGGAATTTGTCTTGGTGCATATGCTCTCAGTGTACATAAAATAAAAGATACAATATTAGGTGTTTTTTTCCCACAACGGAGATAACTGGCCTCCAGCCAAAGCAGTTTTGGCCCTACATTGTGCATGCCAGTTGGGTTGGAATGACCCCTCCCAATGTCCCTCCGCTGGGAATTCTGGGAAATTTGCCCCGCGACAGATCCCAGAGAGCACCAGGTTGGGGAAGACTCATGATGAGATTCTTATCCCAGCTTTACAATACCAACCCTTTGTTCACTATCGGAATCCCTGCGCATCCAGGTTTCTGGCAAAAGCGGAAAAGGTCCAGGGTCTCTTCCTCTAGGGATTCTCACCTTCTGGAGCCTCTCCTGTTCCCGTTCCTGCTCTGCTATCAACAACGACAACTGCTGGGCATGTTGCTCTTCCAGCTTCTGCCTCAGCTCTGCAAGGGCCCGCATCTTCTGCCTTAAGGCTTCCTCTTCTGAAAAGCACCCACACGAGGTTATAGTCAGCTCCTGGGAAATCCTGGGGTCCTTACACAGCGCATACAAAGAGAGCCGGTTTGGTCCAGTGGTTAAGGCACCAGACTGGAAAGAAAGCCAGCTTGGGGACTTTGGGCCAATCACCAGGAGACAGTGAGTTCTAGTCCCGCCTTAGCCATGAAAGCCAGTTGAGTGACTTTGGGCCGATCACCAGGAGACGGTCAATTCTAATCCCCCCTTACCCATGAGAGCTGGCTTGGGGACTTTGGGCTGATCACCAGGAGACAGTGAGTTCCAGTCCTGTCTTAGGTATGAAAGCCAGCTGAGTGACTTTGGGCCGATCACCAGAAGACGGTGAATTCTAATCCTGCCTTAGCCGTGAAAGCTGGCTGGGTGACTTTGGGCTGAATCACCAGGAGACGGTGAGTTCTAGTCCTGCCTTAGCCGTGAAAGCCAGCTAGGTTCTCTAATCTCACTTTTCATAACATGAAGTGGTGGCTACTATCTAGGCAGGTTGCCAAGCGCCTGAATTTTGATCATGTGACTACAGGAATACTGTGATGGTGCAAGTACACATATCATAAGACACCCATTTTTCAGTGCCACTGTAACTTTGTAGTCGCTAAACAAATTATTGTTAAGTCAAAGACTATCCGTGTCTTGTTTCCTTACCTCTGAGGCATCGTGCCGGGGTTTCGTTCTTGGCCTCGAGCCCAGCTCTGCCCGGATACCTCTGATCGTGCGGCCATCGCCTCTCCGGCGCGTCGGCTTCCGCGGACAAAACCCACGGCGTGTTCTCCTTCTGCACCGCATCCACCTCCAGCTCAAGTCTACGTTTCACCTTTTCCAACCCGTTTTCTAACAGCTGCTCATTTCTAAAAGTCACTTCTGGGGTATCCAGAGGCGGTTTGCTCTGCAGCTGCATCAGCAAGGGCGACGGGCGCTGTACATCGTAGGATTTGTTGAGTTCCGTGACCACGCTGCCCTTGACTTTGTCTGGCGGGCTCGCTGGGTTCGGGGTCAACAAGGCACCGCTCACATCCCGTAGCTCCTGGGGGCTGAGATTTGCAAGGCGACTGCTTGATGCCCCTCCGTTTTCTAACATCGACTCTCCTTCTACAGTGGGATGGGCCAGGAAGCTTCCGCCTTCTTGCCGATTGGCCGGAAGCGGGCACACTTCGTTGTGTTGGCCCACCACCAGTTCATTGAAGGTATCGGAGGAGCTCTTGTCGTACGCCTGAGTTTTGCGGGGACACGCGGAGACAAGATCGGCAGCGAGGTTTGGCACAGGATCGGAGGACGCGGGCCTCCCTCCACCCTCCTGAACGATCAGGTCCGCAGTTCTTCCCTTCGCTTTGGGACTCAACTCGTAGGCGTTCACGGGGTTGGTGATGACGATGTGCCCTACGGAAGAGGGCCTGGGGCGTCTCCGGTGCATCTTGGGGCTCAAGCTTGGCTCCAGACTGGGAAGTTTCGAGTAAGACCCCGTGAAGCTCCGGAGAACGCTGTCCTTCCCGAAAAGGGAGCCGTGTTTGAAGTCTTCATCCGAATCCGAGTCCAAAACGGGAGGCGTTCCGGACCTCATCGGGATATCGACTTTAGAAAAACTGGGGGAGGTCACTCCGCTGGCATGATTTTTAGAGATTGAGGAAGGTTGAGGAGCGCCGGGCTTGATAAGGCCGGACTTCTCCGGGGTTGGAACGGGAGTATTCCTGCCCGTCAATTTCCCTCTCTCTTTCCCCAACTCGTTTGTTTTCACTGCGCTATTTTCTTTATCCGGGTGGCTTCCGCTGCTGTTTCTCTTGGAACTGCTTCGCAGGCTACGTCGTGTTTGTTCTCTCTGAATGTACTCCCTGGATTTTTTTAAGAGGTTCTGAAGGCTCATGACGTATGGGTCGGGACCTTCCCCAGCACCTAGCCCGGGATCAATGGAATCTTTCTTGGCAATCTCGTTTGAAGGAGGCATGCTTGGAAGACTGGGAAACGGATCTTCTGAGCCAATTCTCTTTTCTAAAGGATTACTGGACGTTTCTGTGGGATTAGGAGGGATAAATTGTTCCGCTCCTTCAAAAGGGGTCCCGTCTGCTGCACCATCCATTGGCTTAACATCTGGGGTCTCTTTAGGTTCTAGATGTTCACCGAAAGCAGTAGAATTTGGCAAAACGCTGGGTGGTTCTGTTGCAGAGCTGTTCAATACTTCTGATTCTAAATCCAAATGAATATTCTCTTCCTCGGACTGATCTAAATCGCTTTGGCTAGACATCTTTTTCATCTGTCGGGAGTTTTTTTTTTTTTAAAAAAAGATTTAAAGTAGTGGGTTTAAAAATTAGTAGGTTGTTCTAAAAGAGGTCCAAAAGAAATTGCAAAAGGCATACTGGATAGGATCCAAATAATTCAGATGGTCAAATTATTTACCCACTCAAGCCTTTACTCGTTCCATCCCATTCCAACAAACCTTTTGGGTTTTTAATTGCCTTTTAAGATTGATTTTATTGTACAGCGCTCAGAATCTTTACAGAGCTGGGCGGACTAATAAATGTATCTAATGCACAGCAAATAACTTCTAGAACTAAAAGCAAAATCAAACCCAGTTTTGACGGAGAGATCAAAGGGGGAAAAAAAATCAACGTGTTTACAAACAGGATTTTAACCATTCCTGAAATAGAGATCAACTGATCATTTGGCAGATGTAGCAACCCAAACCTAATCCTACCAGTTTTAATTTTTATTCATCAGATTTTTATCCCATCTTTATTACTTTATAAGTAATTCAAGGCAGTGATGCTCCTTCCTCCTTCTATTTCCTTCACAACAACCCTGTGAGGTGGGTTGGCATGAGAAAGAATGACTGTCCCAAGGTTACTGAGCAAGATTTTATGCTTACGGCAGAACTAGAATTCACAATCTCTTGCTTTTCAGGACAGCATCTTAACCACTAGACCAAATTGACTCTCAGTTTGATCTGTCACAATTTTTAAAAGTTTTTTTTTCTTCTAAGTACAAAGAGCATCAAGTTAATCAGCCAACTGCTCTTTAATTCTGTTGCAGGCAACTCTTAAACAAGGCAATTAATTGCCTGCAAGCTACAGCATGGTTAAAAATACACACTGTGTAGAAAAATATGTAAGTGGTTATTATTGTATTCTCAGCGCACTCTTGCCACATCTTCGGAATCCCGGGCTGGGTAATGGTTGCCAAGCGTGCACTAGTAAACACAAGCAAGAAATTGAATAGTGTGTGTGTTTGGCCCTCTGTTATCACTCCAGCCAAACAAGCTGAGCTAACAAGTGAACGCCTTTAAAGCAACAAAGCTGCATTGTTGGCTGAAATACTCTTGCATTGTGCCCATCAAGCACCAGGACAATCTCATTCACCACCCCGATCTCTTTAATTCAAATAGTAACGGTGTCAACACTCTAATGGGCTCTAGAAAGAAAATACACAGAAGTTATGAGAGGGAGGGGCAAACCCCTGTGCCTATTTACATTGGTTCGTTACACCAAACACAATAAAGAGGAAATGTCAACACTTTAAAAAAACTACTAGATTTGTTTCAGATCAAAAGTCTGAGAGCCTTGGTAGTACAGCGGTCTAAAGCACCCTGTTATTAAGACCAGCTGCCTGCAATTACTGCAGGTTCGAATCTCGCCAGGTTCAAGGTTGACTCAGCCTTCCATCCTAAGGTAGGTAAATTGAGGACCCAGTTGTGGGAGCAATAAACTGACTTTGTATAAATATACAAAAAGGATGAAGGCTATTGCTTAGCGCATTGTAAGCCACCCTGAGTCTCTGGAGAAGGGCGGCATATAAATTAAATTTAAAAAAAAAAAAAGTGCCCAAATTCTGCATTTAGCAGAAGTAACCTGGGATTACCTAAAGGTGTGCTCCAATAAATCTGCTAGGGATGTTTAAGTGTTTCCAAATTCTTCATCACATTTAAGATAGATGAAAGAATGAATCACAGCCCATACATACACGCGCAAACACACACCCAAACTAGCACTGATGATGTTACCTAGTTGGGTAATGAAACGTCTGGAAGCTCAGAGAGAGACAAGGATCCCTCATTTCAACCCTGAACTACAAATATTCTCGTTTATTGGTAACACACACAAACACGTGGTACACGTGGTAACACGTATATACACATACGTGTGTGTGTGTGTGTATATATCTTATCATATATATCAATGTATATATCTTAAATGTCAAATTTTAATTGCATCTTAGGAACATTAGATGCAGTACATCCATTGAACCGAAGCTGACATTTTATTCATTCATTCTTCACCTCCCCCCTGCATTTACATTCCGCTTTTTATCTGGGAGCTTCTCCCAATGTTATCCCTCCAAAACAAAATCCCTACAAAAACAACCCTGGGAAGTAGGCTGGCCTGAAAAGACACCTAATATACTTTGTAGCTGAGAGGGAACTTCAACATATCCAAATCAAGTACCTGGTTTCGGTCTGGGATACCCTCAGCAGTCAGTATAATCAGCTTATCCTTGACTGTGCTTAGTTAGAACGCCTTGCCCAATTGCCATCCTGAAATCTTACTTTAATCTCAACAGGTTTATTTAATGCAATTTAATTATGTTATTTAATACAAAACAGAGATTATGCTCCTGGAGAGCAAAAGAACACCTATTCCCTTCCAAATTTGTGGCAGATAAGATAGCTTCCCCCGTCATAAAAATACGTGTTTCAAACTCACCTGTACGTTGGCCACTATTTCCTCAACCCGGGTCAGCAAAAGCCTCTGTTTCGAATTCTGTCGCCAGCGTTCTAGATCCAGAGCTTTCTGTCTGTCTTGCTGTAGTTCTTTCTTCTTCTCCAGAGTCAGCTGTAAAAGCAAGGGAGACAAATTATTATTGCCATCTATTAGTCACGGGCTCATATCGGCGGAAATTCACAAAATAACTGAAGAAACTTCTTGGATGAGGAGCAAAATGTTTTCAAAGAAAACAAAAAAAAAATCAAGAAAGTCAGTTGATTTTTTTTGGGGGGGGAAGCACCTTTGGGACAATTGTGAGCTCATACTTTTATTAAATTCCATTGCTTTAGGATAAAAAAAGGAGGGTTTTCTTTTACTGATTTACAGTCAGTGCCCCCAGAAACTTCTGACCAGTACATCGAGGGGGGCGGGGAGAATGTTACAAGTGAATAAGATTTTAAAGCTTCAGGAAAAAGATCCACATGCACAAGTGAAGACACAAGCATTGACACAAGTCTTCTCAATGCAATTCAGATTTTGAGAAATTTGGAATGAAAAGACACTAAGTAAAAAGTAAACAATTTGGGCCCAACCCTCACAAAATGCAAGAAACGGGCATATGAGCTCTGGTAAAGGACCATTAAAGATTTCTCCAGTGGACATCCTTAATGATTCTTAAATTTTTTAATGGAAGAGGGGAAAAACATTCTTAAAGATCCATCTCATCCTGGGCACCCTATTTTTTTTAACTATTACCATCTGGCAGACGGTACAGGATATAAAAACAAGGACAAATAGGCTGAAAAACAGCTTCTATCCCAGGGCAATAACCATATTGAATTCTACGGTATAGTGCAATATCAGGTTTTCAATTTCAATTATATAGAATGTAAAGGTTGTATGTTTGTGTTTTTATTTTTATAGTTATAATGTATACTGAAGACGGCATTTAATTTCATTGTACCATGTGCAATGACAATAAAGTAAACTATAAACTATAAAAAACTATTTGCTCCAAAAATAAGAAAAAACAAGGCAGAGGATTCACATAGCAATATAATTCAACTTTAGTAATCATCTTTTTACCATGGACATGATTAAGCCAACTTACCAGGGGAGGAAGCACGGGGACACCATTAAATCGAATAACAGATACATTTCTGCGCTGAACAACGGGAGACATTCCATTCTCCATAAACTCTCCTTGAATCCTAGCCAGGTGCTTCTTGCAAAATTTCTCATATTCCTCCATCGTAATGCAGTTGGGCTGCAGAATGACATAGAGAGAGAGGTGGGGGGGAAATAAACCCTCTTTTGCAAATAACAACTCAGCATATATACAACAATAGCTGTCACTCTACCTACAATTCCCTGGTTAATCTGTCTCTGTTGTTGTTATTACTTGGCCTGGAAAATTGCACTGCCAACTAAAGGAACTGTGCAACAGAGCTCTAAAAATTATTACGGAAATCAAGACAAAAAACACCTCGGCAACTGAAATCAAAAGACAGCAATTATTATATTGGTACCAAACAAAACTACACAACTCACAACTCTTCCAGGCAGCCACAGAATTAAAATCTGACCTTACAGAACATGTTTCTGATTTTAAAATGGGTTCTAA